ACCTGGTCAGTTGAAACAATATTGAAGTACTCTTACTCATAATTTCTTTCTTGTTATAGGATATTTGAAAATGCAAGGTTGTTTATTAGGTTTGGAATTTTCTGGTTTGGATTCATCGGGTCAACGAGTTATGGGTCTTCTATCAGCGAAAGGTTTGCTTCAAGATAGTCATCAGTCATGAAAATAAACTTTTCATCATAGGCCTTGCTACAAAAGTTGCTATCGATAAACGATATTCATGGCGCGTACCTGCTAATTGGACACTTGAACAAGCAGCAACTATACCAGTTGTTTATGCAACAGCATATTATGCACTTGTTGTACGTGGTCAATTGAAGCGTGGTGAAAAAGTTCTTATCCATGCGGGAACAGGTGGTGTTGGTACAGCAGCAATAGCCATTGCATATAGTTATGATTGTGAAGTATTTACAACAGTTAGTTCCATGGAAAAACGTGAATATTTGAAAAAATTATTTCCACGTTTGAACGATGAACATATTGCTAATTCACGTGATACCACATTTGAACAACAAATAAGATTTATTACCAAAGGCAAAGGTGTTAATGTTGTACTTAATTCATTAGCTGAAGATAAACTTCAAGCATCTGTTCGTTTACTTGCTCAACATGGTCGATTTTTAGAAATTGGTAAATTTGATTTATCACAAAATAATCCATTAGGCATGGGTGTATTCCTTAAAAATACAACATTTCATGGCATTTTACTTGATTCTCTTTTTGAAAATGCAAACGATGATTGGTTACGTGTGCATCAACTTGTTGAACAAGGTATTGAAAATGGTGTTGTTCAACCATTACATAGTAATGTATTTAATGCAAATGAAATCGAACAAGCATTCCGTTTTATGTCACAAGGAAAACATATGGGCAAAGTTGTTATTAAAGTAAATGCATATTTTTCTTTCTACCATACTGTTGAGTTAGCTCCTGTCGAGATGGACTCCAGAAGAACTTATAGTTTTAACTAAAGAAACATCGAAACCTGAAACTCATAATGTTCATTCACAACTAACGATGAATCTTTTGATCACCGATGGCACATTGCCTAAGAGATACATCTATAGCTACTAACGGTTATTATTGAGAGAAAAGAATAATAATTAAGTTTCTTTTTCGTTTCATTAGGTATACGATGAATTTCGGCCATTGGTACGTGCTTTACGAAAAACCTGGTTTTCACCAAATAAAACTTATATAATAACTGGTGGTCTTGGTGGCTTTGGTTTGGAATTAACTGAATGGCTCGTTGAACGTGGTGCACGAAATTTAATTCTTTGTTCTCGTAGTGGTGTTCGTACAGGATATCAACTGAAGAAAATCAATTATTTAGAAACATTCTTCGAAGCAAAAATATCCATATCTAAATTAAATATAACAAATGAAAAAGAATGCGAAGAATTAATTAGTCAATGTTCAATACCAATTGGTGGAATATTTCACTTAGCTGCTGTATTACAAGATGGCTTATTTGAAAACTTAACAGCCGATCTATTTAAGGAAGTTGTTGATATTAAATATAATGGAACTAAATATTTAGATATTTATACAAGAATATATTCACAAAAATCTTTAGATTATTTTGTTGTTTTTTCATCAATCAGTTGTGGGCGCGGCAATGCCGGGCAAACTAATTATGGTTATGCTAATTCAACTATGGAACGTATTTGTGAACAACGACAAAAAGATGGCTTACCAGGTACGAGAGAACGCGAGAGAGAGAGAGAAAGAGAGAAAGCTTAATTACCTAAATCTATTTCCTTGTTGTTTAAGGTTTGGCAATACAATGGGGTGCTATTGGAGATGTTGGTATGGTTATTGAAAACTTAGGCTCAAACGATACAGTTGTTGGTGGTACATTACCTCAACGAATGACATCTTGTTTAGAAACCATAGATTATTTTCTTCAGCAATCTCCAAATATTCCTGTAGTTTCATCTTATGTTCTGGCTGAAAAGTTACAAAATACTTCAGGATCATCAACTGCAGCTGCTAGTCTTATTGAAACTATTGCTAATATCCTTGGTATATCAGATGCAAGTACAATGTCTCCAGACAGTACATTAGCTGATCTTGGTTTGGATTCATTGGGTAGTGTGGAAATCAAACAATTGCTTGAACAAAAATATTCAATGTCATTAGCTAATTCAAAAGAAATTCAACAATTAACTATTAAACGTTTAAAGGAAATCGATTCAGGTTCATTGTCAGCAACAGCAACAGCAGCAGTGACAGCACCAAATAAAATTGAAAAAAAATCATCGACATCAATATCAACTGTTGATTTTCATCAATTACTACCGAAAGATTTAATGATACTATTAAATGAAAAAATCAATTCAAATAAATATCAACATTTATTTCTTATTCATCCTATTGAAGGTCATGTAGAAATGTTAAGAGAACTTGCGCAGCGTTTACCTATTACCGTTTTTGGACTTCAATCAGTCAATGATGTACCTAGCACATCTATTGAAGATATTGCTGCATATTATATCAAAGTAGACAATAATACTTTTCTTTGACTACTTCTACTATTGTCGTTTGTTTTGTTTTTTCTGTAGAAAATTATTGAAACACAGCCAACTGGTCCATATCTAATTGGTGGTTACTCGTTTGGTGCTTGTATTGCTGTTGAAATCGCTTTACAACTTCCATCTATCGCACAACTTCTATTACTAGACGGTAGTCATTCATACGTGGCTACACATACAAGACAATATAGAACAAAATTTAATGAAATTAAACATGCTGAAGCTGCAGTGGTAAATAATTTTTTTCTAATTTAATGAATTTCATTATTGTGCTCTTTTTTTCTCACTCTCTCTTTCTAGCTGTATGCTTTTCTACAGCAATTTATTCCAACTTTAGATCAGAAGAGAGTAAGGTTGAATTCTACAGGATGACTAGACATTTATTGAATTTATTTTAGACACTTGCAGATTTAGCTAATCTACCATCGTATGATGCACGTTTGTTATGTGCAGCTGAGATTCTTGATAAAACAGTTAATGTTGGTACAGATAATATAATTTTAATGGCAAAAAGATTTCATAATAAATTACTATTGGCTGAAAAATATGTTCCATCAAGTAAAATACAATGTGAAACAATACTATTTCGTGTAGAAACTAGTAGTGAATATAGTGAAACAATTGGAAATGATTATGGATTATCGACAGTAAGAGAGTTTTCGAACTTTTTCTTCTTTTTGCTGTGAAAGAAAAATCGAATAATCACATTTCTTATATTATTAGATATGCCAGAGTCCACTGCAAGTCCTAGTCATTCCAGGTGATCACCGAACATTTTTACAAGGTGACAATGTAAAAATTTTAGCTGATCAGATTATCACTGTTACTTGTAACAGTTCTTAGAAAATGTGCAATGATTTGTTTCAAATAATTTACAATGGAAAAAAATCTATGACATGTTTTCAAATCGTTCTATTTTGATTTTTGAACTTTTCTCATTGTGATATATAATCTCTGATTGTATTGTAAACGTCTTATAAAATGTTTTAAAGCGTAAAAATATATATGCAAAAACAAATCAAACATCTTCATCTATGCACAAGTGCCTCGAATAGATAGAAAATATCTGTCGTTTTCGAGTGAAAACATTTCATTATAGAACTAAAGTTCGATTTACAAAAGATGTCTGTTCCTCGCAATCATCTAAGTATTCTTTTCTATTGTTATTATAGAACTCTTCAACAAGTCTTTCTATCTTTGATCTTCAAACTTTAGGAAAAACAATTGCCAAATAGAAACGCAAGGGCTTTCTTCAGCACATAATTATTATGGCTGGCTTGCAATAAAAAAAACAGTAAGACATCACAGCTTCCGTTTGAAATTGGGTGTGGGTGTGGGGTACAGTGTTTCCAATAGTAAGTGTGCACAGCAGAAGCAAAATGTACAGAACATTTGCTACTTTTGGTTTACACTCTGTTGTACACTTGCTCAAAAAAAAACAAAGTGTACAATGCACACTTTGCTAAAACATTTAAAACTTTGATTTCTCAATCGTAAAAGCTGCAAGTAGTATTAAATTACGGATTATGTTTAAATGATGGTAAAGTGTGATTTCCTAGGTTCAATTCTATGACAAACTGAATAGAGAAAAAAAAACTAACAATTTATTTAGCTTTTTAGATTGTGCAAATTGTTTTTTCGCGCACTTTGATACACTTTGCTGGCGAGAGCAAAGTCTACATACACACTCTGCTCATAATAATACAGAGTGTATAGTACATTTTTCTTCAGACTTTGTGGTTTTAATTTTCTAAAATGTTGCATTGTCCAAGGAGTTTATGAAGTGCATTTTAATCGATAGTCGTAAGCGGAGGAGATTGAGAATTTTCATCTTCACAATTATCAGCTTCTGCATCGACATCAGAATAAGATATAGCACCTATAAGACATAAGAAAAAAACATGGTATGCGAAGAAATAAAAATGTAAACAATCAAAAGCTTCAGAATGCATAGATAAAATATACATAGCAGAAGCAAAAGTAAAATGCAGAATTTGCACACAATTGCGTTTTTTTGTAGAGAACAAATAGATTTAAAACAAATTCTAAATGAATTTAATAAAAGAAAGGAAGAATTACCAACAATAACTTGACTGATACAGCTGCATGTATTAAAATATAGTGTACACCATCTAAAACATAAAAACTCATAAAAATTTAAACAAATTGACTAGTTTTAAGCCTTAAAGGAAATTTTTAAATTTTCGATTGACGAAATTATAACCGTTTTCTCTCTTTCTTCCATATTCTACCGGTATCTATCGTCCATAGAAAAACAACACGCTCACGGCACATGTGGCGCTAGCGTGTCAAATCAACATGGGTATACCCATATATAAGTGAATAAATATCCAATCAGAGTGTCTGACTCAACGTCAAAAAACATGGCTATAGTTAGTTAGAGCATAGAATATTTTACTAAAAGTTGCTTTTGTTTTTCGTTTCAAAATGGACATTAATACGATGACATCAACAACAGATATAGATTTTTATGTGGATAGTCGACCGATGAACGATGAGGAATTAACTAAATTACACGAATCAACATTACAAATGTTTCGTTCAAATAAAATTGGACCAAAGAATGCATTTGATATTGTACTTATTGATTATTTACCTGCTATATTTGAAGCCACAAGTTTTGATGATGATCATATGAATAATTTTCAATCTGTTGGTACAACACTTGAAACATCAGGTTAGCTTTTTTAATAAATAAAAACACTAAGTAAATGAGATTTTTTTTTGTTTCTTCAGCAAAAATCTATGCTGCTCGTATCGACTCACTCTATTCGGAAACACGTAAAGCTCAATCAATACTTCGTTCAACAAATGAAAACATTTATCGAATGCTTGACGATGACGATAACAACGAAGGTGATCAGAATGAAGGCGATTTTACGGAACGACGAGTTTCAAATAATAAAAAAATTCGTTTATTAATGAAACGAAAAAAGTCTATTGTTACTGATCGTAATAAGTTACTTCGAAAAAATCGTAACGATGAATTTCGACCAATTATGATAAATCAATTTTTTTTATCAGCTATGAACAATGATAATATTCTATTAAGTGAACTTTATGATAAAGTAAATACATCGATCACAATAAAACCAAATAAAAAAACTGTCAAAGAAGAAAATGATTTACTATCAGCAAGTCTTTTTTCACATGATTTCGTTTGTGATTCATTATCAATTGATACAACAAATTCATCATTACTATCAAGTATGTGTGATAGGAAAAATACAGAAACAATATTTATTCCCTTAAATAAAAGTTTTTCTTATTATTCTATTGAATTATCAGCATAAACAAACAAAAAATTATTCGAAAAACTTTTTTTATGGGTATAAATTGAGATTTTTTAAAAAAAAACTGATAAATGATTTTACAGAGAATTGTAGGATATTTAAGAAGAAGTAAGTTTTATTTACACTAATTGGGATAAGGTTTTAACTGTAACTAATAGTGCATGGTAATCTGGTTATTGTAAAATTAGATTAGATATAAAGTTCAACTGAAAATCGATCACATAGAATCAAGGGATGAATGCGGGTAAGACACCTGTCTTGCATTCTGATTCAGTAGATACGACCATGAAGAATTGTTTTCGTAGTGACATCATGAAAACAACTGAGGTTACTTTACTTTTCTAAAGTAACACGTTTATTAAATACGTCTCAAGAGAGTAAAAATATATTGGACATATTCTTATTAACAAGTAGTACAAAAGAAATATGAGTGGCACTCGAAGAATGAAAAAATCGAGTGTCAACAAGTTTGACTCCGCAGGGCTTTATTCAAGGCGCAGCTTTCGTCAGCACGTAGGTCATGCTTCAAAGTATATTTGCACAGTTCACGGTTATTTTTTGTTTCATGAACAATAACAGCCTCCTGCACGTACCCGATATTTGTTCAATCGTACAAGTGCAGAACGAAAACAACAATAACGTTATGATAAAAAAATCATAGAATTGCCTGTCAAAATAGTAGTACCGTATAGACGTACGAGCTTGTCATATGAAACCATATCGATATATTTGAATTCGCAAACTATTTTAATACGAATAAAATATCATCTTGTGAAATCGAAAACTGACTATTAAATAGAACTGAATTAATGAACAAATACTAGTCACTTTCATAGTGTTCGCATTTTACTGTACCAAAAGTGATATCTACTGATAGAACTAAAATTTAATCATATACTTTATGAACACAAAAAATTGACCTAAAATACAAAAAGAAAATGTTTTTTTCTCTTTTCCTAAAGCAATACTATTAAAGTGCTTCTTTTTTATTTCGTAGTTTATACGAATTTTTTTTATGTATCACAGTAGAAACTATAAAACAATGAGCTATATGTCCCCTAGAAATTTTAGAAAACAATGTTCATCTCTTGTTCATATGATCTGCTTCTTGTATTGCTATATAAACGAATCCGATGAGCAGTTATCTTATCATTAAATCTTAATAATTTTCTTTGAATATTTCTATAGGCGACATTGATCTTTCTTCGACAATGGATCTGAATTCAACTATTAAATCGAGTCAATTATTAACACCAAACAGTCTCATATCGTCAAATACAATGAATCTCTCTAGTACACCAATCAGATCACGTACAAATAGCCTGTCAAGTAATTCCAGCATTCTCACGAATGCTGCCAATCTTCTTACAGATATACCAAATGAATATTCGTATCTTGATTCAACCAAAGTTAATGCATTTATTAATGAAATCAATAATAATAATGCTAAACTTGACGATTTGATGATATCACCATTAAAACTAATTCGAAAACGACGATTAAGTATCGAATATCCATTTCCATTTCTTGTTGAACAAGCTAAAAAGCAACGTATGACACCTAAAAAATTACGTGAACAACTTTTAAAACAAAATTTATTATTACGTCCACCATCACCTGAATATGAATTTTCACCATTCGACACAATGAATGATTGTAATGATTTCATTCTACCATTGCCGTCTAATAATTCTAATGATGTAATGATATCAAATTCTCAAACTATATCAAAACGACAACGTGCAATCGATTTTCGACATTTACAAACTAATATGCAACAAATTATATTTAAACATTTTGAAATAGATACAAATTTAGTTTTTAGTGAAGTTTATTCAAATATTCATCAAGATGATCATCAACAAATATCATCATCGGATATTGGTATTTGTTTTGCTGCTTTACTCAATAATTCTGTAAGATATCAACTTAACCTTGAGTCAAATGATATTCGAGATGATATTCGTATTTTACCTCCTGTATTTAACAATAAAGATTAATTGTAACTATTCTTTTTGTGTTTTTTTTAGTAAATCTCTTTTTTTCTGTCATTTGTACATGAATGTAAAAAAATTTTAATCAAATAAAAAATTCTTGCCTTTTTCTTTCTTTATTATTTTCTGTTTTTTTAACTATACTTTGATATGAACAAAATAAATGATTACTAATGATTAATACGAGCATAGAAGATTATAGCATAACGGTAGAACTATAATACACAATATTGATAGTATTGTCAAAGTATTTTATTAAGAGATTTTTGGATCATTTTTTTTAAGGTTATTTTATATTGCTTAGTTTTCATTATGACCTTTTGATAGCATTCAGATATAGTCTTTTGATATTTTCTTGATATAATTCAATATTTTATAGTTGATTAGGAAATACAGCCAATGTAGTATTGAATGATTTATTAGCAAATATTATTCAAGAATCTATTGAAATAACTCAAAACTAAATGTTTTCAAGTGATAAATCATTGTCACTTGATACTATATTCAAATCGATAGGGCTTAGCAAGTAGATGAAAATTCGTTAATGATTTGATTACCTGGACCCTTTTCACAGAGAAATTGAGTTTACAATGTATTGTCCTTGATTTTCAACTGAAATGCTCTGATCAGTGCTGTTATGTGGACATAACTTCAGATTCACATATCTCGGTTTCTAAGGACACATGCTCAGATCATCAAAAAGACATTCATCAATCTGTCAGGCCTTATTTATTAGTAATCTTTTCAACTTAAGAATAATTTATCAGTTGAGAATCTTTCATCGTAACTACTTCGCTTTTAAGCGATATAAAAGTTATCTAAATTCTGACATATCATTTTTATCCTTAAAATGAAAAACTACATATAAAAGTAATGTAAATATTTGTTAAAAAATTTTGGTTTGAATGAAGTTGAAAATAATTAATAAATTCATTCTTAAAAATATCTTCTAGATTTTATACATCGAATACACACACTCATTAGTCTTACAAATTCTGTTCATACATAATATAGACTTCTCATACAATTTACTAGCACGGCCTCTCTTGAAATAAAATATATTCGATTCATTTTGTTTATTGAACTGTAGAGAAAGAAAATTTATTTCTGTCGATGCAAACGTATTATTCTCGCGACTTTAATATTTGTATAAATGATATGAACAGGAAAATATTTTGATTCTAATTTCACTGGAATTAAAGTACATAAAATTGTGTGATAACTTTTCTATTTATTTATCTTTGACTTCAGTTTACTATTCGTTTGAATACATGCGTGTGGCTTTATTATCATGCGATAGAAACGAGATGAAGAAGTTTGAGATAAGAAATGAATAAGAGAAAAGAAACAGACGTTATTTTTTCTCTCATCATTCTGCTTTAGATTTAACAAAAATGACGAGTTCCGATGATACGGTTAGAGAAAAATATTAGTTAGCTTTTGAAAATTCTATTTTCTTCTAAAATAGCCAATCTTATATTCATATTATCGAAGTTCATGTGCCTATCGAGTTCGAATCGGTGAGTATATTAAAAAAAGAAGAAGAAGAAAAACAACGAAAACATTTGTCTTTGTTTGTCTTAGCATTGAATTTGAAAAATATTCCTTTCATAATCCATCCAGTTAATCTTCTCAAAGGCGAAACAGTACTATATTGTTGATATTTTGATAGAAAAGTCATCTTATTAAATCCTTTTTTCTTATAGTCAACTGAAGAACACAAAAAACTCAATCCAAAAGGCGAAATTCCAGTGAGTGAAAAACAAAATAAATCTTTTGAATTGTTTTACAAATTAAAATAATTCTTTTTCGTTTAGGTGCTTATCATTGATGGGAAAAAACTTGCTCAATCAGTAAGTGGACCTAAATAGAATTCTAATACTCTTTGTATATGCGTGTTTTTATTTAGATTCCTATTATTGAATATATTGATGAAACATATCAAACAGAACCGAGAATTTTACCGCAAGACCCTTATCAACGTTATCAGGTAATAATATAAAATGAAATTTTGAACGATAGAGGCATATATTTTCCCATAGGATTATTTAAATAATTTCCTGATTTAGGCTCGTTTGATTGCCGAAATAATTGCATCCGGCATTCAGGTATTTTTTTCTTCTTCTATTCTCATGATATCTATTTGGTAATTTTATTTTTTTTTATCAAGCCATTACAAAATTTATGTGTTTTAAAACGTATTGGCGAAGAGAAAAGTGCTGCATGGGCTCATGATTTTATTAAAAAAGGACTTGATGGTAAATAAATCCATTGATTAATAATAGTCAACAATAGCGAATAATTTAACTTTGCTATAGCGATTGAAAAAGCTCTTGAAGAATCAGCAGGAAAATATTGTGTAGGTGATCAAGTGACAATAGCTGACTGTTGTCTTGTACCTCAACTTTATAATGCACGACGGTACATATCGATTTCTTACTTAATTCGTCATGCTTATTATTGTTTTCTTTTAAGATTCAAAGTTGATTTAACTCCGTATCCATTAATGACAGCGATCGACGAACGATTAAATGAACTTTCAGCATTCAAAGATGCACATCCAAATTGTCAAGTTGATTATCCTGGAGAAAAAAATTGAAATCCTAACTAAACATGCTTTTTCTTGAATTATAACATCTTTTTCCTATTGAATTTTATCACGATTCTTAATTTTAAACAAGCAATAAATACAATAAAAGAGAAATATTAAATGAATTTCATTCGAACAAGCATAAACATCTATTTTTATCAGAAAAATATGTTTATAATACCGAAAATATGTGTTTTTTTAAATAATATCTCCCGAAAGAGCTTTATTATTAAAAAAGATGAAAATATCGAGAATCATGATGACTAAATATAGCATTATTACTAATTTTCTCACAAGCATATCCCTAGAGAGTCAGTGAAACTTATTTTTCAATAAATATTCTTCTGACTTAGGAACAGAGAAAATATATTTGTATAATATTGCCAAGTATAAAAATTGACTTTTAATATTGAAAAATCAATCACAAGTAATGATTCATTTTTCTAGGGATTACTTGTTTTCGATCACAGGTGCTTTGATCCCATATTGATTGTGTCAATCAGAACCAAAGGTAATGCACGGCTAATCGGCGAAAAGATATAAATATTGACCATGAAAACTATGGTAATCTTCTTTTTCCCCTTTTAAAATTAAGGACTGCTTGTCGTAGCACTAAATTGTGCTTTATTTTCAGGTTAAAAAATAACAGCATGTTCTGATAAAAAATTCATTTATATTCCTTTATACTTGAGAACAGAGAACAGAGAACAGATTTCAACTACACCTCAGTACGATAAAAAAAAAGTTCAAGGTAATCGCGAGTTGTGTTAATTTGCTTCAAGTACAAAGTACGCTGTTTCCTACCTAGATTGATAAGTATACTTGTACAGAATGAAAAACCAAAATTATTGCTATCTCTTTGGATTAATATTCATGTCTTATTCTGTTTCATATGAAATGCAGTGAATATTAATTTATCATGAACTTTATATTCTAGTGTGAAAGAATCATAGTAAGAAAAAATAGTTTGTTCTGTTCAAAAAGCATTGTTCATATGTTATTGATAAGTTGTATCTTAATGTTTTTAAGTCCCTCATGCCTAATCGTATTTATTTTCCTTTTTTTACATATTATGGTGTTTGTCTTTGTACTTTGGAAAGTCATATGTGTGGCTTGTCTATATTCACATCATAGACTAACTGATAACGTATATATACTAAGCGACACAAGAAGAAGAAGAAGAAGCAGAAGAGAGAAATGAAATATACAACTCACACAAGCGAACACTCTTTTTATATTCAGATCATTGATCTATATTCACGCTTATCAGAAATACATATATATATATATGTATACATTTTCTTTTTCTTGTTAAGGTTTGCTATTCAACTGAAAGAAAAACAAAAAATCATGCCAGAGACCAGTGAACGTCAATTATCAACTAGTGAAGACGAATCAGGTAGACAAAGACGATCCAGTAGTGGAAGTAAACGAGAAAATACAGAACGGAATAGAATTCCTTTTTTTTAATTTCAAATTTTATTAATCTAGCATCTGAAAATCGTGCAACAATGGTTACATATTGGAAACGAAATTCAAACCCAAATCTTCAAAGTATGATGCTTGATACAAATGCAGATAAAATTAATCAATATGAGTATCCTGAAATACTTGAATGTTTGCCTGATCTTGACGGTAAACGTGTACTGGAATTGGGAGCTGGTATTGGGTTTGTATTTAAAATTGAATTAAAAACACAATATTATTACTATGCGCTTTCCCTTGACTAAATTTAGACGTTTTACGAAAAAATTTGCTCAATTAGCTAAATCTGTTGTGGCTGTTGATTTTATGGAAAGTTTTTTAGAAAAAAATAAAGAGGAAAATGGTCATTACGGTACCGTAGAGTTTTTACATAAAGATGCAACACAATTATCATTTGAAGCACATAGGTACTTTTCAAAAGAAGAAAAAGCAGACAGAAAAATTGATTAGCAATTTCGTTTACTTGTTTCTTTTTTTTCTAGTTTTGATATTGTCTTTAGCAATTGGCTATTTATGTATCTTTCTGATGAAGAAACTGAACAACTATTAGAAAAAAGTCTTTTATGGCTTGCACCAGGAGGGACATTATTTTTTCGTGAATCATGCTTTCATTCTTCAGGTTCGTATTAATTTATACTAAATCGGAATTATGATTCAACATCATTTGTTTTAAAACGTTTTGCCTCTCTCAACTTTTTTTTCTCATTCAGATACTATTTGTCACGGGTTTCTTTTCTGTGAATTTAATTTAATGCTTTTACTTTTATAGGAAATATCAAACCTGATGAAAATCCAACATACTATCGTTCACCACGACAGTATATTGATATTTGTCAATCACGTATACTGAATGGAACACCTAATCATCCACATGACCAGGTTTATGAACTTATTTTTGCTAAAGCATTGGAATCATATTATGAAATTAAAAATAATAATAATCAGGTAAAATACACAAACTAAAAAGAAATTTTGATTAGACTTCATTTCTTTCTTTTAGGTTTGTTTTCTATTTTTAAAAACAAATTTACGAAATCTTCATGGCTATAAAACATTACAAGATTTTCTTGATCATTCGGAATACGCTGAAAAAAGTATACAAAAATATGAGTCTGTACGTGGCGAAGGTTATGTTACTATTGGTGGTGCTGAATTGACAAGAGAACTTACAAAACGTCTTAACTTAACAGCAACACAACGTTTATTAAATTTTGGTAGTGCAACTGGCGGAAGTTCATTTCAAATTTCTCAAGTTTGAAATTTTGAAAAAATCAAAAAAACCTATTCATTGACATATTTCTTTTTGTCTCCTAGGATTATGACTGTGAAATTGTTGGTGTAGATATTTCAGCTAACATGGTCGGCATTGGTACTAAGTAAAAACCGATGTTAGTTGGATTTTGAAATTTATTTATTTTATTTTGTTAGCATGGGATCGAGCTCTATTATATAAAGGACGTCGAATTCGTTTTGAAGTTGGTGATGGTACAAAAATGCGATTTGCACCATCAAAATTTGATGCTGTCTATAGGTAATACCAAAAATAGTTGTTTGTATTCCTGTAAACAACAATTTGAAATATTTAATTTTTCAAGTCGTGATGTCATCTTTCATGTTTCCGATAAGGCAGAGCTACTTAATAACTTTTATACGTGGCTCAAGAATGGTGGTCGATTATTGATTACAGATTTTTGTTGTGGTATTACACCATTTTCACAAGATCTTATTGACTATGCACGTTCCGGTATGTATACGCTTACATCAATACAAGAATATACTGAAGTAATATAAAAACATGAAAAGCACAAAAATCGAATCTTTTAAATTGGTTTTGTTTTATTTTTTCCGTAGCTCTTTGAAAAATGTGGATTTACGGATGTTCATGTAGAAGATCGCTCTGATTTATATCAACAATATTGTCAAAATGAAATTGAGATAGCTGAAAAAAATCGAATGAATCCTGATTCCGTAAGTATTCAACAGTGTCGGAAGTGTATAACTCAGGTCAAACAGTTCGGCCTGGACACGGCCGGTTCCGCGTAGTTCCGTTGATTTTGTAGAAGCAGTATGCCGATTGGAAATTTTTTCCGTGATTTCCCCATCAATTCCTGCCGGAAAGCACAGGAACTTGGCAGGAATCCACCGGAAAAGTTCAACCGTATTTTTGACCGGAATACTGCTTCCATGTACCAGCGATTTCACGTGTTTTCCTGCAGGATACGGTGACTTTCCCGCATGTTTTCTGAAGTATTCTACGGGATCCGGTGACCGGAATTTTCGATCTAGGAATTAAAGATGAATGAGTAGTTCTGTTCTTCGCCTTCCATTATAGATGCAGAGAGAATTTTTCATGTGAAAACCTAATTTTTTCAATCGTATTCTTTTTCTGAAAAAGAAAATGTTCGTATGTGATAATTGATAAAATTTCGACTTTCTTCATTTCTCTTTAATCCTCAAACTTTGTTTTTTATTTTGAAATATCCAATGTGAACCGATATAGTGCATCAAGAAATGTTATGAATGAATAACATTTTTTTTCTCTAGATGCAGCTTACAATGCTAAGTTTGAATTTTTCATAGAATTGAAAACAATCAATGTTTTGTCATTTATAGAAAAAATAGATTATCATAAAAAACAATGAGAATTATTCCATAAAATCTAGTTCGAAAAAATTAAAAGAAGTGTACTTTTGACCAGTTCGTCAAGTTTCATCTAATGAGCTATAAAGAAAAGAAAGACAATTCCATTTTTATTTTGTATTTCTGGAATTTTCCGTTTACTTTCTATCTACTTATTTTTTATTTCTTTTATACTACGTGTTTAGAAATTAAGTCGTCAAGAATTAGAAGAATGTGTTCGACAATGGAAATTAAAGTACTCTCTAACAAATTCTGGTCAACGTCGCTGGTGTATTTTTGAAGCAACCAAACCATCAGTATCTTTTTATGAAGGCGATGATAATGAGCAATAAATGATTTCATTATTGCCGTATGAGATTGGTCTATTTGATCAAAAGAAAAAAAAAGAACACAAAATAAACCAGTATTGAAAAGAAAAATAAAGAAATAAATCATATTAGAGAAGGTGATTTGTCTAAATGAGATTTATCTCCATCTTGTTGATCTAGAAAAAAAAAGAATCTTAGTTAACAAATGAAAAAAAAAACTTCTTTATTAATTTACCATCTTTGAGATGTTTTTCTCGTAGATATATCATCATATTTTCAATATGCTCATCAACATGACAACCATGCCGTCTGAATTCCTCGCTACACGTAATGAAAGTTGAAGAAAATGAAATAGGCTTTCAAATAAAATCTTACTATGTAATACTATAATCAAACTTGATTTTCTGAGCTATATACGATATCATAAATAATGAAGTTTCACCGTGTGGACCTTTTTCCGAACCACAATGTTTATGAAAATTTGTATTTGTGAAAATATTATAGTGAATATTCTATATGAAAACAAAAGAACAAGAAAATCTTCTTTTTGCTTCATAAATAATTCAATCAAACCTCAAGATCATGTGTATTTGTAGTATAACGATCATTTTCAACAATTTCCAATGTATTGAATATAAATTCTACAAACATATGATATATATGACATAAAAATACCGAGTTCTCATCGTTTTTTGTTTGTTCATGGTGTGCTAAATAGTCATCAAGAAATTTAGCTGCTTGACATGCTGTTTTAGCCAAGTTAATATCACTTTTATATTGATATTTATTATGAATACGTGTTAATGTATTTGTGACAATACCGGAATAGGTTTTTGTTGGTGATGAGACTGTTGTTAGCGATGAAATATTCTTTTTCAAGGAAAAAAAAACAAGGATAATAAAATATTAATAATAATTAATTATTTAGATTTACTTTCAACATAAAAAATGGTCGCATTTTAAATGATAAGATTTTCGACAGGCGAATCATAGTTTATCAATTTATCTAAAACATTCATTAGATCATATATTATTATTAAGATAATCAACTGAAACATATATTAATTATTTGTCGAAAACTTCAACTTTATTTAAAACCACATCCAAAAAAAAGAAGAAAATTAGCTTTTGACATAGCAAAAAACAATGAAAACGCAGGCAAGTACATCGGCAGATAATTTAGGGTTCAATTTTTCATAAATGTTATGATTTTTTATTTTAAATAACAAGTCACGATACATTGCATTACAGACTCTTATATTTACTTGAGTAATATTTTTATTAAATTTTAAATATTTAAACAAAGAGCTTTACAAGCTCTTGAAACAAGCTCGGTACTGTGTTTTGACGTGTTATTTGAAATAAAACTAGAAGCATATTTAGAATGACTCAGAACGGATATTCTTAATTGAGGAAATGAGCTATGATTGACATCTGGTCGATAAATATCTCTATCAAACATTACAGTATAGAACTGAAGATTTTACCATAAATTTTTGGCGAAAATCGAAATATATCCTGTGAAGTTCAGGTAATCGGGATGTATCTAACGTGAAATGAATTTTTCAGCGAGTCAATCCCATTAAAACTAAATATAAACTTAACGAACTCATTCTCATAGGACAATACCGTCATTTTTAGTTCAAGCAAATTTGAAATATTGTTTTTGTTCAATAATCAAAATCAATAGATTGTGAGATTATTATGTATTGGATCCATTTATTATTTTAACATCAAGTTTTTGTTGCCATCCTGCCAGTATATTTTTTTAGTTAAGGAATATTTCTTGATATGGAACTATCGTAAATTTAATAGATATGCCAGAATGAAATATCTAGTAGGATCAATCCATTTAAAAGAAACTGTTTCATAGGTCCTGGGGTGTCAGAAGATTTGTTTTTGAGAAACGGTCTAAATCGAAACTATCATAACTCTGTTGGAAAGCGTGTTCTCTAGTAAACAAATGAATATAGAATATATTGTAAAACGTCGAATTTTGAACTTTAACTTATAATATCCATGCATAAAGTTTGCAAGACTTTTCTCCAATTGAACTCGGATATCTTGATAAATCTAAACGAAAGATGATTGTTTCAATATCAACATATCTTACATTTAACATAGTGAAGAATCATATTTCAAAAGTATCGACAAGGTATTGAAAATGTTTTTGAGATATTCTATAATGGAATCACTGAGAAAGTCATTTCTAGAAAACGTTTTTTAAAATTCGCCGATCTCTTTCTAATACCAATAAGAATGTTTTGCGCGATGCCGAATATCATGTTTATTGAATAGCCTTGTAGAATATTCCTCGATTTTAATCGACTGATGATTCGACTGTCTCACTCTCCTTGATTGATCGATGATTAGTTGGTGCAGTGGGCTGTTACATTCACATTTCATCAGTACATATATTTTAATGTAGCCCAGTTTACATTTGTCCCGAAATGCACTAATACATAACATTACAAGTCCTTGAATGAATCATCTCATTTTGGTGAATATATTAATATCGAATGTTTTTCAGAAAAACTTGAAAATTGTCTCATTTCTTTTAGGTACATGGATATTTAGTATGTCCTATTTGAAGCTCATTTTAATACAACCCATCTTAGGCTTGAAACCTATATCCATTATAAGCAGGATTTTCGTATGAGAATTTTCTACATCATGAAGATTAACTATACTATCAAAAATTCGTGTAGATTTACAACGATTGAAAATTCAAAATAAAAGTGCAGTATGATCCGTGAAAAAAAGACTGAGCCAACGTACTATCTTTAGAGCCATGCAGGGTGCACGTAATCTGGTCCTGCCCTGCCAGGGCAGGGCCAGGTTATGAAATTTTTACAGGGCAAGTTACAGGTTGTCCATATCGTAACCTGTTAACCTAAGATTAATTTTGAACAACCGACATTTCCGGTATCTTTTAAAAAAATTATGCATGAAGAAAGATGAATTTACCGAGACTAAAACACTCATATTATAAAAAATGATCGGCTATGATAGATTGCATCTAGTTTTGTTTATTCGATATTTTTCTATTAGAAATCTTGAAGAAATTAAACGTTATTTTTATCCGATTCAAATTTGAAGTACATATAATTAAATGTATTATAAATACTGATAGGAAATTTTGGATATTCCTCTATTTTAAAAATAGCAGGGCAGGGCAGGGCAGGTTACAGGCTGCAGTAGAAAGTGTTCGGGCAAGGTACGCAAAAATGCTCACAGGGCAGGGCAGGGTCAGGTTACAAAAAAATTTTGCAGGGCAGGTTACAGGTTATAAAAATCCTGCACCCTGCAGCCGTCTAACCATATTGGCTTTGATAGAAATTGTTAATGAATCTAGTAATTAGTTTCTATAATGAAACACCTGTTACTTTGATTTCACTTAATTATATATTTGCTTTGTCTTGATTTGTCAAAATTTCAAGAATCAAAATCGATTTTGAACATTTATTTGTGTTTGATCTAAAATTTTTACAAAGAGAAAAAAAATTATTGAATTAAAAGAACTTTGATCATTTATATTATTATTCACGCTATGTTATAAAATGTTATTGTTGTCTTCAATATTATTCTAAAGCAAAAGTCAGACAATAATCAGATCACCTTACGTATGAGAATCAAAATTGAAAACAAGCATAATCATCACACATTTTACGAGACAACAAGTCACTAAAAGCAAATTGCTGAAATGTAAACGCTATACAAAAAGAAGAAAAAGATTGTGCATTTGTGTTTGATCAAGCAAAAAAAATCTGAATCCAAGAAGGGTAACACAAACAAAATATGTATAAGAAAGATGTGAGAGATGAAGGCAGAAAGCGAAAAAAACACAGACTAAAGTTATACAATAGAAATAACATGCTTGTTCAAATGAGAAATAAAAATGAGACCGGGTTTAGTTTAGCTGCATTCTAACATAGTTCTATTACTGATTATAGCACCATATCACTGATAAAGCAGGCTGAGTTGCATTGTCTATGAAGACGAAGGTGGGGGTCGTGAGTCGTGTTCATCATCATCTTGCTGCATTGGTGATGATCCACGTTTGTTTGATCGATGTTGGTGAACAGATCTATGTTGTTGTTGCTGTTGTTGTTGTTGCTGCTGCTGTTGTTGTTGTTGAGATATGACAATCGGAATTGGAATAGATCCAATTAAATTTGTAGTACGATTTGATCGTATAGGAGATTGTTGCTCAGTCTTATGAGTAAAAAATGATGGATATCGATGAATTATATCTTGAATAGTTTCTTCATATCGTTCAAGTAATTGATGTTTATTTATTGAGACAGAATGATAATGTTGACCAACTGGTTGCTCAAGTAAACGTTGAAGAAATTCTTCAAGTAAAATTGAATGTTCGTTATCTAAATATGATACAGTTAAGATTTAACTACGTGTGAATGACTTATTTTTAAAAACAACATACGTTCAAGTTTATCGAGTAATAAACACCAAATACGTTGAATTTCTGATATATATACTCGATCATCGTCAGAACTGAGTTTAAGCTGCATTAAACATGGAAGAAATTGATGTATCATTATATCTAGACGATAATCCGGAATAGTTTTAAAACGATTTAATACAAGATCGTTCCATTTCTATTAATAAAAATAAGTAACAATAAAAATGTTTTTTAATTTAAATATCTTACTTCAAAACATAATCTTCGTGTTTTGAATAAAACATGATTATCCATAGCACGCATTGGCAATAGATTTTGTTTTGACAGACGTAAATTATATTCACAAGCAACACAAAAATATGTTATGGCTTCATCAAATCTAAATTAATAAAAATCAATACTCACTACCAATTCAACAGCATCAATTTAGCTGAAAACCCTACCCGTACTATGAAGCATTATTATACTAACATGAAATACATCAATTGAAAGATCATTAACGTACCGACTTCAACTATTTTTTCATGGATAGTTAATCGTAAATGAAGCGATCTGTCTCATTTTTTCTCTGCACATCAAAAAGAATGCTTTTTTTTCGTTTCTGCCAGCATCTTATTATTTTTTTGTTTATTGCTTTCGATTTTCGTATTCTTTGTCTCTTAGTGCAACTTTATTATTTTTATTTTAAACAAAGTAACTAAACCTTGTATTTGGAGCAGTTTGCAACTTATTATAGTGTGTATATCGATAAATTCAGGAGCTAAGAGAATAATTATTTCTTAAGTTTATAGCTTAAGCAGTTTCTATTTCTTAAGTTGATCACATGAGTGTTATGGTAGATCAATGCACAACCACGCGATCATGAATATAAAGGTATTTTTAGAACAAAAATAAAAAAATTCACTATTGGAATATTTTTGAAGGAAATTAAAGTCCGATAGTTGATCTAATTCAAAATCATTTTCGATTCGTGGGTAAATCAAGCTAAAGAAATCTCATGGAGGTTGTCCTCAGTTACCAATAACTGTTGACCTCTCCTCTCCATTATATAAGTCCCATAAGAAAGAATAGTGAGGAAAAACAACAGTGCTTCATTGAAATTTACATACTTATTTTCGTTCATTAATTGATAACCGACAAGAAAAGCAGCAATAACAGATCGAAAATCTTTATAATCGCCTAATATTTTCTATAAAATAATAATATAATTAATAATCAATTAGCAAAAAGATTATTCTAAACTTTACTTGATATTCTTGCACTTCATCGTTTGACATTTTCATACTATTACAAATAATTGTCGCCTGTAATTTGAATACTTTCAATCTAAAAATAAATAAAAAATACCAAAAACTCAAATATAACTTTATTACCGGATATCATCGTTTGAAACAGGTAAAAGACGTATAATATCATACATAACACGTTGTCGATAGATCATTTCAATGCGATTGACTGAAAAATATGAAAGAACATGTTGTAAACGATACTCGTTGTGTGGTAATGTTGACGTGATAATATTAGCTGTTGGTGAATAATTTCTTATTTCTTTATCAACAATCTAAGAAATGAATCGATTTATTTCTAGAAAATTTCATAAAAATTTATCTACTTCTTGGAGTAAACCATTCAGATCATTTGAAAGAACTTTTGTTTCATGGGCCTTTAAAACCCGAATTGTTGAATCAATCACTTGTTTAACTATTTCCGAATCTAAAGAAATTAGTAAATAGAAAAATTACCCATTTTTATATAGGTAAAGTACTATAGAATTTTTATTTCTTCGCCCTGATTCTTCAAAAACACCATAGTCTCAATGCTAGTATTGTCATTCGATGCTTCGCTAGATTAAAAGTTTATTTAAAAATTTTCATTCTTTTTCTGTTTTATACATTCCTAAATATATCTAAGAGATCAAATTCAATTCTGGAGTTTTAACTATGGTTTCAATGAAAGCCGTCAGATGAGAAAAGTTTTAGTATGTTAAATATACCGCAAGGAGGAGTTGGTCCAGAGAAAAATGGAAGATTCAAAACTTTATGTATTGGTTGAGAATTTTCAATACGGTCACATTGTGTTTTAAGATCATTATAAATTTTATCGAGTTTAACAGTTTCTATTTGTTGTTGTAATAGATTTAAATCATCATCTAGAACTCGTTGAATATCAGTGGTCAATTCAGAATAAGCACCTAAATAAATATTTATATTTTGAAGAAAAACAACAATAATACGAATTTTAATTATACGAACCATTAGATACAGATTTCTGTTCTGCATTGATATAAACTAATAAATAAGCACTAGGTGCACGTGGTGCTTCGCGATCATTAGATGTTCGTTGACCACCTATAGCATCTTCGAATACATCACTCCATTTACTTTCAGTTACTAAAAATAAAATTTTTGTTTTCAAAAATACTACATGACATTTGTTTAAATTCGATTTTTTTTTATAAAGCAGATGTAAACGAAGGATAAAAGATTCCGTAAAATTTTAATAGTAATAAGTCTTGCAGACAAATAAATAGATCTTTTACTAAGATTTTACCCCTAGACTATAAATAAAATACTATGTAACTCTGTAGAATATGTAAACTCAAAACTGAATGTCAAAAAGAAAAGATTCCTTCATTATTTAGTCTTATGTATAGAGAAAACAATCTCGTGTGATCATGCTATGTGCATATTCTTCATCGTAAATTCATAAATTTAAGGATGATTTAAAATTTATCATTATTATTCGTAAATATTTGCCTTCATTATCATTATATCGATACCATTTGTGTCGATCTTTATGATAAACATAGGTCCAAAAATGTCCAAGTGTTGCACTGCCTTCATGAACACAAACAGCATGCAATGTATATCGAACTTGTTTCAATTGAGATTCATTATATAATTGTTTTAGTTCGCTTTTTAAACGTCGAATTTCTTCACGAATATCTATGAAAAGCAATGATCCTTCTTATACTGTTAGGTTTCTCGTTAACTTACTTGCACATTTAGCTTCAATTTCAGTTAACCATGCTGGCAATGTATTTTGAATAAATTGAAGTTCTTCACTCGATACATGTGATGCTTGTATCGGTATAGTAGTATGTTGTCGCGAACGATTTAATGTTGCCTGATCAAATGATGTCGAATCACTTCTAATGAGGAAAAAACAACAAATCATTATTGAATAAAAATATTTTTTCTAAGAAAAGGAAAATGACCTTCTAGGTATTGCTGGATTAAGTCGACAACCAGTTGCATACTCATAAACAACTCGAATAGCATTTGCAAGCGAAAATGATTCGTTATTACATGGATGTTTCAAGTAACTTGAACAACAGAAAATAATACATGATGATAAGTTTATTTTATTTTCAATACCTGTTCAGTTTTTTTTCCAATTCGTGCAATTGAACATAAAGTCTTCGAGCAATATTTCTTTTATTTAGAACAAGATTTTTATTAATTAACATATAACGATCAAGATAAAGTTCTGGATAAAATTCGAACGATGCGATTATTTTAGATGCTTGTTTTGTTGCTTGTGAAAAACGATAACGATTAAGACAAATAAATAAAACTGGCGGTAGGCGTGTGAGCCACCTTTGTTCAATAATAGCCTAATAAATAAATAGAATATGCATCAGTTTTGTATTTTCTCCTATATAACTTGATTTATTGATTAGAAATGTACAAAGCTTTTTATTTGTATAATGACTGATAAACTTTTTTTTAACTTTCATTCAACAATAAAGAATTCGATAAGATAACTCTGCACATATTTAGTATTAATATACAAAACCCAATCGAACAAAAATGGTCTTTTCTTAAAGCAGCTTAAGTTCGACTTTTGAAAATTCTTCTAGAAAAAAAGCTTTTCTGTTCATCATTCTTTGGGATATCAACATAAAAATCCATTGAAAATCATTTAGAGAACTAATATTATTTTGCAAACTGCATCGATCACATTCAAAGTAATCTACTTTATTATTTTTTTTGCAGTTCAAACACAAGTTTTTTTCACTTGTCCTCAACTTTTTGTATTTCGTTCCAGCATCTCATCATTTTCTTTTTATGTCTAAATCTTGCTAATTGATTGATGTCATTATTATTTTTCTAAACATTGATCTAAGTGGTAAATATGCTTGTTGTATATATGTTTATTGATTGTACCTACAACAGACCTCGATACATCAATTTATAGACCTCGATAGAACCATAAAAATAATGTTATCTATTATTTGTGAAAATCATTATTTAATCGGCTCACATTTTTCATTCTGATCCTATCAAGACTATGTCAAAATAATGCATGAATAATCGATATGTCATATACGAGTAGAATTTAGAAAATCCAACAAAACCTCTACGTCTCGTTCGTTTCGATATTCATTACGCCTTTATCGTAATTAAGTAAAATTTGGAAAAGAGTCTGACTTCTATTACGATACAACATACTACACGATCACTAATCTTTCCCGTTGCTAGTTAAAATACACTCATTGATCTCTTATATTCGATACCTGGAGTGATGAGTGGTAGAGAAAAAGACATCATACTTCCAGTTAAAATCTACAATCATCCTATTTTCCTTTGACAAATACTGTATCAACTTCAGAAACGCTGAATTCGAAATGAATCGATTATTTATAACAAAAAAAAAAGCATTCTTCATACCTATTCTAATATGTTTCTAAACCTCGTAGCTATCGCATTAATTCACTATTCAATTAATAATTACAAGAAAAAATGAAAAAATATGCTATATACTTGTTGACTTGAAAGACTTTCATCTGCTGAGCCAAGCCAAAGAGCTTCAAGACCATCATAGAGATTACTTGAATCAATCATTTGAATATTAATTTGTCTTAATGCTTCATGAACTAAATTTTCAAGAGAAATTTCTTTCAAAAACTTAGTATAAAAGAGGCGAAATTTACTCGAATTATTTTCATTTCTTTCAACAATAACTTCTCCTGTAACAAATGTATTAATAGGATTAATAAAATTCGTCGATATGGTTGTATTATCAATATTCATTGAGCTACAATAAACAAAATTAATTTTTATTCAAATAAAATCTATTGCAAATTCCCGAACTTTTTTCCAATTGTTTCATATGCGAGTTCAATGAGATCAATTAGATGTGTAGCAAATTCTGAACAATCCTAAAATAAGAATTTAAATTCACTCATTGAGCATTGTTGCTTTTTTTTTCTAAAAAACAATATACTTCATGGGAAAAGTCAGCTCCGGATAATTTTCGTGTGTTTTTAAATTTTTTTATTGCACGATCAGGATTGATTGAACGACGCGGTGATTTTAACATTAAAATAAATAAATTTCGTAATTCTTCAGTAAAGCAAATAGCTTGTTTTTCCTAAATTTATTTCAATAATCAATACAAAAATAAAAAAAAGGTGTGAACATACACTTTCATTCAATTCACGACTCGTTATTGCATGTCGAAAGTTCAATATAAGTTCACGAAAATACGGTAATGTATAAACTGCTTGAACTATTGAATTAAACCAACAGGTATTTCCAATATTTTTCAATCCAGCTGGCTCATCAAGTGATTTTCTTTCAGCTATATCGGATTCGTCGATGATTTGTTCGACTGTTTCACGTGATAATTGTAATGCACTTCAAGAAAGAATTCTTTTCAATCAATCAATTTAGAAATATACCCTATTTATATCCAATATCAAAATAAAATTCTATAACTGAATATTTGATATTTATCTGTTCGCGAAAATGTCAATAAAACTTGTCTGCTTCAGTGATGAATCTAGGATTTTGACAAATAATGTGTTGTCGAACTTATTCTTAAGCATTTTTTGTTAAGAAAAACTAGAACAAATGTTTTATTGCGTGAAGACTATTGCTCATGTTATCCCAGTAGATTCATTATCGATCTCATAAAAGTAGGTATACAAGATTGCATAGAAGTTTCAGGTTTATAGATATTATGAATCTTTTTGAAAAGCCTATCCTCTTTGATTTTTATGAATTTAATTTCTAACCGTTCTAAATCATCATCAACTGATTGTTGATTATCATGTTCGGGTGATATTTCAATCACATCATCTGTGATAGAATCTCCATGATTTTGATCAGATGCTTTCGGGGTTGAAGCAGCAGCAGCAGCAGCAAGAGGAGCTTGGGCAGATGTATTTTGATTATGATGATATTGACTACTATTATTATTATTGTTATTATTATCGTTAGTAGATTGTGGAGATGTTGATTGAAGACTATTTCGAAGCTAATTTAAAATTAATACAAATAAATTACATAAAAAAAAATGTTGCTGTCTCATTGAAAATACGAACCGTATCGTCAAATAATAAATTAATCACTTGATCAAGTGAATATCGTCCAGTATCATCTTTGCATAATTCAATTGTTTGATTTATAAAATCATCCTCAAGACCAGTAATTTCACGGATCTGCCGTATCACGTCACGTCGATCTCGTTTCGTCTATATACAATGGAAATATTAGAAACAAAAACAGAACAAAATGTTTATTGCTACGAACGATGGCAGGATTCGTTTTCTTATTTTCAGGTATAGCAGCCGTGTCTACTGTCATAGTCTAATCAAACAAAATTATATAGAAAACGATTTGTTTTATAAATTTTTGGATCTAAATACGAATATTCCTGGTTTGTTGCGTTTCAGATCCGAAAAAGAAAGAACAAATGATCTGGATTGGCTCCACCATATTTGACCGAAATACTCTAAGCCTCCATTTATTTTAAAGAGAAACATACATTATTTCTTTTTTTTTCTACGTGTTGATTTCATCAAGTCTATAATAATCTATTTTTCATCATGAATAAGAGTTTGAAAAAGAAGACGAACACACACGACTAATACATTTAAAATAAAATATCACGAAGTCATTTTTTAGTGCCAAGCAGCAAGTAAAGTACCAGCCATTGATAATCCAACCATTGGGTAACCAAGATTAATTGCAGTTACTAACCATGAAAAATTGTCCTTAGAAAACACTTGATTTGGTAACATTGTTGTTACTGTAAAGCCCAACCAGCAGCAAAAACCTATTTTTAATCCATCAAACCATGATCCTGATGCATGAGTATATTCAATAAAGTGTGCCATCATAATTGCCATCAGTAAATGGCATATCGAAGATATAATATAACCTTTTTGAGCTCTTTTTTGTATATTTGGATCATTTTTCATTTTATTATAATCGAAACCCATTAATTTAACCCAAAGTGTTCCAAAGAGTATCGGAGAATACCATAACATACCAAGAATCATATTCAATAATGTACAAGTAGCAATAGCAAAATAGTTTACTGTTACCATCGTTGATTATTATTTAATACGCTAGCTTTTCGAGAAGAAGATTATAACTATATTGTAAAAATTTAAATGGCGGATATAGAAAAGCGCATTATATATATATATATAGCAACCCGAGAACAAGAAAAAGAAAGAGATATTCCCTCTACTAAAAGGAGGTTATACGAAAAGTGATCTAGCGCCGTTCGTTTGTATGTTCGCTCATCCAATAGCACAAAAGTAGATGCATAAAGTAAACTTATCTAACATCAAACAATTTCTCTAGGGATAGGGATAAGTATGACCGAAGGTAATCGGGGTCAGGGAACACGATGGTGTTGTCAGTTTTTCGAAATTTTGTGGTTCAAGCAAGTTTATAATGCATGAGGAGTAGGTTAGATCGTCCCATTTTTGTGATAGGAATTCTTTGTAGGAAAAATTTTAAGGGTACCATTCGATGATGTTTATAGTGTTGGATGTATCGTATGGTTATGTGAGACCTTATTACGAATAAGCTATATGCATCCTGCGGTGGAATTGATTCTCAATTTGGCAACGACTAGCCGCTGACCTGCACTAAGACGTTGAAGGCTTTTTGTTTCAAAGTCTTCAGTTTATTCTTGATAAGTCAACTTTTATTGTAGCAGAAAGAATTTAGTCAAACTCAACTCCTAGAATTCTAGATTAGCGCATCTACGAACGAACTCGAACTGGATAGGTACTCGGAAATCTTGTCTCATTCTTCTCTAAATGATGAGGAATTTATCGCATATGTAGATGAAACTGGATTAAATTAGTCCCACAACTGTTGTTTTCGGGTTTTTTGAAAGTTCTCTTTGTTTTCATCTAATAATTATAGAATGAGGGTGTGTAGGTGTGGGTGAAGAATATACCCTAACTGAAGCCCACACACAAATATGTTCACTCCGAATTGGGGGAAAAGGCAGAAAAGAAAAACGCCGAAAAGGAAAATGTGAAAAAAAAGAAGGAAAATGCCGAAACTGGTAATTGCAGAAGGTGAAAACGTCGAAATGAAAAAGTATAATTAATAAAAGTGTCAAAGACAAACTGCTAGAGGAAAAGTGGAAAATTTTTGAAAAGGAAAACGTAGAATAAAAAGGATGTATATAGATAACGAAATTGTTTTTTTGAATTGGTATTGGTTGTTAGTGGAATAAGTTAAATTCGTTGTCCTCGTCGTCTATAGTCTATACTTGTTCATTGTTATCATATACCATATATATAAATCAGCCTGGTGAGAACAACTAACAAATAATTTTCTCTTAAATCGTTGGCAATGGACAGTGAAATATCATTCTTAACGACTAATAAAGGTAAACTATTACTAGTGTTTAACCAATATGTTCATATGCAATAAAACGTCCTCATCATAAAAGTATTGGGTTTGTATTTAACATAGATGCGACATATCTGTGCACACCAATTTGGAAAATAAATTTTTCTTTTTCTTTAAAATTATCAAAAAACTCAATTTTAGACATTTACCCTTTCGGCTTTTTCCTTTTTCTACTTTTTTCATTCGACGTTTACAACTTCTGTATTTTCCCCTTCTATGTTTGCCTTTTCGACGTTTTCCCTTTCTGCCTTTTCCACCAAAACCTTCACTCTTTACTTATTGTCCAACAAATAAGTCAATGTAAAACACCTTTTTAGCCAATATTGTTTTGCTATTTATTTTTGCACAACTATCGACAGGAATTGCAACATATTGCATATTTTATTATTAGATGACACCTGAACAACAAGGATAATTCAATTTTGTTTTGACACGGGATCATGAAGCAAGATTTTAGATGATGCAATGGTTACTCTATTTTCTTAGTGAGTTAAAATACTATGGTGCAATTTTTCATCATATGAATTAGTCTTGCGCAAGTATGTAATAAAGCATGCGTCAAATATTTCGTTCGAGTATAAATTGCCCGAAAATTCTTCTCCTTGTTTACTGTTTCAAATAATATTGGTTCGAACTGTAAAATTCTCTTATTTTAACAAATATTATCAAAATTTTGATATTTCACCATGGGTAAAGAAAAGAAACGTATAAGTATTGTTATTATTGGTCATGTGGACTCGGGTAAATCAACATCATCTGGTCATTTGATCTACAAATGTGGTGGAATCGAAAGACGTATGATTGAAAAATTTGAAAAAGAAGCTTCTGATGTATTTAATCTTTATTTCTACTTTGATCAGATTTGCATAACTCAAGTTTTCTTTAAATTATTACTAGATTGGCAAAGGCTCATTTAAATATGCTTGGGTTATGGATAAAGTGAAGGCGTCTCGAGAACGTGGTATGACCGTGGATATCTCGTTATGCAAATTCGAAACTGAATTATCGGATGTAACTATTATTGATGCGCCAGGTCATCGAGATTTCATCAAGAATATGATCACAGGTACAGCACAGGTAAGAAATTTGTTTGTTTCTCGTCGTCTACAGATTGATTGATGCCTCTATTGTCTTTTAGGCTGATTGTGCTGTTTTAGTTGTTTCGGCTAGTGTAGGTGAATTCGAAGCTGGTATCTCGAAAAATGGTCAAACACGTGAACATGCTTTACTTGCATATACATTAGGTTTGAAACAAATGATCGTTGCTATCAATAAAATGGATATGACAGAACCATCATTTTCGGAAGCACGATTCAATGAAATCAAAAACGAGGTGTCCATATACATCAAAAAGATTGGCTATCAACCGGAAAGTGTTGCTTTTGTTCCTATCTCAGGATGGCTAGGCGATAATATGATTGAACCATCAGAAAATATGCCTTGGTATAAAGGATGGTCAGTTGAACGTAAAGAAGGCACTGATACAGGCAAGACACTGTTGGAAGCTCTCGACGCTATTGTGCCTCCACATCGTCAAACAGGCAAACCACTTCGTCTACCATTACAAGATGTGTACAAAATTGGTGGTATTGGCACGGTACCTGTTGGTCGAGTTGAAACTGGCATACTTAAGCCTAACATGATTGTCAGCTTTGCTCCATCGAATGCATCGGGTGAAGTTCGATCAGTCGAAATGCATCATACTGAACTTGCTGGTATATTATCTTAGTTTTCCGTTTTCCGATATTTAAAAAAGTTCGTTTTTTTAATTTTTAGAAGCTTTACCTGGCGACAATGTTGGTTTCAATATTCGAGGAGTACCTGTAAAAGAGCTTCGACGTGGATATGTTTGTTCGGATGCAAGAAATGATCCAGCACAAGAAACTTCTAGTTTTATTGCTCAAGTAAGTTAATTTCACTCGGTTGTTCTTTAGTATAAGCATCGTTTGTTTTCACAGGTTATTGTGCTCAACCATCCGGGTCAAATAGCTCAAGGTTATACGCCTGTTCTTGACTGTCATACAAGTCATATTGCATGCAGATTTGCTGAATTGATTTCAAAAATCGATCGTCGATCAGGTAAAGTTATTGAAGAATCACCACAATGTATCAAATCAAATGAAGCTGCAATGGTTAAAATGGTTCCAACAAGACCAATGTGTGTTGAAAAATTTGCTGAGTATCCTCCATTGGGTCGCTTTGCTGTACGTGATATGCGACAAACAATAGCTGTCGGTATTATTAAAGATGTTGAAAGAAAACTAGCGACACCAGCCAAAGTAGCCAAGGTGGCTGTGACCTCTGGTAACAAGAACAACAAAAAATAGGATGAGGGGTACTTTCGCAAACCAGTGTCACAACCAAGCAATGTACTTATACAACAACATAAACAAAAACAATATCAACAGTTGAGCGTAATCGAGTGTCTATTTCTGGAGACTCATTGGGAACGGCGACGAAAACAAAAAGATGTTTACTCTTGGAGAAATTTTTTCTCTATGGGTAACTTTTGTTTTGTTTTAGTCTCTTATTGTTTCTAGTCGTTATTCAGTCGGTTTTTACTTTCATCTTATCATAATTTTTATTTCGTTGCTCACTTAAGATTAGTTGTGATCAAATATTTTCTTGTGTTTGCGAAAGGTTGTTCTCTTTATCGTCTTTCTTGTGTTTCTGAAACAAATAGAAGAAGAAGAAAAATCTTTATAACAACAATAAAAAAAACGATATTCCAAAAAATTTTGACCTCAACGTCTTTTATCGAATACTCGAGACTTTTTATTAGATTTTCCTATTATAATCGCTTATCAAAAGCAATACTTTCTAATAAGAAACTTTCAATGAAAATGGTAGAATTCAAGTCATTCATAGACAATCTGTCAAGTATACGTAAATATTTGAATGAGAATCAATGTATGAAAATAGCTTTATTTTTAATATCATTACACACACGATATTGCTTCTTTCTTCAGCATATCAATGTAAATCAACATGAAAAATGGCACATGGATGTGAGAGCGTGTTGAACAGAATTTTTATTTTATTTTTATTTGAGTACAAAAAGCTTGTAAATAATTAGATCCAAGTTAATTTGGATACCCAAAGCAATTCCAAATAATTTCAAAATATAATTGGGTAGTTAAAAGTCAAAATACACCATTCCCTTCATGCTTTTATCCTACGATGGCATTTCAAAGAATGCTATCGATCGGTTCAGCCAAATATAATCAATATGTTATTTGTTTAACTGTAATTCGTTTCTTTATTGTTTGTGACAAATATTTGCTCATTAAATCCTATCTACCCAGACCGAGCAGTACGGTCCGTATACGGCCGTTGACGGTTACTTTACGACGATTTTACGGGCGAAAGTTTGCCGTAATATCTGGTGCAGTAATACGTATCGTGTGATCATGAGAGTACGGAGTACAAACAGCCGTAAACCATGAAAATTCAGTCCCGCTTACGGTGCCGTATTACTGCGCTAGGTATTACGGGCAAATACGACCTATTTACTGTCGTAAATATACTGCTTTGACATCGTTTACTGTCGATAAACAGACCATAAACGAGTCCGTTTTGATCAACCTGTGATGGTTTCGGTTTTGAGATTTGGTCTTGAGATTGGTTGTGGTATCGAGGTCTTCGTTTTTTGTTGTTGAGATAAGTCGAAAAAGATTATATTTCCAAGTCAAAATCAAAACCTATATGGTGATAGCCAAAACTTTGAAAACCAAACCGATGTCGAAATCAAAACTTCAAAACCAAGACTGGTTTTGGTGCATCCCTAAATAGATATGTTAAATAATATATTGTATGTTTGTGCAATGTAACAAAAACGATAAAATTTTTAATCAGACCGTATTATCACGAAAAATCTTCGGATATTAAATAATCTGTGCTTTGCAATGGTACGCCAGTGGTCATCAATGAAAATATTTTCTTCGCTTGTGTTGGCTCCAGTGCACGTCCAAATTGATAGTATCTCAATGAACAGATTCCGTCCATGTTCTGTTTTATGAACATCAATGAGGTCTTCTATCATGTCTATCATCATATGCGAAAGATAATAATCACTTAATCACCGTTACATACAAGATTTCAACAAATAACATAAATTGGAATAAGAAAGATATACAATATATGTAATATCTGTATAACTTTCATTGAATTCAACACTGGGTTTTCGATTATATTATTGCATAAACAAAATATTAACTAGAGTAAGATTAATTTTGATATTCATCAATACGCTGCATAGATATGACATCATGGAGAATTCAACTATTGACCTCTTAAATTTTTTTTCTTCTTTAGACACATTAATGAACTATAGCATTGATTTCACTCGGTCTAATTTTTACATATTTTACAATTTCTTGAGCAGTAATTGAAATATCTCAGTATACAAGATCGTATCAAGGGAGGAAAAACTGATTGTCGGATTATCTTTGATTGCTTTCAGCTTTTTGACTATCACATGATGCATTATGGCTACATCTGATACTACTTTTAGTTTTCATCATTTAGCGCAATCACAATCCTCTGATTGATAATGATTGCCAATAATTGCAATCAGGTTTTTCTCCATTGGACTACACATTATTCAACAGTGTTAAGCATCTTTTAGTGTTGATCAGGATGAACTATTGAGTTACATCTGATTTTAATCGTAAAATGATTTACTTAGTTCTAAAATAATTGCAGCGAGAATTATCATTTTTGTTTTCGCCTGAGCTTATTCCGAGATATTCTTTTGCCATTGAATTTGCTCTTTTGAAAATCTTGAGTGTTCTAGTACTAAAACTATCTTCTACTGACTATAAAACTATAAAGAAGAGGAGTCTTATGCAAAAAAGAACTGTTTTTTCTTCAAAGAAAAATTTATACTAACAACTGCTGAAAGATATTGCGAATGATGTCGAGTGTAGATTTATCACTAAATATCCCAGAGATCTATTTCTAATGGTATCAATTATGTAAACCAAGTACCAAAATTTTATCAACATTTTGTTGCTTATTATTCCATTAACATTTCTTTTGATATCGATTTCTTCTCAAAAAATGAAAGTGAATTCATCACGAAGATACTTCCTCAACAAAATTCACACTTTTTTCAAAAATAAATATTTTTCTGTGAAAGAAGTTTCTCTATAAGATGATTCATATTCATTAAAAATCAATGAATCTATATTTACTTTGAAATCATTGATTAACTAAATGTATAATTAATTTGCAGAGATATACATGATTCTATTCAACTTGGCTTACATTTCCATTGCTCGATGATCCTTGAAATAAATTTATTTCACTTTACTCAATCTCTCAGATAGTAAAGCTCGAATATTTCTCTTCTACAATTTTATCGCAGCTGATAATTCTAATAAATAACAAAAACAAGTTTTGATGGTATGCTCCGGTAGTAGTACAATCACTTAGGATATGCCATATCAATGCAATAATAATAATAATCATATATGTATGATTCATTGCTTTTCGCTCTTATAGCTCCAGTGGTGTTGTTGATATCACTACCACGTTGACTTTTATTGTTGTATTGAATTAATGATGCTTATTATTGTGTACGAATACAATAAAGATCAATTTGTTTGTGATACAAAAAGGCACTTGAAAGAAATTCTTTTCATTGGCTCTCTTCTAGATAAAACAAAATCCATGTAGAACTTAATTGAGTTCGTTTTTCCAGCATTACGAAAGATTCAAGTCCATTCATGATTCAAATGGTGTAAACCACTCAGCTTAAAAATCAAAGATCAAGATGAAATTTCTGTTTATGACACATATTTTGTTGATACATATAATATTTCTTCGAATCGCTTGTTTTCTCATGCGCTGCATCATTTTTAGTTTATATCTCAAAGTGCGTATTTTTGTTGACGTTCTCGTTTTTCCTCGTCTATCACCAATACTTTAGAACGATGCGTTTTTCATATAGATAATCGTACCTTACCAACGAAGATTAACTCAATAGCCTGCCATCGTCTTCTCTGACGGGTACAGTTACCCAAAATAAAACGACAAAAATTGTTAAATAATTACTAGCAAACTCTTGACTTTTCTGTCGTCATATCATTATCGCAGTGAATTTCTTGATCTAAAACGAGTCAATATGTCGTATAATCGATTTCGAAAGCCAAGGAATATATAATTCAAATAGGAAACGTGACATATGCCAACGTAAACTTTATGGTCAACGGTCTTCTGCATAAATTAAATGTATGTTGATGCGTGTCAATCTTTTATTTTTGCTTAAGGTCAATTTCATGTATAAGTACAATCATCAAGCAAAGTGATAATCTTAGAATGTTATGTTGTTTTCCGAATAATTAATATTGTCAATCATACTAACAAATGGTAAATAGCTTCGAGCATATCATAAACACAACGACGATAAAATCTTCTGTTGAATTAAACTAATTGAGATTTTCTGTATTGAATTACTACTTCCATTAATAATAAATGCAACATAACAATAATGAAAGAAAATAAAGAAGAGAAGAAGAAAAAAGGAAGTGTATTCATACACACACACATATATATATATTTATATATAGTTAAAGAATGTCTTCCTTGTCACTTTATCTGCCATCACATTAGAACGACAACAAGACAACAAAAAAACATTTACAATATTTCATCCAAAACATCGAACGTAATTATGTAGATTTCATGCTAATCGTTAAGATCTATTAAAGAATAGTTTTAATATATTGAAATTCTAGATCATGACAGTTGTGCCATTTTTAGCATATAAAATTTTACCAAGTCGAACTATTGTTAGAGAAAATATTCGAGTTGATCATGTATGTATTGGCTTTGAATTTTTTGTTATAAATTGAATTTTCTTTTGTTATTTAGGTAAAAGAAGATTTTAATACTTTAATACATGTACTTACGCCTATATTGTTTATTACAAAGACGGGTGTACCAAAACCACCTTTTCTTGATCCCGGTGTTATTCATCATTTGACAGATAAAGTTTGTTTGCTTTTACTCAATATAAATAATAAACATAGTCTATTCATTGTAGCCAGGCACATTAAATCTTTTGCATCTATTCGGTTGGTTTCCAAATGCTCGAGGTGATTATGCGTTTGTTGATGCTAATTCACCTGAAGAAATAAATCAACGTGGCGAAATTGCAAATGAATTTCGTCGATTTTATGATGAATTAAAACAGACCAAAGATAAAGATCTTAGTTCAGTAACAAATTCTCATGCAGTAAGTTCTTATGAAATAAAAACTCTACTGTTTTACGTGTACTGTATAAATTTATCATAGATCATAACAACAGTACCATTCTCAGCATATTCTATTATACCAGCTGAAAAGATTATTAGAGATAATGTTCGTCTAGGACATGTATGTATTGTCGTTACACTCATTATTCAATGTTATATTTGACATGTTTGCTTTTGTAAATAGATCAAAGAAGATCTTGATTCTATGATACATGCTTTGACGCCAGTTCTATATCTAACGAAGACAGGTGTACCGAAACCACCTTTTCTTGATCCTAGTATTGTTCAACAATTAACAGATAAAGTTTGTGAAATTTGATTGGATATTATGGTGTTCAATTCGATTATATTCTAGCCTGGTACATTGAGCTTATTACCACTATTTGGTTGTATTACTAATAATCGAGGTGATTATGTTTTTGTTGATGCCAATACATCAGAGGAAATAGCTTTACGCGAAATTGCTTCTCATGAAATTCGTCAATTATACGATGAATTGAAACGTGTCAAGAATGGTCCAGATATTGTTGTTGAATACTTTCTTAATGTAAGTTTCCTGCATTGATTAAAGATAATGATTTTATAATTTGTTTTTTTTTTGGTTAATTTTAGCATCCAAATAGTGATGTTTGTAATGTACAATGATCCTAATTAATTCTTACATCACATCAACTGTTAGATAAAAAGAAAGACAAGACTGGAATTTTTTAATTGCTATATAATTCATCTATATCATTTTACTTTTCTTATGTGTGCTTTTCATATTTCTATAGAAATTATTATCTCTTTTATATACAAAAGTAATTCTGAATATCCGTGATAGACCGATAGAACTTTTGGTTTTTCGTATTCTCTTATCCGACCCATGGCAATGTGTTATTTTAGTGATTCGATTATAGATTTTGTTTAAAAGAGGTTTCAGTATTCTGTTTCTATAGAATAAGTTTTCTAACTAATGTTAATTCTCTTAGTCTTCCACGAAGAAATGTTCATGGTCAGTGTAATTTCTTCGAAATATTTACAATCTATTGCTGAGAGAAGAAAACAGAAGGGTGTGCCTATTGCTAATGATAGCAGGCAGGCATTGTGCACGGAGACGATCGATTAATCATGAATAATATTTTCCTTCAAGATTTCATCACGACACGTCAACAGAAGAAAAATACGATCGAAATAACGAGAAAAAAACTTACGAACACCATACGTTCGAATTTCACATAAAAACAAAGTAGCTTTATTTTAGCTTCTATTTGCTAGTCGATCTATCTTTCAATAGTTTATCTTTTAGCTCAATTAACTCTTTTATTCTTGTTTTTGCTTGTTATATCGTATGCATTTTGTTTTCGTTTCGAGTCCGTACATCATTGTTTAGCTCATCGAAATATACGAAAATTGTGTATGACTTTAGAATATATGATTGTAAGTAATTTGAGTAATTAGTGGCGAAAATATCTTCTAATAATGTAGTAAAATTAACTTCTATCCAAAACTTACGACTGTTCTTACATATGAGAGCATTGAAACGAAAATATTTCTTCGAATATGATATCGCTAAACTTGAATCAAAGACCGAAAATCTACTCTAACGTCGAGTATTACTTCATTGTGAAGTTTTCTAATCTTGCAGTTACGGCTATTTTGCTTATTTGAAAGTTTCATTTTTAAAATCTTCATTCGATCGCGGTGATGCAAACGAAATCACATCTTATTTTGATCTGTCGACATCTTTTTTTCTATTTATAATCGACTAAGAATTCGTACTTTTAAATGGTAAAAGTAAAAATAATTTTCGAGATAAAGTATTAAGAGGCCGCATGAATATTTCGATTGAATCCAATGGAATTATTTATTCAAATAATAAAATTTTATAGTTTAATTATAATTTGGGTCTGCTGTCAAAATCTCTCTTTTACAAGACGTATACCATAAGGTTTTATTAATTGTTAATACAATAAAAACCAAAAGGAAGCCATTATTTTTAGGATTCTTGTTGGCATTGTCTGTGAACATTTATTTTAATTTTACTACTAATGTTGCAGACTCCGTACTTGTAGTGTTGTGAATGTATAATTTGTAGATGATCAATACTGCTATCAATTCATCATTGAATATTAAATGATTTTAGTATGTTTCCAGGTTTGCATCAAAGAAAAGGGTACATGTTTGATGCTATAAACAAAATTTGTATGTAATGAAAAGTTAGTGTCAAGATAATATGATGATCTAACTATGTTATAGCGTACCCAAGATATTCAATAAACATTCTCCTTCTCGTTTTTCTATGTAAATATACAGAAGATTAGTAAAAATAGAAAAAGAAATTAATATTCGATGAGATTATAGGCGTGGAAGCGAAAACAAAACACTAACGACATGGAATAGAGAATAGCTTTGCCAAAATTCTTTCAACTGTATGTTTAAACTCTTTAAAGTAACGAATAGAAGCAGTTAGCATGTCTAAAAATCCATCTCTATCGCAAAATTTTGTCGAATCCCAAGTTGAATATATAATAAGAATAGGAAATTGAAAAATAATGATAAACATTTTTTTCAGTCCGACATAAGTTTCATGACAGCACATGACGTGAGTAACGAGCATATCTATTCTCAATTGATAATTCTCATATTACAACAATTGCTTCTAAAAGCATAGAAAACCACTTGGCAAAAAATTTCTTGACAACATCATAGGTTTGTATTCGCAAGGATATTTGTCTTTTGCTCTTTTTTTTAATTTCATATATTTGTGTATCTGATTTCTGTTCTTTGTATAAAAAGTTGCATTGACAACAAATTTAGTTTTCTTTTTCAAACAATTCTGTATATAATTTAATAATTTTGAAAAAAAATGATGCGCCGGAAACACCATTCAATATTATCATCATCGCCTTTGTTTGAATTGAAAACGCTGGAAAGTCTAAGAAAAGAAAGAACCAGTCGCTTCTCTCCCATTAAGAAAATTCTCCTCTAACAAAGACGAAGGCTAATGATGATGCGTTAATGCTGCTTGAGCTAAGCCTGACAAAGAGATTTTTTTCTATGATTTACTAGCTCTTTGCCTTCTTCTTTTCGAAACGATAGATCTCTCATTGAGATTGAAAAAAAGAAGAAATAAAATAGCTTGTGAGAATGAATGACTGCGATTTAAAAGAGCCTCAAATAGCTAATGCGTACAGCTGACTGTTGACCCGAATAAAGCGCATTAAATATGATTGACAGTCATTTTTCTCTCTGTTCACATGGTTAGGCTGAAATTACAGCAAGAAATCAAACATTATTAAAATCTGCACTCTTAAATCAAGCTATCACGGCTTTGTCTATTCTATTAATTGAACATAACTTGATCTCATATTTCTTCAGTTTATTGCATTTTCTATATTGATATTCAATGTTAAATTCATCTTTTAAATTCAACAAAGTTTCCGTTTAGAAACGCTGAACACTATTGCCACAGAAATGTGACTCACAAGTTGTGAGTCACAACTGGCACTAGACGAATGACTATTATGTAAGTATAACTCAAGAATTTCTAGCTTGTTAAAGTATTGTTCATGCCAAAGCACATTTTGGACGTGTATTTATAGAATTCTCCAATTACTATATCTAACTTGTATATCAAAAGTAAGTTTTACATTTTTGAATTAAAGCAGTCTATTAATATTTATAGTAGACCAATAACAAGATGATTGTGTTTTCTTTTCTCTTCATTAAAAATGACGATGATAAAAAAGCGATTATATACCTATGGTTGCAAGCTCACCCAGTCACATCAACCAAGTCTGTAAAATTAAATATCATGATTTTCTTAGTATTTTAATACGATAACTAGTGTGAATTTGAGATCTGTTATATTTTTTTTTGAAGAGTGCACAGAGATCTTTGTAACAAGCGAAAAAATGAAGCTTATCTACCTCTATCTATAGATATTGTAGTTCTCAATAAATGCTATCCAATCGCAGCACCCAAATAATATCAATTAATTGAATATAAACATCAATCGTAATATTTAGTTTACTATAGTTTCACCTTCTATATCACGGTTAGACTAATTGCAGCTTGTTTAGCATATTGTCCATGGCTAAGTATTGATGATTCTTACTGTGCTGTTGATACGAGATACGCTTTTTGTCTATTCGCATCGACATGTAATTTGTAAGCAATATGTGTGTCGAAACTAGTGTACTTATTTATTCTACATTAGAACAACGTAACTAATTTATCTAAAATCAGAGGACCTTGGCCATGGATGGTAGGCGTATCTCATTGTAAAAGACGTGTTAGCTAGAATCAGATCTATGTATCGTTTTAGCTCTCAATTTTGTTTTTACTCCTTCAACGTGTCATATCATTTCCAGGTCCGTGTCCAGGATATTGTCACAATGGGTAAACAAAAGCCATTTCATTAACATGCATCAAAGAAAATGATGTTCTCCTAGTAATGTCATTGATCAATTTATAGATTCAGGAATGAACTTCTAACATTGATGCCTCTATATATAATTTTAGATTGCATTTCTACTTCCTCAATTTTCTTAAATATTATAAATAAATATAACTTTTTCTTTTTTCTTGTTGTACCATGTATAAGTGTCTCTCTGTCACGTTTATCGAAAATTGATTATCCCTAAAAGAAAATCAATAGATCAGACATAAATCATCATTCGTTTCGTACTATGTCTTTCCAAATTAATCTAAGACTTTTGATTCTGCTTGAAATATTGATTATTCAAAGGTACCGATAGTTTTTGTGCATACAAGTTTAAGAGGAAAGATGGCAGCGGTGCACAATATAATACGGATATCCGATATAGAGGGCACTAAAAGTTCAACGATAATTTACTACTAAATCGTTCGAAGAAGTTCACATAAAACCTAAAGCAATAAATTAAAATATAGTTAAATATTTTAAGTATTGTGGTAAAAAACACAACACAGAATTATTATATCACGAATGTATGGTTGAAGTGCATCAATACCTACCCAATCTATTATAAAATATATGAGTCATTGCTTCTTGACATGTTCACCATTATATGAAATTTTATGTGTGCAGAATCGAGTTCCACCTTTTGTTTATTTTCCTTATCTATGAATATAAATTTCCAATAGTAAACACTTAAAATCAATCTGTTCAAAAAAGTATTTTATCGTGAGACATGAAATATTAGTTTTTATAATCGTTTCAGATATAAAACTAATGGAAGCAACGAGTGCTAATACGGTTAATTCTGGTTTTGTTGGCATTAAATTTTGTCAAGAATGGTTCGTTTGAATTCAATTGTTTTAATTTTAATTTAACTTCATTTTCTAAAAATTGTTTTAGCAACAACATGTTGTATCCTAAAGAAGATAAGGAAAATCGAATTTTACTTTATGCAGTAACTATCTTTTTCCTTTCATCGCTTCCGATTAATGTATATATTTAGTGCCGCCGTTGTCAACATCAACAGGCAGCTGATAATCCTTGTATTTATGTCAATAAAATTACACATGAAATAGAGTAAGCATTGTTTTCCGGGAGTACTTGTAGTTTTAACTAGCTTCATTACAAAAATGTTCCCTTAATTGTTTCCTGAAGTAGTAGTGGGTACGACCTTTTTTGAAAGAAAATCTTTTATTCTTTTAAGATCTATATAATTAGATATTCTGGGGGATTTGGATGATAAAACTCTCATTACTATTAATAGAAAATCGTGTGTTACATTACTAGTTAGAAAGTTTTGAAAGGTAGTCTCCTACATTAATCTTAGTTAGGCAATATTCAATTATATGAGTTACTATGATTTTACGTGACGAGTTTATTAGTTCATTATGAACCAATCTACTATTGTCGTGCAAAACAAAATGCTTTTGCAACCAATTTAAATAGAAATCCAACATTTTTTGTTTTCATATAAAATCATATTTTTTTGTACTATCATATATTTCCAACTCTGAAAATGAATGGTCAATACATCTCGAATGATTACATTTATATAGTATGTGAATGAATAGCAGTGAAACTATGATTAATGATACATATTATTCTATGAATGAGTATTTCTCATGAGTACAATTAATATTTTTCATATCGGAAATATATAAATATATTCCAATGTTGAATGTTGGATCACGAACTAGAGCACGTAAACAGGTGTTTCGAAATCTACTGCAGATCATATCAGTTCGTTTTGATGTTTCATGATGGAAAAGGTCAATTGTTCTTTATATACACTACTGACTGGATAATCCATTTTCCAACCAAAAAACATTGATTTTTTTTAGTGAATTAACACAAATTGTTACTGATGTTGTATCCGATCCAACATTACCACGTACTACTGATCATCCTTGTAAGTTTATTGCTTAAATTTCCAAACGAATGACATTCGTTTCTTTTAGGTCCAAAATGTCACGGTAGCGATGCAGTATTTTTTCAAGCACAATCAGCACGCAGCGAAGTTTGTCTTTTCTATATATATAGTTTTCATTCTTTTATTTCCAATTTTGTTTTCATTTTAAGGATCGTATGACACTTTATTATGTATGCCGAAATCAACATTGTCTTCATCGATGGACTGAATAGAATAAAAAATTCTACATATTTCTTTTTGTTTCTTCTTCTTCTTCTTCTTGTAAAAGTCAAATAAATACAACTCTTTTCTTTTAATTTCAGATATGTAATTGAAAAGAGAAAATTCGGAACACACAAACAATTTCTATTATCTTTCAATAAACATTTTATTATGTCTTCTCAAAATGAGAACGACGATAAATTACCAACCGAAGATAGTCCTATAACAACTGTTAGCCATAAACGTCGTGTACGATTTCCAAGTGATGAAGCACAATTGCGTATGATATCAATTACACCTGAACCATTATCGAATCAACCATTACTTTCACTTGGAGTTATTTTACAACGTTATCGTGCTGCATGTCAACGTGTACAAATACGTCCATTGAATTGCTTATTAGATCAATTAACTACAATGGATGACAACAGAAAATCATTTAGTGATCGTCTTCATTGCTTAAAAATAGCTAATGAACGATTAGATATAAAACATATTGATGCTATTGAAGAAGTTTTATCTCGTTGCCGTTTTCATACATTGGATTTTGAATCGTCATTCTCTGATGATTCAACACTTGTACAATTTTTTGACATTATTGAATATTATGAATCGTGCACGCATTTAAATTTATCTAATAATCGTTCCATTAGTGTACAAGGTTATCAAGCATTAACGAGATATTTAAGAAAAACACGTTATTTAGAAAGACTTGATGTGAATTCAATGCGTTTTGATGATATGAGTATGTTAAGTTTTGGACGTGCACTACGTATGTCATCAACATTATATGAATTGCATTTGGAATCGTGCCAATTAAATGGAAAAATTTTACAAAAATTAATACAAAATATACGTTTAGCTCCTTGTTTACGTGAACTTTATCTTTGTGATAATCGTACGTATTTTTTCATCGGAATATGAATACAAGGAAGTGTTTTCCTAGTAGTAATCTGACCGAGTTCAATGGCGTTGAGATAACATTCTCTGCAGGTTAATTAAAGAAAGTCTATTTTTTGAATTACTGACATAAATAGAAATAGTCTTTTTTAATGCGAGTTCTTCTACTTTTTTGTTGCTTGTAGCAAATAATAAACGATAGAGTAGCTTTTATATTTTTACGAGCATTATTTTTAAGAGAAAAATTACTTATGGACTCAATTGGTTTTAGGCTTAATGGAACAAAGTGATTTCGAAGAGATTTATTCTGATGAATTAATGTATGCTGTAAAATGATAGCAAATATTTGAAAGGAAAACTTTGACACATAGTATTTTATATTAAATTATAAATCATCAGTAGTATATAGAAAAGGTCGTAGATTTTCTATTGAGTTTCTTAGAGCTTTTCTTTGAAAGGTTATCAGCGCGTAATGAATCTGAGTATTGCCATTAAATGTATCTGCTGTTGATTATGATAAGTTTTCTATTAAAGGTCAAAGATAACTAGAAAAAGACTTATTTATGCTCCGAATATTCTATTCTTTGAAGTAGAACTATGAACTACATGTTTCTGGAATATGAAAATTATTCACCTGACTTTTTCGGACACTTTTCTTTAACAAGACATTCATTGGATTTCGATGATTGCGCTATTGGAATTAGTGTTGAATTGCATAGAAAAGCTTCTAATTATGTATTGAAACAGAAATAAATAATAGAATAATTTCATTGACTAAATAGGCCTTCAAGTGCAAGACTCATTACTGATAAATGATCTGATTCGAACTTGTGGTCAATTTCTTCATGTACTTGATCTACGTTCAAATGCATTGCAAGATACTGGCATGTCTCATATAGCGTCGCAATTAAGTCAATACGACGAAAATCATGCACAACAAAGCAATCTATACAAAATAAGTTTTCAATCAAATCAATTAACGTATCAAGGCGTTGGTTTTCTAGCTAAATCGTTACTTCATAATCGTACAATACGTTCATTAAATTTAAGTCATAATCCAATAACAAACGAAGGTTTATTTCTATTACGTGATACTCTATTAACGAATCGTACAATAAATGAATTAATATTGAGAAATTGTCGTTTAACAGATCAAGCTGCTATTGCTTTAGCAGAATATATAGCTGAATCATCCACAATACAATATTTAGATTTAAGAGAAAACAGTATTCAAGCGAGTGGTATATGTGGTATTGCAATAGCAATTAAAAGTAATAAATCTTTATTGAAACTTGATTTTGATCCAATTATTACAACAAATTTTAATTCACAATCGAATAATAATATTGATCGATCAACAATACCAAACTCAAATAGTCTCCTGTCTCTATCAAATCTTCGACGAATGACAATCGGTTTCAGTGGCTTAACAAGTAATGCATATAATGCAAATGGAAGTGATACACAAACTGCACGAGAGCTATTTGAACAAAAACTTAAATGGATGAATGATATTGAATGTGTTTGTGAGAGAAATTTAATTCATTATGAAGATCAATTACGTCGACAACAAGAAGAAGAAGAACAGCAACGACAACAACAACAACAACAAACAAATGAACAAAATGATAATGGTAAAGATATTGAATATATTTATTCAAATTTATTTATTGTTTCGTTTAGGAAAAGTTATAACTAATGGAACTGATCAACAAGAATCACCCATTGTTACATCAAAAGATATTATTTTAGAAGAAAATTTTACTAATGAAATTTTATCAAACGATAATATTCCTTCATTATCGGCTGACAATGAACATTCAATGCTTCCTATTCAGAATAACAGTGAAGTTACAGCACTATCAACAGATGAAATTTTACAGTAAATTATCTTGATATGGAATTATTTCAGGGAATGCTGTTTTTTTTTAAATTTAGATCACAAAATGCTGGAGCTAATGATGATGATGTCTTTGTTGTAGCACCTATAGATAATCAATCGAATGATAACAATCAAGTTGCACCAATGCCAGAAATTTCTGTTGAGTAAGTTCTCTTAAAACGCGATAATCTTTACTTCTGCACATCAACAGCGAAAATAGAAATTTAATTGACCATGCCAGTTTTAAGAACTACTAGTTATTGCCTACTTGACATTTGTATGAGTCATATTTTATTAAGTCACTTTAATAAACGAGATTATGACTGGTTTACTATAGATATGTGAAGATTCGATAGAGCGCTTAATGATAGAAGTACAGTTTTCATAATATCTGTCATTTTCAATTTTCGAAATGTTTTGTAATCAATGTTCATCATTAAGAATTCACGAATATTTTAAACTATTCTGCATAAAATTAATCATTGTGAATGATTGATGAATCTCACTGAGATTCGGGAGAATAATAACAGTAATTCATTGAAAATGACATATTAGTGTTTGGTGTTTGTTCAAGTAATGAATGCAATGATGCTTGAAATTGGATAGAATATAAAGACAGCAATGGTATTGAATCGTGCCGTTCTTGTAGAGAATACTGATTCAAACATAATTACTATGTCTGAACTGTACAAATAGTGGCTAATCAACTGATAGTATACATTTTTAATCAAGCAGAAAGAAAAGACGTTTAAACAGTTAGAAATCTTGTTTTTTTTTCTATTTTAGGTCTCAACGCAACGGTGATAATCACGAAGAATCACAGACAAATAACATGGATGGAGTGTTTACATTGGAAGATCCAACTTCAACTCCTAATAATACTGAAGATAATCCTGATGATATTTTAAATGATGATGATCAAAGAAAACTGAACCATTCGGATAGTCTTTATTTATTACGAAAAAAAGCCCAGCACGAAGATAATGATACAAGCGATGATGAATCTGATTTATCGTCCTCGATCGATCAACCGCAACAACAATTAACAGATGGTGTATAGATGATTATCTTCTAATTTAATTTTAATCCTTTCTTTTTAAATAATTTTTGAATGGTGCAATTCGTAGATCAGCAAACGAATATGTAGAATTTTCATTTTGGTGCTTATTCAAAAACACAAGAAAAAAGAGCATTCCATACAGTTCTGTCTGTCGACAAAGAAATATAATGAAAGTTAGGAAAAAACAGTGGAATTTTTCCGTATTCATCCTTAATTTATTGTTTCTTTTTGCAATAATTCAGTCCATATTTATTTCTTGAGAAAGTGTTATTGTGGTGCTCCGCATTACTCTTTCGCTTTAATATGTGATTTCGACCTTTCTTTTTTTCGTTTCTCTTTCATAATTATACATATATATATATATACGTAAACTTAATTAATTGCCTTGCTTAAAAATTCTTGTTTTTAATCTTATTTCTTGGCTCGACCATTGTTACAATCTGTTTCGTAAAATCTCTCTTTTTCTCTATTATATATAGAATTCATGTGTTAATAAGCGTCGATAGTGTTATTTTTCTTTTTCTTGTTGGATAATAAAAAAAAGTCTCATTTCGTTTTCTTTCTCCTGGTGTATAACGATGATTTTTCGATGTTTCTTCTTCTGCATTGTTTAGATCACGTTATGAATAAATGAGAAACATACTCGTATCTGTTATAGTTATATCGATCTATAATATTTATTGCAAAATATAAAAATATGATTATGAGAACAATATGAATTTTTAAATCGATATAAATATTTTAGAAAAATGTTAAAATTAAGCGATTCAATTTATGGAAATAAATACTAAGTTGAATGCATCGCTCAATAGAAAATTAAGTATACTCATGGAATAGGTGTAACATAATGGTGTCAACCAGTTAATATTTCCAATTGTTCTGCCTTTTATGAAAGTCCTATTGATGTTATTTAGATACGATTAAATACGAATGAAAACGTTTTAAAAGAAAAAACGACACAAGAAAAGTCCTGATGAGAGTATTCGTAAATATAGACGTAAGGCTAACGCATAGGGATATTGCCTGAATTAACTTTTCCCGAGCACTATCTAGTTCAATGAGAGTTACTGGGACTCTCTTGCCAATTGACTAGAAAGGAAATAGTATCGACCTACGCAACAGATAGAAACAGCAAAAATACATTAGAAAAACGATAATAATGACAAAATTTATTTGGCTGCTGTTTAGGAATTAAAAACCTTAAATAAATCAACCAGCACGTCATTGATCATCAACTGATATTAGTGTTTTATTCTTTGTTTACCACTATTTAGTCACCTTGATTCATGCTTGAATACATCGTAGTGTCGTAACGATTGTCCTTAAAAAGCAATTCTTCGATACAAGAATCTTCAATATGGGTACGAATGAAAATATAGTTATGCCAGAATCGCCGGCTTAATCATTTGACATTGTCAAATAAGTAACTGTTTACATTCATTTTTCTATCGGATCAATTTTTTGCCAAGGACATTTTTTGTTTATCATTAATGACTATACAAAGAAACTTGGTAAAAGGTTAACAGTATAAAAAATCAACGAATTCAAATTGCAGATTGTGATTCTCATTATTCAACAATTTACATTTTATGACAAACACTTATATATCCAGTCATAATGAGGGTTAATTCGCAATTTATCAGCTCCCTATTTTCTATTGATAATTATTAATCGTCAAATACACTTTCGTAGTGATGATTGACATTAATCAAATACTATTATCCAGACATAAGTATGCAAACAAAAGCAAAAAACGTAGCATTATTGTTGTTTCTTTTGCTTATTACATATCATGCTGAGGCATCATCTATCTACAATTGTCTTAAATCGTGAAAAATATATTAAAAATCATGTATTTTTTCATCTATTTTCATTGTTGCCCTGTTTTTTTTCTTTGTCAACCCATAAAAATAATTCTGTTTCTATTTGAGAAAGAAATATTTATCAGATGATTATAAATATGCTATTTCAAGTAATCTAGAGCATTATTAACAATCAAATAAATATTTGATCGCTCGGCTTCATTTGTTCTGAACTTGAAAGTATTGTTCATGACATAGAAATAAAAGTGGTTTATCATAGATCATCTGCTGACTTAAATGAAATATATGACTTGCCCAAAATCCGTGGTGCCATCAAACTTTAATTCAGTTTATCAAACATTGATAATTTGCAAAAAAATATAAATTCTCTTTTTCAAAAGGACTTCATTGGCTTCTTTTCCCCCGGATCTATACAACGACAATTAGCATTATCAGAATGATAAAATGATTTCTACTTTGTATATTATACAAAACCATGAATAAATATTTTAACTACTAAAATTATTTTCTTAGAATAAACTTGTCTATTCAAAAGTGAATATTTTTTGTAACGATATAACTCCATTATATTCTACGGATTCATAAAATCAACAGGAAAAATTTCTAAACACAATATATATTTTCTTCCATAAAAATCTGAAATGCTGTTTCAAAGTTAACTGAATGTGATATTTTACTTATTTTATCCGAATAGCAAAAGAAACTCTAAAGAGTAACTTGAATAAATTAATTCCATTAGATGTTATAAATAGTTTTATTCGGAAAATATTTTTCAGAAACTATTAATATCGATATATAAATAAATCATTCCAGTCATTAATTATTTACTTAATTTGATTTAGAAAAATGGAAAAAATATTTTTTCCTGAAAAAGAAAAAGCAAACGATATAAGTACATCAACAAATACTTAAATTGTTGTTGCTGTTTTTGCTTTTATACTTTTGTAAGTACTTACAATATATCAAGAAATATTATGACAAAAACAATAATCAGCCAAAATATTATGTGCTTAATTTTCTTTTTCCTTGGATTCAAGGACACAAAAATACGTCCGTATGTCACAATAATCATGACAACAATAACAAAATAATGACGTGATTTTTTTTCTCTTATTTTCTGGCATGAGAGAAAAAGTGCGTAACAAGTCATGGTTCACATCGACAAAAACATATGCTTATCGAGTCGTCAAACACACACACACACACACACACACACACAAACAATGCACATTTTATTCTTTTGTTTTTCTGGTTCACATACAATAATTATTTGTTCGCGTTCGATATACACATTAATGAATTATTAACGAGACTAAAAATTTTCACAAACTGTTCTACACAACACGCACACACATAAACATAAACACAAATAGATACAAATATTTTGCTTTCTCTTTTAAAACAAATATAATCAGGACTGTTTATTTGCTTTTTAGCGATACCTGAAGCATCGAATAATTCAAGTCAGAAAACTGTCTGACGATATTTCACTGCCGCATAGGAGAAATAAGTCGTACATTAATTGACATGAAATAAATATAAACTATTTAAATATCCATCGAATTCGATGACTGTAAAAGTCTCTGAAGGTGTATATGAATAGGTGTACTTTGATGCATTGAACCAGCACAGAATAATCTTTCGAATATGTCTTCTTTAACTTGATATATATTACATAGAAAGAACACGACTTTTGAATATTTAACACGCGTTGAACACCATTTCATTAGTTTCGTTTGCGTTTGACATTCAGCTTTTTCAAATAAACTTCCAGATAAGTTATTAAATAATGTTTTACCCTCTTTATAAATAATCATTTCACGTATAAGATTAAAGCCAATTTCATCAATTTCTAATGTTTTACCACGATTTATTAATGATTCAATTTGTTTAACATCATTTTCCGTTGGATGTATAATAGTTGTTGACGGTGACGTTGATAGCGATGATAGTAAATCATTTGTTATTTGTAAATCTTTTGTAACGTAAATTTCGAAACTATTTTCAATCATACTTGTTAGTAATAGACGATGCCATACACGTGAAAAAATTAAATATTTATCTTTATCATTTTCAAGTGTATCTTGTATAACAGAAAGAGATAGTGCAAAGTTAACATTACGTTCAAGCCAATCATTGATACGTGCACCAATAACAGGCATTAATTTTTTTGGTATACAAACAAAATCATTATTTGGATCAATGGTAATTGATTTCGGTGGACTTAAACAATGCGGTGAACTTGGTGGTGACGCTGATGATGATGAAGATGAATAACGATAATTCGATTGAATAGGACCTTGAGAAAAAAATACAAATGGGAAATCTACTTGATAAAATTCATAATATAAAGCATACTATTATCTATTGTTCGATTTGTTCCATTATTCTTACGTAAATCAATGGGTACAGGTTTAAGTAATTTTTGTTGTTGATGTTGTCCTAATAGACGACTACTTTCAAGTAATGTTTGATAGGTTTCTCGACGATACGGTTGATCATTTAAAGATGAATTTGATTGAATATGATTATTATTGTTATCGCTTTCTGGTTGTTGTTGTGGTTTTCGACGTTCACGAAATTTTTCTGCTGATGATGATGATGATTTATGTCCATTTGTATTGGAATTATTAACTGAAGCAGCTGCAGCTACAGCAGCCGCAGCAGCAGCCATCATAGGTGATGTTAATGGTAGATAACCTGATGCTGCATGTAAAAGTGCAGCTGGATAATTAACACGAAACTGTTGTGTGAGCGTATGCATAAGAGCATATTGAGCATAACCAATAGCAAGTGCTTCTTGCTGGCTATATGGAATGTTATTGTTTGTTGCTGGTGTTGGCATAGAAAAACCTGATGTAACCGTTGCTTCACTTGAGAATTTTTTATCTTTATCGAGTTCATCATAGAAATGAGCAAGTGATTTACGTTTTCGACTACCATTTGAAATTTGTGGTTGGTGGTTTGTCTCGTTTTGATTTGTTCGAAATACCTAAAAGTGTAGTTTTTGTTTTATAGACAAGAATAATCATACTTATTGTAAATCTGAGAAGACAGATGCACGGAAATGACTTTATTTTTAAAGTGATTTCGCCTTTTTTTAAATAAATACTTACATGGACAATATTATTATCTGACAATGGACTTGATGATGAAACACCAGAATCCGATGCGCATGATTTCACTGAAGCTGATCGAACAATTTTCGGTGCCATATCATCAAGTGATGGAGATGTTGACGACATGATTGTGCTTGCCATCGTTGTGTTCATAGTCGCCAATAAAGGACAGGATGAAGATGGAGCAAGTAAACAAGATGTTGGCGAAGGAAACGAACGATTCATAGACATGCATTTTTCTGATGGTGAAATAGAAGATATCGAAGGAGATGTTCTTTGTGTCATATCAGTCATTGGATAAGATCGACAACGAGGTGGCGAATAGTTTGTTGGAATTCGAACATCATGATTTGGTGAATGACGTAGACTATTATTATTCTTATTATTAAATGCAGGAGCAGCAGGTGAAACAGGTAGTGATGCGGAATATTTCATATCAACAAGAGTATCTGTTGTATTTGTACTTGTTGGAGAATTCAAAGCTGCAAGATTTGTTAATGTACCAGATGGTGAGTTTTCACGTGGCGATTGTAATGTACCATTGAGTAGAGCCGGTAAAATATTTGTCAGTGTACTTGTAGCTGTTCGATGAGACGATGATAGAGACGACGATGAAATATTTCCTTTGCGTAAAAATGGTGGAACATTCAATGACGATGAATTCGGTGAGGATGTCGCAGAATTAGAAGATGATTGAAGCATTTGAGTAAGAAATGCATTCTCAGTTGAAGAACTTACATTATCCTTTCCTTAAATTTAGAATAAAAAGAAAATTATAAAAACAAGAATTCGTATACTATATTTCATAAATAAAACAGTGCGATGACTCACCATTAGTGTAATGATTTAGCTGGAGTTGTTTGCGTTTTTCGCGAACACTCTTACAGAATGCAATGCGATCCAGTGTATTGTTTGAATGTGGCGGTGCAGCAGTGGCAGGAATCATGGATGGCAAGTGAACTTATTCAGTAGTGTACGTAAAATGTATGACCTTATTGGTCTAGAATAACAAAACAAAAAGAAATGAGATTGTGTTATATAATCCATTATAAACGACAACGATGTAGTTGTCTTCTTTGGCGTCTAGTTCATCTGATCTGTATTGTACACACACACGGCAATGACGATCGTATTGTTCACGTTTCAGTTTTTTTCTTCTTTTGTTTTTTATTTGTGATGCTTTAATTTCTGTCTAGCCGTTATCGCTACGTAATCACAGATATGAATGTAAGAAACTATTACAGTCAAAAAGAGAACACTTAACGAGTAAGGTAAATACCATGCTTGCGACATAATTTAATACAAGTACTAAAAAAAGTAGAAGTTTTATGAACTTATTTTTATATCAGTAGATACTATCTCGTTGATGATATCGATACTTTATAACTAACTAAGATGTGTTGTCCTCAAAAAACTAATAAACTCGGTAAACTCTTTGAGAAAGAGGAACACAAGCAATAACATTCATAAACACGAGAAACGAGGAGTCTTGATTGTGTTATCCTGGGAAAAAAACGAGTGCAAACTCAAAACAAAACAAAGCTCATCATTATTATCATGATAATTATCAAACGGGAACCCTTTCTACACTCCGTGTTGCTTTTCTATTTATTTTGAATCAACTTTCTCTCTATCTCTCTCTCTCTGTCATTTTTTTCTTCTCCACTTTTTTTCTTGTTTTCAAGGACGCGATGTAAGCGTATATTGTTGGCTAGGGATGAAAAGCGAAGACGACCTTGAACTATATGTCAAAGAGCTGCCCTCGTGCTTGCGATAACGCGCAAGACACTACTAGTAGTGATGATGATGTTGTTGTTGTTTTTGCGAGTCATCACAGACATGCATACGGTCGGCGGGGCACAGTAGTCGACTTGGAGAAAGAAAAATACGAACGCGCAAAAACCGATTCCTACTCTTGTTCTATTCTTGTTTTGTCTTCCGATGAGAAGAAATAAAAACAGAAATCTGCCGTGTTCCATTAATTCATCGACAAAAGAAAGCAAAAAAAAGTATAGAAATTGCTTTTAGAAATACAAGGTGTGACTCAGCTGCTTCTAGTTTAATCCTTAACCTCTGAATAATTAGTGTTGTGACGATAATGTTTTCGTGTTTTCGCTCTACTTGAATCGGTGCTCTCTGTTATGTATTCTTTCTTTCTTTCTTCTCATCTTCTCTTGTTTTCAGCAAAACAAAAAAACAAAGCAGCAAAAAACTATGTAATCTATTCTTACTACAAAGCAAAACCATAAGAAACGCCTATGAATTACTGATATAATGGTAAATTAGGAATGTTAAAAGACAACAAAAACAAAGCAAGACATTTTCATATCTTAACGCACCGTGATATAATCAAAATGTCATATAAGGGAAAAAAAACCTCTTCTTATCTTGGATAATAAGTTTGAATGAAAAATTAAAAAAGAAGAACTCGATTCATACATAGTAGATGGAGGTCAAGGCTCAACAATGAGTATATATATACACGTATGTGTGTTCGCTTCTTTAAAATTATTGAATTTCATCATTTTACTACACTTACTTTTACTCTTTCGCTCTAAAATCAATCGAATATCATCGATTACGACAGGCGCGAGGCGAGGGACACGACACGCATCGAACAAAGATAGTATAGAGAAAATTTTACTCATCTTTGCCTCGCTCTCAATCATTCAATGTCATTTTATGTGTATTACCTGACTGAGTGCTTGTTTCGGACCAGTATCTTACCTAATGCACACACACACACACATTCATACACACGGTCAGTACGATCATTCAAGGAAGACTCGTGTAGAAGAAGGTAGAATGTAAGAGAAAAAACGAGCAGAATATTACATTACGCAACTCCTCATCACCGCATGACAATGACGCCGCCGTATATCCGATGTAAGCTACTACCATCATCATTATCAACATTGAAAGAAGGGTGAACTCGAGGCTGGCCTGTCGTCGGCGCTGACCTACAACAATCATAGCACCTGCTCATATATGCCTTTATTTTGAACAGAATATAATGGATTGAAAGCAAATGTGCTTTGTGTGTATACATATATATTTGTATGCAATGCATGCAACTGGCAGAAAGAGAAAAAACACCAAGGTGAATGAATAATTCAAAGAGCACTGACCCAGACAAAAGCTCCAGACATATACACTCAGCAGCAATAGATGTGTTCAAATAAAACAGTAATTATGACTTGTACTGTACTGTTCAATCGGTCGAATTGACTAGCTAGCCAGTCGTCACTCGCTTGTTCACTCTCTTTCTTTCCTCTCGCTTCGTCGTAGTGGAAGACAACCAGACGATTACAGCACATACATACAAAACGTCTAGCCTCTGGATATAAATAGTTGAACAGACAAACGCGGAAAAGACGGACAGATAGACATGAAAATAGAAAACGCTATTGATTAGGGAATATGCATACGTTTTGACATTATCGTCTGTCGATTTTTCTATATTTCTCTTTGATTAAATACAAAAAGAAATAAATAAGTGACAATAATAAGAGTATTTATACGCATAGATTTGGAAAGAGTACGCTCCGTATGAAGGGTCTTTTGTATTACTCGGACATCTTGGTACTGCAAAAAAATATTAATAATAGCACAAAAAATAAAGAATTGAATCGATTCTTCATGCATAACTTAATTTACAATTAAATAGTTAGATTTTACATTTTCTAATCTATGCCGAGTCTCAATTATAAAAAAAACCTCCGAATAATTGAGCAAAAAAAAGCCTCTCAATATTGACGTAATACAAAATAGTAGGGTTCATGCAGAACAATAATCTTCACTAGACAGTTTTGATCAACTCACCTATATGTACATGTATATAAATATTGTTGACGAGCTGTTGGATTACCGCCAAATGTTGGATGAAAGAGATTTGAGAAAACTAATAGTTTTTGCTATTTGCTCTACGAGAATGAGGAAAGACACGCGTCTGATCAAAATACTATCGAGAGTGTGATTGCGTAGTCGTTGTCGTCTGTTGATTGACCATCAAATAACAACTGAACGTTTTTTCTCTCTCTCTCTCCTTCTGTCCCTCTTTTCTTTTCTTCAGATACTGTTCTCTCTTATTCTTTTTTTCCTATCGTGCTTGTCGTTGAACATATAAAACCATACATGAGCTGAGGAGAAGAAGAACGAGAAAGCGGTCGTCATCGTTCAAGGCCAGCTAATGGACTCTGTCCGCATACACATATATGCATACTTAGAAGAGAAAAGAAAACGATGACGTATGAAAAAATAGTTGGTTGCCGCACTCTTGTTCTTCTTTGTGCTTTCAACGAACGTCGAGTGAGAGACGTAATCTTATTCAAGCATATAATGCGAAACCACTTGACCAACCGAATGCTCGAATTCGTTCTCTTGTTTGCTCGCCTTTCACTTAGGCCAGACAGTCAGTCAGTCAGACAGACAGATAGACAGAGAGAGAGAGAGAGAGAGACACAGACAGACATACAGGCAGAGACATAATCACTAATTCAATTTGCTGCCGACGCGGTCACAGAGACGCGTCATCATCGTCTCCGGTTCTCGCTCTTTTTCACACATATACAGCGCCTATAGACATTGACCAGCTGTTATAGCACGTAGCATATATCATCTTCAAACAATTTATAAGAAAATAAATTCTCTCATTTATTATTGTATCTGACCGGACCTTGCCCTTTTATTTGTTAGTCTGTCTGTATCAAACATAAATAAGAATACTCAACATCGGATATCATAGGGTCTTGAATGGCTGCATATATATATATATATATATATATATTGTTGTTTTGAATGAAGCGATTTGTTCATACAATAATACTGACGTGTCCAGTAATGTAACCTTTTTATCATGACAGACAAAGATTACATTCATTGTCCGGTAAAATGTTATCGCATACGACGTTTGTACGATTTCTAACACATTCAGTTTTTTTCCTCTTAGTCTTTCATCATCGAACAATGATCAATAGTAAGCAGACCGATAGACAAATGTAAAAACATATAAAGAAAAAGTATGCAATGTATTGATTAATCAGTTGGATTGTGCACATCTAAATACAACAAGACATCCAAGCATCTAGATTACGCGATGATGATGATAATGATGAGATAGTCTAATGCAATAGATCTCGTTAGTTTATGTCTATATGTCTGCTTAATCATCAAAACGATAAGAATACATTTGAACAAATGAATGATGAGAAATGAAAGGAAAATATCAAGATGAATACTTCTAGATGTATATTACTTGTTCAAAGCATAAAGACCGTTTTTTTGTACAATTGATCAATCATTATTATTCATTCGGACAACGATTATATGTAGATTTTGATTCTTCGATTGTCTTACACATATAGCGATTGTCATTTATTTGATAACTATTATCGAAGTGAAGTGTATCGGAGTACATAATTTCATCAGTAATCATCCGTCTATGGCAGCAAATGTAATATCAAACATTTGTATCTGTTCTTTTAATCAATCAACAGTTTAAACATATGATTTGTAGATTTGTAGATTTGTAAGTGTCATTCTCGATTGTAAAACAAAATATTTTGACCTCGGAAAATAAGATGCATCAAACTGGTTGTTGATAATATCATTTTTAGTAAATTCATTTGATTAAGTTGCATCAGTCTTTAACGACTAATTAATATCAGACTTCATATACATGTGTACCAAATCATTTCTGATCATGCAATCAGAATAAATATACTTCTATTCAGAGAATATTTCTACAATTCTTCAATAAACCGACTCCCGCTTTCTACTATTAAAAAAAAGAATATCTATTAAATATCTTTCAATTTAAGCAGACATTAATTATTGAGTTTAAAAAAGCAAGTATGTATAATTGTCTCATGAATCGACGGCCAGTGTTAGAGATTATGCATTGATGAATAGGAGGAAAAAGAAATCTCTCCCTCTATATATATATATATATATATATGATGACCGATAAACAATCAGCATTTGAATTATTAATTGCAAAATATCCATTGTAATACATGTATGATCTTGTTAATTTTACATTCATACACAATTCTTTATTGCATCAATGTCTCATGACCTATATACAATTTGAACAATAGTAAAAGAACAGATGTGTCACATATGCCATTGAGTAGACACAGACAGACAGACGTTATTTTCCTTCTCGATTGACCGAGCAATCATCGGCGTCTAATGCACATTGTTACAATATCGTTCTCTTGTTTTCTTTAGCTATTGACAGCATAAAGATCGAGAAACTCAATGAAAATGTAAGAACTTTTATATCAACAATTATAATGACTACAATTTTCATTTTATATTACTTTCACGAGTTCAATATATATATGCGTATGATAATGATATTCGTTGTGTTACGGACGTATCAACGATTAATACTATCGTATCAGTGTAATTTCTAACATCATACTGTCAAGATCATTAGAGTAGAGATTTAAATTTGAACAAATATATAGAGAATAATTGAAAATGATGCTTTTTTCATTTCGAATGAAAGAAAAGGTGAATTTGCAAAAAAAAAGAAAACAGAACTATCATAATCATTCATTTGATGCTGACAACTTATATACGTAGAGTAAGGTACTTGTCTCATTCAAGACCAATAATAAAGATAAGAGCGTGAAATAACTTATAAAGAGGTATGCCCCAGACGTCACTTCAACGAAAAATATTTCGAATTTTCAACGATAGCGGAGTGAGATCGAAGTTTCTATTGCTATGAAAAAAATTTGAAAGAAATATTTAATTTTAATTAAGACTACGATTTTTTAAATAGTATATTTAATATTGACGAAAAAATTTCCATGTAGAAATGATTCATATCCAGACATTTTGACATTGTAAAAGCATATTTTTCCGAGTAAGAAGTTTTATGTCAGAATTCAATAATAATTAGCAATGTTATTCGAAATATTACAATCAGACTTCTGTGAATCATCAGATCACAATCGATCTTTTGAAGTTTTCAAAATAAATTTATGATTTCTCTGAAAATTCTGATCGTTTTTGAATTATTTTCGGGTAAAGTTTAGAAAAAAAACCATCTAAAACATTTACTCTTTTTATTAATTGAATCTTATTGTTTTACTATAAATTTTTCCATTTGAAAATTAACTTTATATTGATGATTATCTAAAATAAAATAAATAATTATAAATACTGAATAGAATTTGTTTTTGTTCATTCAATCGAAAATATCGGTTCTTTTTATTATTTAATTTGAAATTAAAACATACAACACTCATTTAGCCGATCAAGAATCACTGGTTCCCTTAAAATATTACTTAAAAAAATAGTCGAAATAGTTTTTCGAAATTTAAAACAAGTTTTCTTGTTTACTCAATAGCAATATTTCTTTTAATTCATAACGATGTTTTCTAATTGATTCGATCATCAATATCTATTCTTGCACAAAAATAGCTACTCTCTATGTAAAATTACTATTCTTAATGATATTGATTGATATTTTGGCTATAAAGGCGCAACAGTAGCCAGTGATTACAAATAAAAACACTCCAGTCATCGGGTTATTTACACGAAAGGCGTGGTTCCCTAGTTGAATTTCTCTTGCGAAAAAAGGTGTCTAGTTAAAATACGTATTGAAACCGTGACGTCTCTCATTTTGACATCAAACAAGCTACCATTTGTTTCTTTCTAGCATTGAAGGTACTTTTGTATATTTACTAAATGATCATCAGAGTCTGTTATATGTGGTAAAACATATTTTTTAAATATAAAAACAACAATATCAACTATCTCAAAATAATTTCTAATGAGATTTGAATTAGACTACAGCACAACTATAGGATTTCAAGTCAATGATTCGAACAAAAATATTCTACACTAATCTGAAAATTATATTTGATATTTAGATTAATCATCTAGCATTGATTGGCAAATATATTACCTTTCAAAAAACAAAAAACAAGCATTTGATCAAGGCATCTCGGTAATTTTCGTAGCTTATTCAGCATTCATCGATGAGATAAAAATTAGTGAGATGAACACTTCTCCTCTTTCCCACCCATTCAGAAAAGCAATCGAAGTTTGAGAGCATTGGATCGTAATGAGAACGTTTCTTTTTAAATCTTTTTCAATATAACTTCAGAAATTTTGTAAGACTTATCGATGACGTGCTATGGAGTCATGTTTGGGACTAAATTCAAAAAGTAAAATAAAGTGCAAAATAACCATTTTAGCGTGGTTCAAATACATAGACAAAAATTGAGCAGCTCAACAACAAAATTATAAAATACATACAGCAATATCTAGAACAATTTTTTAAGGGCTCTTGTCCTAGAGGTATTACATAGAGTTCTACCTCGAGGATCTTACTATAGAAATAAATCACTTGTAGAAAATATATCCTAATGAATGTCATTTTTTGAGAAAATTATACGTTCTATGGTTATTGTTGCAGTCAAACGAAGATAAATAAGACTTGTACTAAATGTCCGTCTCATTATCAAAAATACTCAAATACTAAAAGGAACATCCTCTTGGAAAAAATCGAGTACAATCATATCATTTGTCTATGAATCTGTCAATGAGATTGTATTGATTTAAATCCTATGCTCATATTTCTTGGCATGCCATTTACAATTTCTAAAATATAAGTCTAATTCAGAAGGAAATCGAAATTCTGCTGTTGACTCAATATTTCATACCTTATGTTACCCATGTTAACGAATCGAAAATAATCAAAAAGCTTTTTTTTTATATTAACATGTTTGGCCTATGCATTTATATTTCAAAATGTTGATGTCGTTATCATTAATATCTATATTTTTCGTCGTGTACTGCATTCAATATTAATAGTATCTCTAAATAACGACCTTCATTCACCTGTCAGTTTGTCATGTCTTTTCCTTTCCTTATTGATATTTTTTTATCGAGTATATGCTTCGATAATTATACTTAGTCGATTGGTAAAATTATGTTCGTAAAACAAATGAAGTAAAAATACGAAGTATTTAGTTTGCAAGTAACATGCATAATTATAACGAATAGCGTACTTAGATTTTCAATTTATTGAAGTTTATTATTGTATAAATTATTTTTTTCCCCTTTTAAGATTGATACGTACAAAATGGAGCAAATACGTTGGAATGAAAAATGTATTGAATTTCGAAATCTAGTTGATAATTCGACTATAAAAAAACCAACACTCGGTAGATGATCATGTTTATAATAAAAAGTAAAATGTTAATCTTTTTTTCTCTCAGTTCAAATTGGAAATCAAGCAACTGTAGTTGGTATTAAAATAAGTGGACAATTTATTGTAGCATCCCCATGCAGATCTTCTAATGATCAATTTATACCTATGGAACAAGAATTGATTTTATCAAGCAAACATCTAGGTTTTTCTATTTCCTTCTAAAATTGATATTTTAATCTAAAACTATTGTTTTATTTTACTATATTAGGCACATGGAAAGTTATATATAAAGGAACATTGAAAAAAAGAAGCTATATTCATCGTTTAACGACAACCGATATTGAACGAATCTATATACTAGATGCCGAAAAAGAACGTTCAAAACTTCGTTCATATATTTGTATGAAGTCTATAGAAGCGTTTGATCTTACGACTCACAATGAAGGTAAGCGAACATTGATTTTTAATTATTTTAATCATAGTAGTTTTTCTTTTTCTCTGTCGTTTTAAGAAGATATAACTGTTGCTGATGGACAACGAATCGATCGGAAAATGAAACGAATCGAAGAAAATGTTGAATTTGAAGTGTATGACATCGGTGAAGTTGAATATACACCCAGAGAAGGTGAACGAACATCGCAAGATTATGTAGCAGCACCAAAAATCAAAACACGTAAATTTCCATTTCTCATGTCGTCTGGTAAAGATAGAGAATTATTAATACGTAATCGTCTTCTACGTACATTATATTGTGTAACCAAAAATGAAACTCATCAACGTCGTTTTCTTCTTGAAGTCAATGAACAACCATGTGATATACGTCCAATTGCTTCGACAGGATCAACAGAACTACGTTATCTACAAAGTACACAGAATCTATTTAATTACATATTAAGTTATGATAATACTATTCCTCTTTGTGTCAAATTAATTCGAGGTAGATTGATTCACTTGAAAAAATATTAGAAGACAATTTTGGCTTTTTTAGGTGAATTACCAGTTAAGGCAGCTGACGTGGGTGATTATTTGATATTTCGGAGAGTTTTAACTGGCGATCATGTTCCTCTATGTCGTGTTAGAGATCTTAAAATATCACTTGCTAGTCCAGATCTTCCTCTTAGGCTCAAATTACCCATCGATGAAAATAGATGGCATTCAATACCTGAAGTTCATTCAGCTGAACTTGTCTGTATGCAACTATCTTTGGCATTATTCTCTCGATTCGAATCAGAAGTTTATGTTAGAATTGAAGGTGAATCCTCTGTAGCTATTGATGTGAAATCAAATAATAATCGAAAGTCATTGCATTCACACAAATCAGTTGATTTTGTTGAAAAACAAGTTGGTGAATGGGAAGTCGCTTCTCATGATCAAATACCAACATCTAAATCTCAAAATAGTTTTAATTGTGCAGAGCCAAGATATATAGAAGTTGTTTCCGCTGCTGATAAAACTATGGCACTTCAACAAGCAACAAAAATGTTAGGAGCAAAATCATCTATGCATCCTGTTTCGGATATGCTTTATCGTGATCATGACAGACGATTAAGAGAAAACGATGTTCAATGTGAACAAGAACATTCAAAATCACCAGCTGGAAGATCGAATCCAAGTCAACGAAAGACGACAAGAGACAAATCTAAAACGTCATCACTACAATTGTTATCGTCTACTACTTATCAGAGTACAAAAAAATAAAAAATAAACATAGCATTAGCTACACAAGGACACCAAACAAAGGAATCGAACAATTTTCAAGAAGTTCGTTTTTTCATTGTTTTTGTAAAAATACATTTTCGCTGATCAAATACTATTACTCGCATCGATACTTGCAATCAAACATATTTTAAAATACAACAAACGTTTAAATGAAAAAAAAGCAAAAAAAATAAGAGAGGGCCTTTGTGTAAACATTATAGCAACTGCTTATGGACCCTTGACATATGCCCAGAAATTTCAAAAAAGCAAACAGACAAAGTAAAATTGTTACTGAGACGGTAAAAATTGAATATAAACTTTTCGAAGGTTAGAATGAAACCAATAACTTCCTAGCTTTTAGTTGTTTTTAAGAAGAATTCCCATTCAATTATGACTTTTCAAACACGTCGTCAATAAAAATAAAAAATTTGCAAACTATATGTCTGTTGCAAAGAAAAATGTTATATACTTTTTCGGTGTCTTTGTTGTGTCTTATATATTATTTTTTTTGCAATATTATAGATAAGCATTTATAGATCATTCGATAATTTAACAACGTGATCCTTCTTATCGTAATCTATTAGAATTTTCAATATGCCTCGTCCTATCATACCAAATCCTTGGCAGTAAGTCAACCTAAATTTTCAATTAAATCGACATATAACATGATTAGTTTTACTTGATCTATTAAAGAATCGGTGATTCAGATAGCGATGGGGAAATTAATAACGGATACGATGCATTCATGTCGTTGCCACCAAAACCAACAAAATCAAACGTAGATTGAAGACAAATATACATATATGCATATTCTCACTTCTCTCTCCCCCCCTTCACTTTTAGACTTTAGCACGAAGAAGTGAACCAATACTTCCTGATTGGCATCCAATAGACGATGAGATAAAAAATAAAGGTATGATCATAAAAATAAACGACCATTATCGTATTTCATATCACACGAACATATAGGAAAATTTGGCATCACGAAGACAACGCCATTGTTTGAGAAAGGACCATCATCTCATAAACCAGTTTTCTCGGGATTCAGAGATTTAAAACAATCATTACCATCATCTCATACAAACTTACGGTCAATGTCAGAACATAAAACGGTAATTATCAAACTTTTCAAATTCACAACTAACTATTTTCCTTAAAATATTCAGCCGTTACCTCTCCCTACACTGTCAAGTTTGGATCCGATTTCATCTATCGAACAAGATTTAACAAAATTTATTTACATGAACATACCAGAAGATCATTCATCATTTATTCATTGTACTCTTCGACGTGATAAAACTGGTATACAAAAAGGATTTTTCCCAACATTCTATTTATATATTCATCGTCCTGATAATGGAAAAAAGGTTTGGCATTAAAAATAAGAAAACAAATAAATATATTAATTTCTTCTTTATTTTTTCAGATTTTTCTCTTAGCAGCACGAAAAGTACCTAAAATAAGTAGTCTAGCCGAATATTTAATTACAACTGATATTGAAACCCTATCTGAAAAATCAGGTGGTAATGGATGCGTTGGAAAATTACGAGAAAATAATTTGAAAGGTACGGCCTATACATTGTATGACAATGGTAAAAGTCCCAACAAAGTAAAGAAGTCCAATGCTAACAAGAAACACGGTTTACGGCGTGAACTAATATCTGTATTCTATGTAAATATGAAAATGTTAATATTTTATTCACAAAAATTTAGCATTCGATTTATCGAGTTAAAAACTCTCAATTTCAAGCTAGTGTATCTCTATGTTAAAATCGTTTAGACATGAATTTTTACTTGGATAACGAAATTCATTGTTGATTCACAAAAATATTGTTCGTTGAAATTTAATTTACTTTTGGAAAAAAAAAAGTCGTCAGTATTATATATTGTCCTGATATGTTAGAGTGTACTGTAGCTTTGCGTCATTTTTCCGAAAGAGCATTATTATATGAGAACGAGATTAATCATAGATATCTATTATTTTAATTCACTCGAATCAGAAATTTTCAGAAATTGTTTTTAATATTTTCTAGAATACGAATCTTTTTGGTCTCAAAGGTCCAAGACAAATCAATGCTGTAATACCTGAAATCGGTTATGATATTCAACCAACAAAGGTATATTGTACATATTATTTTCTTCATATAAATAGAAATTTTCTCCTATAAATATTAGTATGAGGATACAATTCTTGATCTATGGCGAGATAGACGACTCAGTTATTTGATTCAATTACGAAATCGAGAACCAACGCCTAACGAGGGTAAAAAATACAATCTTGCGTATTTTTAACTTACACATTTTGTTTTTCGTTTACCAAGGAAAAAAAGGTCATACACTTCAATTCATTGGTTATGATGAAATTCAATCATCAGTTAAAAACTTTCAAATAATTGTGGAAAATAAAGATCGTATGTTATATATATATATATGTATATATATTGAATTAAACTTTTTAATTTACTTTTTATTCTTAACAATATATAGATGAAGAACAGATTGTTATGCAATTCGGTCGTACGGGAGATAATACATTCCTGCTAGATTATCGTTATCCTCTTTCAGCTATTCAAGCGTTTGGTATTGCACTGAGTGCATTCGATAGTGGAATATCACGAGAATGAACAAGCAATCTTCTATTTTATAATTACAAATCAGTATTTCAAGTGTTAAAATCAAACTCATTTTTTTTTCAACTTGATGTATAGATTGGTTTTGTTTCGTTTTACCACTTACATTGCCGAGGAACTACACTGATAAAAAACAAATTTGATTTATTTGCAGATGCTCTACGAAAAAGATAAGTAATGAAGAGTGAATTTATACTTCATCTTTTTGGCTAGAATTAAAAGAGAAGTCTAATTATTTATAGGAGATAGTATTATATTTAGGCTTGGAAACGCGGAAATGATATATACTTACATATTTGATTAGAAAGAAAAACTTAATTGTTCATCATAATGATAGTAGACTTAAAACTGCTCTAGGAACGACTCTTCTGAATGTGGATAAAAGGTTAAATACTTACCTAATTCAATGGAAATTACAATTCAAATAATAATAATAGTATTAATGATGAAAAATTCTATTGAATTGTAACGGAAAATAAAGCAATCAAAATGGGGCCTAAGAATGAAAGTTGAACTTCATAATTCATCAAGATATAAGACATGGAAAAGAGAACACTTTAGTATAGACATACATTTATAAGGGTATTTAACGAGAATATATCGTATGTGATACTGTAACTAATTGATCAATGAATTTGTCATAATGTATATTTAAATTGAACACTCAAATGTTCTCAATGATGCTTAGTCTAGAATTGTTCTAATAAACGAATTAGAATATTTCGAAATCGATACTCCATGACATGTTTTTGAAGTTTTTTGAATCCGAACGTTGTTATCATTTCGCACCTAAAATCACGAGGACCCATCAAAGGAAAACATATTTACTTCTATATTAATATTCAATTTATATGAAGAAAAAAAATAAGCGCTACGATTGTATGATATAATGTACAATTAACGATTGATACAATTTTTGTGATGAGTTGTATCATTAGCACATACATATATGATGATTTTTATAGATATCATATAGATGTTTTTCTCTTATCAATGGTTATTAATAGAAGAAATTATTGATTATGCTGCTTTGATAGCTAAAAAAAAATAAAAACAGCTTCAAATAATGTGTGCTCGTAATAGAACGGGTTACCTACAGAGGTGCTATATTCAATTATGATTGTAATGTAGCTCCCTCTTTCGTGGACGCATTTTTTGTATAAAAAAAAAACATTTTCTCCAATGAACAAAGAAAAAAAACGAAATAAAAGAAATACATAAATGAATCAATACTAACATGTTTGTCTTTACTGTGTTGTTTATCGAATGATAGTGTTTTTTTTGGTCGCTATTGACGTTCAAAAACATCATTCATCTTGAATAATTACGAATGATCTGGGTTTCTTTATTTATTACATCATATCAATCCGTTTACTAGTCCTGCTTTTTTCTTTCTATATTAAATCGATGAATATTGATTGAAATCATTTTGACACACATATGTATATGTATATAGATACGCTCAATAAGATCTTATCGACCGTAGACTCTCCATGAGAGATAGAGAGAGAGAGAGAAAGGGAAAAAGAGAAAAAAGAGAGACATGTCAGCATGTATATATCTTTAATCATACAATATTTTACTTTCGAACGGATGAGTGAAACATATATCAATCATTTATTTTAGATGGCCGCGATCAATGTATATCATACGAGCGTAACAACAGACAATCTTAGTCGTAATGATATTCTACAATGGATAAATACAGCACTCGATGCTAATTACATAAAAATTGAAGATCTTTGTACCGGTAGGTGAAATTTAATTCTTTTTTTAATATTCAAAACTACATTGAGTGTGCTAAATTTTATTTTGATTAGGTGCTGCATATTGTCAATTTATGGAAATGATGTTTCCAGGTAAAATTGAAGCTCATATGCATGTATAGATCTAACACTTAGTAAATACTTACGAAAATTTTATTCTAGGTGCTATAGGTACACGTTCAAAACGGGTCAAATGGAATACAAAACTTGAGCATGAATTTATTAATAATTTTAAAGTATTACAAGAATATTTTAAAGCACTTTCCGTAGAAAAGGTAGAGATTTAATTTAATAGATATGATCACATACGCATACATATGATTAATCTCTCTCTTTTTCTCTTTGGTGATTGATTGATACACGCTACTCGTAGCTTTAGTGTTTAGACAGAAGAAAAATTGTTTTTTTTGATTTTTTTCTAGGTTCATTACAAATAAAAAGAGTGAAATTCAATGCCAAATTAGAACATGAAAATATACAAAATTTTAAAATTTTACAAAATGCATTTCGTGCTGTACAAGTAGATAAGGTGTGCATGAGAAAGACAAAAAGAGAGATTGTTATACATGTGTTTGCCTGTGATTCTATTCTAAAGGAGAAGAAAAAAAACAGTCATTTTTTTCATAATGTTTATTATATAGATTGTACCAGTCGAAAAATTGGTAAAAGGAAAATTTCAAGATAATTTTGAATTCGTTCAATGGTTTAAAAAATTCTTTGATGCTAACTATACGGATGCTCATGATTATGACCCGGTAGCTGCTCGTGATGGACAGTAAGTCTTTGTTATTCTCATATCAGATAGTCGAAAATAGGAGCAACTTATTTGTTTTTAATTTAGACCATTGGGAAGTGGTGGAAAAGCACTCGGTCCAGGAGCAGGAGGTAGTTCTTCAGGTGCTCGTGTAGTACCTGCTGCTCGACCAGCACCACCAAAAGTTGTTCCTCAACCAATAGCACGACCAACAACTACCAGTAAATTTATTTCAACAAATTGTTATTTTCTCTATAATAAGAATTTTTATTTTATTAGCAAAACCTATCCAACAACAACAACCAAAGATTACACCAGTAGCTCATCGAGTACCAGTACCAGCACCAGCACCAGCACCAGCACCTGTACACCATGCAACTACTGTTATTGGTAATGGTCATCATCAAAATGCACGATTACAACAAGAAGTAAGCTTATACTGATTTGAATAGTATAGTTGTTAGTGTAAAAGATTTTATTAGATTGATAATTTACAAGATCTTATTCAACAACATGCAGGACAAATAGCTGGTTTAGAAAAAGAGCGGGATTTCTATTATCAAAAATTACGTGATGTCGAAATGATTTGCCAAGAGCCAGACTATGAATCATCACCAGCAGTACAAAAAGTTCTTGAAATACTTTATGCTACAGAAGTAAGTAAAAGATATTTCAATAAAATGCTTCTTGCTTTGAGTCGATAATATATATGCTCGAGTTCTCTGGGGAAATCAGGATCAAAATTTTCAAAATTCATTTTGTTTTTGTTCCTTCCCAGTCATCTTTCATTGCACAATGATGATTTTTTTATCACTACTTGTTCAAAGTGTCCTCTGTCGAATCACGAAATAATCATTAAAAAATATTATACCGGTAAAAGGTATCAGTCAAAATGGTAAAAGTAGCGTGGGACTGATCCGAATTACCTCATGTGGGGTAATTCAGATCACTACAGCTATTTTCGCTGGTAATCATTTTTGAAACCTCTATCGTGTCTACAATGCAAAATCGATGACTGAGCCCTGAAGAAAAGTTGTTCATCTTGGTCTTCTCCATCTGATACTGCAAAAAAATTATTTCATACCACCAATAAAGTTTTAGACTAATTAATGTATGTACACAAAAAATCGTTTACTTTTCTGATGTACCCCGTCTGCCTTTCATTAAGTACTCTGATTAAAGAAAAGATTGTAGAAAAAATAGGTCGAGTAGCTCTAACGCAGAAATGTTTGAACTACAAAATGGTATGTAGAAATCAACGAAAAAAAAAACTGGTCACTACTTGATATATTGAGAAAACTAACCAGTATACATAGGTTTCTTATATTTCTGGCACGTATTCAGCATTTAACGATGAAAAAAATGTTATTCGGAGAAAAACTACTACGACATTCCGAATCAACATTCAAAACTGAGTACATATACGTATATTTCAAATCTTTTTGTAGAACTTTTTTTCATCGAAAAATTGAGTCCTCGTACCCTCAGGGTTCAAGAACTTCGAAACAACTGTTGTAAGGTATATCTAACGTGACCTTTGAATCATTATGATATTTTAAACCTTGCACATGTTATATCTACTATTTAGAAAAGCTTTTGATCACATTCGATTTTTTCTTGATTCTGGGAGGTACCCGGACTGAATTTTTTTATGGAAAATAAACGTTTTACAAAACCATTTGAAATATATATATTTGCACTCAGTTTTGCATGGTGATTCGGAATATCGTATTATTTTTTCTCCGAATAACATTTGTTTGACTGTTAAATGCTGAATACGTGTCAGAAATATAAAAAATCGACGTGTATGCGTTAGTTCTCACCATATTTCAAGTAGTGACCAACGTTTTCCGTTGATATTTTCATACCACCTTGCAGCCCAAACATTTCTATGTCAGTGATACTCAAAGTATGTCTTCTCGAACCTTTTCTTTAGTTGGGATGCTTAAGGGAAGACAGGTGGGTGTATGAAAAGAGTGCACATTTTTTGTGTAAATCCATTAATTGGTCTCAAACTTTATCGGTTGCATGAAGTAATGCTTCTTCTGTAGGATGAAATGGAGGAAAGCGAGACGAACAACTTTTCTTCAGAGCTCAGTCATCGATTTTGCATTATAGAAACGGTAGAAATTTCAAAAGTGATTACTAGCGAAAATAGCTGGATTGGCCTGAGTTACCCCAGATAGATTTTCAATTGATTGATAGAGGTGTCCTTGTTGTGAGTATTATATTACAACTGTCGCTTCAACCGTCGAGATGATTTCAGGTCCCATAGAGGACACTTAGGGCTATCGAATGGTATATTTGCTTTTTACAACTTCGAATAAGAAAAAGGAGTTAGAAGATTGGGAAAATGAGCCCAGCCATTTTTGTTGTAGTGATCAGAATTATCCCGCATAAATTCATAGAGTGGTCTGAATTACCCCACATGAGGTAATTCCGATCAGCTTCACGCTAGTTTTACCATTTTGACTGATGCTTTTTACCGGTATAATATTTTTCGACGATTCTTTCGTGAATCGACAGAGCACACTTTGAACTAGTAGTGTTAAGAAAGTCATCATTGTGCAATGCAAAATGATTGAAAAGGAACAAAAACAAAATGAATTTTCAAAATTTTGATCCGAATTACCTCAGAGGACTCGATGTCCTCTATTATCGATATATTTAAAGGAAAGCTTTCAGATTCCCGATGAAAACGAACATCAAGAAAATATTGTAGAAGAATTTTAAGAAAAGAGGGGTGTGCTTGAAAAAATGTTTGTTTGTACATGTGTGGGTATTTGTCACTGTCTTTCTATTTATTGGTTACATAGTTTTCTGTAAATCTACGTGAATGAGTACCTATTTACTAAGATAATTTTCTTTATAGGATGGTTTTGCACAACCTGATCCTGAAATTGGTAATGGTGATTTAGATCATGAAAATGGCGTTATTATTGATAATGGTAATGGTTCTAATTCAGTCGGTCTTGATGACGAGACATATTAAAACGACGTCAATGTTGCTATTTCGAGAGTTTCTTCCTATTTGCATTCGTATCCTTCCTGATTTTCTTTCTTTTTGCTTTTTCAACGTTCATCGCTTTTTCTTCTTGTATGGTATAATCATACGCGATTTTTAATATTTTACTTGTTTTTCTTGAAATACATGCGCGCATTTTTCCTTCCTCTCGAGTATTTGTATCTTTATGTATGTGCATGTGTTTGTGTGTGTGTGTGTGTGTGTGTATGCGAATTAATACTAAGAAATAAGAACATGTTTATTAAATATTGACAATATGAATGAAATCTTTTCAATTGCTTTCGTTGTTTCGGTACATTTAAGATAAATAGATAACGAACTTTATAGGAACGAAAATCTCTATTGAGATTTATATCTGATTAAATTGTAATTATGAAATAAAGGGATGTTAATTTCATTGGTAACAGTTGATGGTATTAAAGGCTAATATTTCTGAAGGCTGTTATTCGACTATCTAATATATTACAAGCTGTTTTGCCGAAAGATTGGCACTTATTTTGTACAATTTAAATATCTAGTTTTACAAAACTAAAATACGAGTTACGAAAAATTCGTTTTGTTGCACTGAAGATTTCATTTAATTAATTTGATAAAGTAAACCAATATTAGTATAATATTTATGTTAGTAACAAATGTCAAGAATTTCTACTTATAAGAAAGAAAAATGTAAACAATGATGTAAAGTCAATTTAAAGAATTTGAAAACCTTAAAAAATCTCTAACGAAAGCTTATAAAATTTATTTGGCTTTTTAGAGCACATTTTCAATTGACAAATGTGCAAATAAATGAGATGCAATAGGAAATCTTCCGGACAAAAAGAAAAAAATGCATTTGAACATGAAAGAAGACCTTGAGTTCCGCATAACAGCAAGGGCGTACAATTTGATTATACTTTCAATCTTTGTTTAAACTCTAATCAGTACAACTAGAAACAAATTTTAAATAAGAAAAATCTCCTCCAAATAATTTAATACTTCCAATTGCATGACAAAGCAAAATAATCTACTAAATAACCTATTGGCTTTTTTTCAGAAGAACAATTTTATTTATGATATTTATTTAAAAAATCTAGTTAAAATTTACAATTGATCATAAAAAAGAAAATTTAATTATCTTGCGACAGTGGTTTTATATGTCGAATAGTTCGATGATGATAGCGCCGTTTTTCTTTTTCGTATGACAATATTGAACGATTTTGTGATGCCAAACGCTTTTTATTCAATTTCCATGCTAGACTAAATCGACTACTTAAACTTGTTTTGTCACTCCAACATGCGCTACTCTTTTTACTATGTGTAGTAGAAAGATTATCATCAATAAATGGTATCGGTTCATCATCATCTAAATGTTCTTTTATAACTGTTTCAATGTTACTATCAAAATAGGATGCACCCGTTGCTGGATAATGATAATAAGCGGCGGGCACTGGAGATCGAGTGGCTGTAAACATTGAAGTTGATGCTTGTGAACTAAGAGTCTCATTATAACACGACGACAGATTATGGTCCTCTTCTGGAATAGCTAACCGTACTGGTGTGTATGCAAGTAAAACGCTAAAAGGAAACAATATTTAAGACCAGTATTGTTATATTATAGATTCTCGTTTACTTCGGCTCTTTATTTGGAGCTGGTTTCGCTGCTTTATTTATTCGACGATTCTTAGTCGGTGTTTGAGGCCTGAAAAGAAATAAATCAGCCGTATGATGTTTGGCAAAATATGTTTTCAGATGAGAACATAAAAAGTAATATTATCTTTATTTAACTTCATCGTTCATTTAAACTTGATTACCGATCAAGCATGATGATATTTTATGTAATCAGAAATACTTACGTTTTTCTCACGAAAATACTGATTAGCATGAGTAATACAACAATAAGAACAACTAATGCAAGTAGACAAACGCCATACAACCATATCGAATCCAATGAAGTTTGTTCTAAAAGACTCGATGGTAAATTAATCTAAAAGTAAGAAAAGTGAAATTTTTTATCATCCATCTACTTCTATATATATTTCATTCAATCATACATGATGTTTTATATCTTGATAAAGTTCTTGTTGATTATGTTTAAGTGCAAACAAAAATTGATCATTTGTTAAAGCTATTGCTTGACGGTAAGGATCTTTAATAAATATTGATACGTATAAATGATCATTATCTAATTGTTCTTGATAACTTTGAATAATAACATGATCGATTCTATTATTTAAAAATTCACATTAACAGAAAAGAAAAACTTGAATATTTTTACTATACCTAATTGAATCTGCATCTTCACTCAGACAATGTTGATGATAGTTAAAACAAAATTTACGAATGATTTTCGCTATGCTCTGGCGTAAAACTCGGTAGATCGACTTTTCAAAATTTTCAATGGTCGTATTTTCAATAATTAAAGTTACACTACCACGATATCCATACGACCATAGATTGCTTATTCTCGTGTTATTCATTGACGTAGATATATGATCAAACCAGTTAGACTGCAATACATTAGTGAAATAGAAAAAAAGGCGCGCTATATCATAAAACAATCAAATGCTCACACATAATTCATTGTCCGTATGGCTATTATTATTTTCGTATATGTTTGCGTCTATTATCGAACAATGATCTGAAACAAAAACAACAGAAAGAGAAAGAATGAAACAAAAGATTTTGTTCAGATGTTTTACAGTTACTTACCATAATTCTCACTTTGCGTAAATGAAGTTCGAATTTTGTAACGTAATTTTATTGATTTTCTTGTTAATGACTGTAGTTCTAATTGAATATTTAAACTTTGAATTGTAAAACGTAAACCAATCAGAGATATTGTCTCTTTGGATGTTACCAAAGATGAATTGAATAAAAAATGCCCAGTCTTATTAACGTCTGAAAATTAAAAATAAATAAATAAATGAAAGAATGCAAAATAAATAAATAAATGAATGAATGAATGCAAACTAAATATTCAATGGTCATCAAATGGGCAATAAATCGAGTCTATTAGAAATGAATTTACTTCTCTTTTACTTTTAACTGTCTCGACAGATGGACAAAAGAGTATAATTATCGCTTTTTTCTCTTTTTCTGTTCCTCGTCCAATTGATGAGAAGAGAAGTGAGAGTATTTACACGTTACTTTTACTATTAAAACAACATGAATCGTAATGACAGGGGGCAGAGAAACAGAGAGAGAGAGAGAGAGAGACAGAGGCAGAGAAAAAGAATCGTCTGATCTAATACCTTTAATCAGAATGCACAAAGTATCACCATTAACTTAACATATGCAAACAAAAAGAAAAAACTAAAAAGTGCCGTTGGTGTACACCCGCTTCGTCGGGGGTGTATACTCTCTTTTCAACAATTCAAAATGGATCAATTGAAAGCCTTTTAAAAAAAAACCATGAACTCTATAGATTCTTCATTGATAGAAAGACAGAGCCTGACACATGAAACAAAAAAAGATGATGATTTTTTCTTCGATAGTGAGTTTAATTGATAATAATCGTTGTTTTAATCGTTGCATCTTCGCGACCAAAATATCTTTTTCTTTATCAGATTATTCATTGAACACTGAACGAATGTTTTGATGCGGAGCGGAGGGATATTTCGTATGAATAGAATAAAGTTTGAAATAAAATAAATATTTTCTTATATCTTAAGTGGTTCCTTCTATTTACATAGACAGAGTAAAAAAAGACACCTTGCAGTTTAATTTGTTCGTTGTGTTGAAGTTCATATAAAGACAATAATCGAGTGCACAAACAATTAAAATCAATATAGTGAAACTTGTACTTATTTCAATTAATCGGAGTGTGTTAAATACAGTCAGTAGCATAGTTGTGAAAGAAAATAAAGATGAGTTTTCTTCAAGCTATATAAGTAAAATGTATAGAATACAATCTGACGAATAAGAATAGCACATTTTTTCTTTTCTTTTCTTTTTTTTCGATGATCGAAAGTGAAACTTCTCGACACTTGACATAGTTTAGAGATCTAAAATCATATTAAAACAAAAACATTATTGCGACTAGGAAGTTCAAAGAGAGAAAAAGAAAGACCATTGCCTCATAGTTTTAATTATTTTTTTTTCATACGGCAATAGCAACTTCCTTCGCTCATATCAATGCAAATCTTAATCAAAGCAATACGAGAATAAGAGGTCGATATGGTCATTTATTTTATCATTAACTCTCTCGATGTCACGAGAGCAATATTTGTGTTAGTGTCTATCAAATACGAAACACGCACGATGAATCTTTACTTGAGATTGAGCTTAACATAATTCTCTGTCAATGTTCATCATACAGCAATCAAGTAAATCTCAAATGTCATTCATTTTCAAAACTTAATTGAACTTGGAAACGATGAATATTGTTGTTTTGCCTTAGATTATGATTCATCCAAATTCGTTACGGCGTCTTCAATAAGCTACGTATTGAGAAAAGGCTATGGTAAATAATTTCGAAAAAACTGACAAGTATCGATTATTATAATATTTGGTTCTTTGATGTATATTATCTATTTGAAGAGTCGTTTTAGAAAATGACTTTATTTAGTAGAGATTTGGGAAGAGTAATTTTCATGGCAACCTATGTCATTTTTAATCCATGCTTGTTCTTCATAGTAAAACAATGTCACCTAAATTTAGACATGCATGTCTTATCATTAGCATTTATGCATAAATTATTTAGATTTTTTAGGTAACATCTGCTATACTAAATTAGTATCAGGTGGAATAGTGCTCCAATAAAAACTATACAAACACCGGTGTCAATATAGCCCTCAGTTTTTTTTTACCGACATCCCATGGGAGTAACCGCTAAGTATTTATGATAAATGTAATGCTGCTTAGTAATATAGACTCCATCAAAAATAATCGAACTTACTTAAATCATATAAACGAATGCGTGTGCCATGATCTGCATTAATTATAATAAAATCAATTGACGCCGGAAATTTCGATTCTACACGAATAGTATAAAGAGCAAAATTATTTGTTTCGAGCACATCGGATGTTTTGTTCAAGATAATATTTTGATGCGTATAGTTTTCTGACTGTTCATAAAGAATAATGATAAAATCGGAATTAATTGATTTTTCGTGTGATTCATAGCGAATATCAAAATTTGAACTAGGAATGTATGTTACTGAATTGTTTGCTGAAAGATTAGTATCTGCGGTCGTTCGCAGTAGTAAATTTTTGTTTAACGAAAATAAATTTCCTACGAATGTCGAATTTTCATATTCTCCATTGATAGTCCACTGAAATTTCTGTGAATGTAAACGAAGAAAATTTTGGAAATAACAAGAAAATAATATTTTTCATCTTACTGAGTCATTTTTTGCTCCTAAAATATAATGCAAATCTCCAACATGTAGATAACCTTTTGATACTTTATATAGATTAAGACGAAATAATCGTGCTTGATTAGGAATTGGTAATGATAATGATTTATATATGATTCGAAATGAAGATTTTACAGAAAATAAAACATCAGAAAAACGTTTCGTTGATATTGTGTCTAATAGATAGGTTTTCGTAAAATTGTCATCTAAAAAGTTATTTTTAAATAAAAACTAATTGTACTTAATATTCTCAATGAAATTTTACCTTGATGAACAGTCAATTCAGCTGATGTCTTTCCATCGAGATTTTCAACATCGAAAATAATCAGCGAAGAATCGTTCATAGAAATCAACCATTCAATATGAATAAATGGATCCAATGTTATTGGTGGAGCCAATGCCATATAAGTTCTTTCGAAAGTTATTTTATTAATTATTGTAACTATACAAAACAAATAGAAGCATATGAACAATCTAGACATAACATTCAATAAAATAACAATTAAAGAAAACAGTCTGCTTCAATTTTTCGTATTATCTTAACACACATCTCTTGTTGAACTTATTTTCAAACATAATATACAAATTGATAATGCAAGATTTGAACAGTAGCAATTCATTGTTGATTATGCAAGTTCTTTGTCTCGTATAGCCTATTCTGAACTCGTTAGCATATTTTTAGTTAAATTGATGGTCGAAAAAAAATTTCTTATGAAAAAAGAATTAATTATTGAACAATATTTAAAAAAATTATTTTTACTTTTCTTAAATTTTTCAATTTGAATATTGTATTCAACTAATGCCCAAATAAATTCTGGTTCAATAGATAATGTACATGTTCCAATATGATGATAAACAAAAGGAAATTGTTCATTATTACATATGTGTGTTGTTCTGAATAAATCTTTCATAGAAAAACAAATACGTCGATCTTCAAACGTTTGCAAGGATTGAAAAGTAATTTTAATAGATTCATCATCTACTGCTTTGATATGCCAAATATTAGCCTATAAAAAAAAGAGTACAGTCCTAAACACAAGTAGCTGCAGTTTAGGATACTGAGCTGATATTTTGAATATGCATGAGTAGGAAAAAGAATTCTAGTAATGCGTACTTATTCATCCTCCATTGGTTTATGTCCACAAAAGCTATGATGCAAAGACCCTCGTCCTTTTGTGCTCATAGATTTTGTTTTCAGGATGTATCTAAAAATTTCTCACAAAAGTTCCTACAAGCAAAGCCCTTGAACGAATTTATGTTATCAGCGTTTATGACTACAGTTATGTATTCACAATATTAGTTCTATATTATCAAGAGTAGCAATATTGCAGGAGTGTTGCGTATATTTTTCTATAGCTGTGTAAAAAATATCTTTGTATTACCTGTGTCAAATTATGATAAATACTATTCGTTGGTAAACTAATCAATTGATAAGGAAATAATCTATTATCATCTAAAATTTGTACATATGGTTCTGGTGACATAGTTGACCCTATACGAATAAAAGGCATGAGTATCAATTCGATGAATAATTTTTTAAAATTTTACATTCAATCGTTTCCGAATAAAACAAACGGAAAGTAGTTGATCCTAATGAAAATTGACTTGAATAAAATCGTATCCATATTTGACTATGATTTGCAATAAACCAAGTACCTGGTAATGCATCTAGAGATACGTTTCCTTGTGTAAAACAAAAAAAAAGAAATAAAAAAAACAACAATAATGCAACCTGATATATGATAAACTTGATATTGAGTAGGATCATGAAGAAGACCAATTTCAATAGAGTTTTCTTTATTATCCCAATTTAAATCATCAAATCTTAAGAAGATATTTTGTCCGTCATCAACTTCCAATAATATCAAGCAATCCATTGACGTTTTGATTTCAGTGTGAAATTCAATTGTTCCATTGTAGGATGAGTATTTTTTCCCACATGGTAAAGTTTTTAATTGATTATTTTCTTCCATAGATATTCTATTGAATTCTAACTTGAGATAAATATTAAAATATGGAAAAATTGATTTTTGTTTATGTACATACTTTGATATGTTAAATTAAAACCACGATATTGATAATCATCATTCGAATGTTTTGTTCGTAGAATTATTTTTGTTTCATTTATGGTTTGTATTCGAAAAGATTTTGATGTATTCAATGAATAAAAAGTATCACCTAAAGAAAAGACTTTAAAAAGAAAAGAATCCATTTTAAATCTGAATTACCGGTTATAACATGTAAATAATCATAATCATAATCAATACTAATATCACTAAGATTAATTTCAATCTCGTTCGAAGAATTCATATGAATAATCCATGTATATTCAACATTTGTTCTTAAAAATTTTGGATAATCTTTTGAATAAATTACACCATTGTTTTCATTAACATCCCAACTATAATTTTCTAATTATAAAAACAAAAAAGTTGAATTAAATTGTTTTGCTCGATCTATTTCGGAACCTATTCCTTGTATTTTAGCTTCTAGAAATGGCATACTACATAAATGTATATGTCGGAGTTGACTCTAAAATCCAGTTGCCTTGTAAAGGCAACTAGTCGCCTTTAAAATGTATAATCATAAAGTTGTTATTGACATGATAAAGAATATTTTATTCAATAGATGAGATTGAGGGTGTGGGAGTGGGTCTGTGTCGGTGTGAGTCTGGGTGTGGGTATGGTTTCGATCTTGCCCACGCCCACACCCACACTCCACCCTTTTTCGTATGTTTCAGTTGTTATCAAGTACTTCGCTTGTCATTTAGTATCTAACTCATTCAACTAAACATCTAGCTTTGAGTAGAAAGCCGTCTTCATTATTAAATGAAATGATGGTTTGATAGTAAATAAATAATTCTTTGTTAACTTCAGATCGAAAAGTTTCCATCAGTTAAACAAATTCATTATCGATTAGTGCAGAAAAACTTTACGATTATACATTTTAAAGTCAACTGACTCCATCCAGTTGATTTTAATGTCAACTAGTTGTCTTTAAAATTGAAGAGTCAACTAGTTCCATCCTAGTTGACTATAAAATTTTAAAAACAACTAGTTGACTCTTCAATTTTAAAGGCAACTGGATTTTAGAGTCAACTCCGACATATACGTTAATAGATATATGATTTTTTCAGAGGTATTCCAAAGTCGGCAGGGTTATATGACTGATAAATGATGAGAAAGCTTAAAACATTTAAAAAACTATTCATCGAATGTAAGAAGAGAATCGATCTGAAAAGTGTCTTAAAAATTCTAGATTTCTACAACTATAGTTCAGCACATCTTTCCTATTAATAAAAGTAAGATTTTACCTCTTTCAATAATTTCATAGCTAAGAGAAAAACCGGAGGTATTGTATGATTTATCAGTAGTAAATATAAGAAATAAGTTATCATTTCGAATAAATAAATGTTTATTATCGATGTCATCACCCGACAATTCGTGTATGATCATAGCACGATTATTAAGATTTTGGCCAACATGTAATGCTAACGTATCATAATGTAACTCCGTACGAAATTCATGAATATATAATCGAATAAATGCATTTCGATGGTATAAATGCCAACGACATATCTAAATATAAATTATGCTTATTAGTTTCTGTTGAAACGAACTTTCTTACGATATTATTCGAATAATTTTGTGGATAATTTGGACTCGAAATAGTATCATACGGATATTGATATATTGATTTTGGTTTTTGTGATTTATATTCCAACGGATGAACAATATCAACATCGATTAGAATCTCTGCAGATTTTGGTATTACAGTTGTGGCTACAAAATAAAAGATCTTTCATTTTAGAGCACTTTGAACTATCGAGTGGTTTCTATGCATATGCCACTATTATAATTTGATTGCACTGAGATTTGTAAGTCACCGTTCTGAAACATTTTTATAGCTTTGAACCAATTTCCCTAGACTATGAAAACAATAAAGAAGCTCGAATGTAAGTTACTATTTATCTGACAGATCAAGTTTTCAGTCAAGTTACCCATATGGACTCGTCAAAAATTTTACACAAGCGTAAATCTTAGTCTAATTAGTTGACATAAGCTGTTTCTGCTGTGATCTTAGATTTTGTAAAGCTTACTGTCGAGATGTTCACTCTATTGAATAATTATGATCGTAAATACACAGACCACTAAAAATTTGGATACTCAGTTGCATAGCAACCTTTTCTCTTGTATCTAGGGTTGTTACTTTATCTTTATTGATCTTTATATTAAAGAATAAAGATAAATAAAACCTTTATATTTATAAAATAAAGATAAAGATAATCTTTATTTGTAAAAATAAAGTTAAAAGAAAGAAAAAAAAAGATCTTCTGCAGTCACTGGTAAATAGATGAATAATTTGTATAACAACAGAAAACATTGATTGCAGTTCTTGCTTATCATCGCTGGCATTGCAGTATGAAATAATACTAGCAAATGATGGTGAGGCATAAATCATTTATGGAAAGAAATCTAGTGTTCAAAATTTTTTAGCCTTGAACTTCTTAATTTTCTTCGAGCTATCGGGAGAAGGCCAAATTTCGGGTTTTTAAGGGAAAATATTTTTCTTTATTCTTTATTTTATCGTTATTAAATAAAGATAAAGCTACTTTTTCTTTTTCTTTATTTTATAAATATAAAGATTTCATTTATCTTTATTTTTTAAATATAAAGTAACATCCTTACTTGTATCCAAAGAATAAAGAGAATCTATGTATGTTTCCACCTAAAAAAAATCTATTTTTGAGCAATACAAGGTCAAGTATAAATTAGAGTTTCTTCAGATCTTTGATATTCGATATGGCACACAAGTGCAATATTTCGTCGAATGAGAAATGTAGGTTATCTGCTACAATTATGGTCAAATCTATTGTTTTCCACGTATCATTGGTTAAAAGCGTAGGATTATAAACGCTATTCAACTCGTTTGTATCGTAATTATTCACAAAGGTAACGAACGTTTTATGATAGTTAATCTGCATGCTACAGATCATAAGAATCATATACTAGAAGATGCCATGCAAGGTGAAACATATTATGAAGGTCCATTTATCTTTGAGTTAATTATCCTGAAAAAAAAACTAACAAACTACTAACATAAACATACACACAATATACTGAAAATTGATATCTGGAGGAGATAAATGCTATTCTTTGTTAGCAATTACCGTTTATGCGTATCAACTGACCAGGCCTTCATGGGACTATTCAGCTTTGTAGTAAAGAATCAATAATGATAAACTAAATCTTATTAGGAAGCATTCAATTTGATTTTGTTCGGACCTTTAGTCTTCATGGCTGTATTAATTGACGACTTTATAATACGTTTTATGTCAAGGAAAATAATCCAATTTTGATATCATTTGTTCGTGATTAAGCAAATATGCATAACATATAGTATACGAGTTTACACGTATCCATATTAATCTTAATGTGGGACAGATTATCGATGTTTTTCTTTAAAACATCATCGTTAAATGTCATATCATAATTACATACGTCAGCCTGGCTCGAAAATATCGAATATTAATCTGAAGAAAAGCTTTGCATTCGTAAAACAGATGAAAAACGAAGTATTGAATTTTTACCAAGCAAATTTTCACTGAAAGTTTAATGTGTTAAACTAATGCCATTGACTCGAAAAAAGCAAACACTCTGAGGCTTTTTATTCTACAAGTAACATTTTTATTCACTTCTAAAATTTCTAAAGAATTTCTCTTACTCCCGTTGAAGTAGATGCATTCTTTCGAGGGCAATCTCTTATTCATTTCTTAATCGTTTTCATTTTTGTTTTACATAAATATAAGCAAACGAGAATGAAATAGACATTTAAGAACTTTCATCGTTTTTTGTCAATGGACTCTGTCACATTATTTAATATTTATAAAATATCTTACATTTATTGACTAGAAATTCATAATCAATCGTAAAACCTGAACCGGTATTTGTTTGATCACTGGCAAATTGAATCCATAGAGATCGTGTTAGAATATCACCGCGAAGTGCAATTAAACATGGATCAGGTAATTTCGAACCTGAAAATCGAAATAATTTTGAATTATATTTTGACACATCAGTTATTGTTTCTCCAATAAATAATTCATCGTGACCAAATTCGGTATCGAAATGACGAAATGTTAATAGAAGATTACGATAATGAATATTGTGTGATATAGATGATAAATTAAATGTCCATGTGCATTCAATATTATTTTCATATGATAATAACACAATAGTGCCACTAGTTTGATTTAATTCATAATTGCATAAATAAACAACGCATGGGAAAAATATGATGATGTAAAACAATGTATTAATATACATCTGAAGAAAATATCATTACTCCTCGTTAAATATTTACTTATCCTTGAAGAATGGTTATCATATTATTCCATGTATAAGTGAATGAGTGATGTGACTGAAGATTTAAATATGTGCTAGCAGATAAAAATAAAAGAGAATCAATGTAGATCTAATGAAAACAATTTGTTGATTATTTCTGTCGCTAATACTTATTTACTTGTTTGTGACATGTAGATTAATCAGATCTAATTGGGAGTACTATACGAAGGACCTTCTCTAAATAAGAAATAGAGATAAATCAGTAAGAAGAAATGATAATTATGTGTGTAAATAACAGAAATAGAAAATAAGTGAAGGTTATGCATATATGCCTTATGGCTATGAGTCTGATATATATCAGAATGAGCTATAGACACTTAAGAACGTGAGGGAAAAGAGGGAGAGAGAGAGAGAGAAAGAAAGAGAGAAAATAAAACAGATGATTATATAGTAAGGAAAGCACTGATTTGGTACTAATGATGGTAGTGTGACTACTACAATCAAACAGAATATAATAGTAATGATGAAGGTTAGAAAAATACTCTGAAGAGAAAAATAATGAATGGCATGAACCGATCAGCATGGATATATAATATTGTCCTAGAGATACATAAGAAAGAAAGAATAAAGAAAAAAAAGAGGAATTGATACACTTCGTCAACAAACCGTTTCTTTGAAGTTCAAGGCTTCTGTCGACAAAAAAAACATATTAAATTTCACGTATTCAGCGATCGATTCAAAAGACATCGTTTGTCATATGGCAATGACTTCGATGTAGTCAATAGTAACATTCTTCATCATACGGAGTTTAGTTTAATACAATGAGTCATTGTGTTTATATTTACTTTAAAAGAAAAATAAAATCAACAAATTTCGACTTAAGCAGCCAATCTAGAAGAGCAAAAAAATAAAAATCAAATTTTCTTCGATACATGCTTATTTACAAGAAATATAGCCCCTTTTGCATCATTAAAATTTTACTTATCCAAAGACAGCAGATCAATCAATTTGACAGGTCAAAACGTAACTTATTAGAATGAAATACTGTCTAGATAATTATTTTAAACACTATATGGGTTTTATTTGCAAAGAACGATTCAATTTTGTTGACATAACAATTGTGTAAGATCGTATAAAATCACTTTTGTCAATAAAAACATGTGGTCTATTTATCCGGTCTACTAATATGTGAAGGAAGCTTGCTTTTCTATGTAAAAATTCATATATTCATTTCAAAGCATATGCTGCTGTATAGCATGCAAACATAAATACAGATTTGCATGCATTGGAATTTCAATGGGTCCAAGAGTGAATAATTAGTCATAGTCAGGTGATCTATCTATAGAAAAAATGTTTGACTTTTTGATGTATCTTAACATCAAGAGACGAACTCAATCTGCTGTTTTTCTGTAATATCAGCAAAGAATAATAAATTATTTCTGATCTTCGAATATTATTACTCGGACATTTTTTTAAATCGATATGCAGTTAGTATTAACTCCGATTACTTAGTACAATATTGATCATACTAATGGATCTACCGATGATAAAATCAATACATAACAATCCCAGACCAATGTGATTAGAATATTCGAATGTATTATGATTTATTATTTAGTATGGTTTTTTTTTTGTAAGGTTTCAAACATAATGGATAGACGCTTGTATTATTGATAGTTATTTTCTATTGCAAGTAGTAGCTATAGGTTATGATAATTAGTAATGACTGTAATAGGGAGAGAAAAGAACCTGGAAAAAAAACTATCACTGCATTTCTATTTATTTTTTCTACTTCAGATTCGGTTGTAATTATAATTCCGAGCGTCCTGACTTCTGCATAAGAAAAATATTGTTTTATATATCTTTTGTCTTATTTCCATAGATATTCTCTACTCTATCCTTTTGATCAAAACCATGTGAGTTTTTACACTTGTCAATTAAAAAGCAATCTCATGAAACACCTACCCGTAGGTGGTAATAACGACATTCAACATGCATAAGAAAAATGCAAAATAAGTCTTCTGTAAAAGATATCGTCGTCTATAATCATTTATACATAATCATTTTTTTTATTAAGATTACTGCAAAAAATGTTTGAAACTTGAGACAAGATAAACGCAATCCTATTTTGATTCTCGCCTAACCATTTGGTTTTTATTCAAATATGAATGGCAAAGGAGAACAACTTGACAACACGACGAACTTTGTATAGAAATGAAAATTATATTAGCTGGTTAAAATCTGATCGATATAATCATAGAGTATTTTACAAAGTAGTCTTTGGCTTACAAGCATTTTTAAACGTAAAATTTATGCTCTATGCAAACGTAGAATAGATTTTCGAGTGAAATTGATTGAAAAACCATTCATTGAATTGTAATCTGATATGAAGATTGTGTTATATACACTACGCACTTCGGTCGATTGCTAAGTTTTTAACTAAATACGTCTGTAGGGTATGAAAGAAAAATTATAATGCAGATTTTACGTGCATTTTTTTCTGTTCATGATGAGTGGTGATGAAAATTTTCAAGCAAAAAAAATTAAAAATTAAATTATTCATGGCAAATAAGTAAACTTGTTGGTTTTCGCTAACAACCTGAGAATGATATAACCAGTTTAAGAAGCGTTCTCATGGAAACGTGAGAGACCTGAAACGAAAAGATAATGATTGACAAATGTTCGAATGAATCGTGAAAAAACGAATATCATCGTTAATTTATAATGTCATAATATGGGAAAAGAGCGTTTTCGTGTCGAATATTTATTTTTCAATGAGATGTTAAGAAATAAATTTGGTTTTTGTTACCAGCTTTTCAATGGTCTATAATCAATCCGTCATCAAATAAGATAGAAATTCTATATTTAATGGTAGATGATAAGATAGAATCGTATTGAGTTCGATATATGTAATTTAAATCAAAATTGATATAGCTGCTCATTTCGACAACAACAGAAAACAATAGAGAACATTGTATTCTAATTTTTGTGTACTCAAAAAAAGTGAGTGCACTCTAGATTCGGTCAGTGTGCCCGGCCCGCCGTTAACACGATAACCTTTGAAAGCCTCATCCAATTGTCATGAAATTTTATACACATAATGATCTCATTAATATCTCAGTCGAGTTCGAAGATGAGAAGGATCCGTCAAGAAATGGTTGAGTTATCGAAACAGTTGTCAGTATTGATCAGACCATCCCTGAGAGGGGGGGGGGGGCAGAGATTTTTNAGGAATTTTTTCAAAAAAACTTTTTCTTAGAATTATTCACAACATATATAAATCGACTCAGTTTTTTTCAGTACACATAACAATCGGATGCGAATCCAATGTTTCCTCATTTATTTAAGATAAAATTCAACATGAGAAAATGGCATCAACACACGATCGATGTAAAATGAAAAATTTCATGAAAGATATATCTAAAATTGAATTAAATTCACGATGTATCAATTATGAAAACACTAGCATGTTCATTTTTACCTATATTTCGCCATAGATAAAGTAGAAAGATATTTTTATGCCGATCCGTTGTAGTGTTTAAACCATAGATTTTATTGAGCGTCTACCGATTAATTCGATAACAGCACAAAGATAAGAATCATGAATACTTCCAGAGAATATGGATATTTAAGTGGTCTGTAGAATTTCAAGGCTCTTGCATTCTTTTATTTTCCAATAATCTCTGTTGAATCACTGATTACATGTTAAGTAACCTCGGGATTTCATCCGTCTTTTTTTCTCTTAAATAAACAGTTTAATACGAAATCATATCATCGACATAGCTCACTTTTAATGATTTATGGTCTACCAAGAGATATGTTAATTCCATTGAGATGATTCCAAATATATGAAAAATATTTCTTGTTCAATCAACAATCATATTCAAAACAGCAAACTCGTATAAAAGTTAGTTTTCAATGAAAATGAATTCAACAAAGCTTACTAAGCCACGCACTCTCATAAAATAAATAATACTAAAAATAATCTCACTGTATACAATACGGCCAGATTCAAATTTAATATTTATATCTACAAGTTGTTGGAGGTGAAGGTATCGTGAGATGAATTTTAGATTAACTAGAATATTCTGTTGTTGTTTTTGATTGGTTTGATTAATGAGTTTTTCATGGTGCTTTCAGCCTTATTGAAATTCCTACATACATGGATGTCTTAGTGAAAATAAAAGAATGGCCTACATCAAACTACATCATGTACGTGAAGTCAAAAGAGAAGAATAATCATGAAAAAAATTCAGACAAAACAATCACTTGGATATCTTTCAAAAATAAAAATGCAAAATAAAATATTTTGCAACAAGCCACCACCTTTCAAGTTTTGTCCTTGACAACAGAGAAAATATATTTGTGTTTCATCATTATTGTTATTGTTTTTCGATTCGATGGTAAATCTGAAACTTATAAAAACTAGCATATTTCTGTTTTTAAGATAAACAATAGCGAGTGAACTTTCTTTGCTGATCAATACTTTTTCCTTTGCATATCAAAGAAAAATGAATTCAATGTACAGAAGTGACGAATAAAAAGATTCTTATCGATATCCTAGTTTATTATTCCTTGTAAACATGAGTGTTAAACAAAATGAAGTAGATAATAACAACAGGAACATACAAGTATCCCTTAAATAATGTTTTTTTTAAAATATTTTTTCATCTTGTATTAGTGTAACATCCACGGAACTTTTTTTTATTAGCATGCAAGTCATTCTTATTGTAAATGAAGTAGAGAAAGAAAGAAAAAAATTGAATACTTCTTTTTATAGGAAAAAATCTTATTTAAAATAAAAGAAAAAAAACAATCATTCTCTCAAAATAACTTATAGTGTAAAAAGAGGTATTACCATAACATCGAACTTTCGTATATATTGTATGTTGACGTGAAGGTAAGTGTAGATGAATTAATAGCAAATCTAACAAAAATAAAAGGAAAAAAAGATCCCTTGGCCATTCACGATAAACTTGAAAAATCAGAAAAAAAATTTGAAACCTTTCATCTCATTTTCAAAAAAGAAAAAGGAACATAAAAGGTTTAAGTGTCATGCAATGGGATCCTCAGAAAGTAAACAATCTTCCGATACTACTTATTATCGACAAAGTCAAGCATTTATGAATGTAGTACCATATAACATAGATAATAGCCAACCTGCCCCAAATGATATTTATCAAAGACTTAATCATAGCTTATATGCAGGTCCACCGTTAACAATGCCAATACAACCAACATATAGATGTAATTATTGTGGAATGGTATTTACAAGCGATGAAGCATTATATAAGCATAGAACAAGATTTTGTGTGGGCAATCCAGATGCTAGTATTAGACGAAATCCAAATAATTTAAATAATGGAACGAACGGTACTACTTTTATGAGTGAAAACTATTCGAATAGTCAACCAACATTAGGAAAAATTACTGCATATCCATCGCCAATTGAAAAAGTAATAATCAATTTACGGATTAAATCAAATATATACATATATTTATTGATAATTCGAACATAATCTTGCAAAGAATTCATTAGTTGACTGTTTCGAGTAATACATCGACAATTCTTACATACGTCATTTGTTTACAAGTGAAGAAACCTTAGAAAACGTACTAAATTAGGTACTTTAATACTGCTAAGATGAGTAAATACAAAATTTTAGTCGACAAGCGAACGATGCGAATTTCGTCAAAAGTTTTTTTTCTGACCTCAAGGTGAAAAACTCTCTCATTTTCAAAAATATACTAGCTTCGTTGAATACCACTGAGAGCATAGAGAAATAATAGGTACACATTATTTTTCTTGATATTCAAATCTTGAAAAATCTATACCTAGAAATTGTAACAAAAACTATTCGATAATTATTGTAGGCAATTTTGAAGCATGTTGTGATTAGTTCAACTATTGAGTCTAATAGCATGAGAAAGTAGTCACTCATGCCAATAAATTTCTATCTGTGAGAATGTAGCCTATCTCTGTTGATTTTGGAGTAGAATTGAATAATAGTGTATTGAACTCGTAGACGCTTTTAAAACTTTCTAGATACTTTATTTTATTCTAAATAATATTCTATTGATAATATATTTTTTTAAATAGAAACGCGAAGAAATAACCGAATGGAAAAATAAACGATCTATTCTACAAAGCGTACAAGATATGGAAGATAGAATACTAGTCGATTCAAGAAAAACAGAACAAGTAACCCATGATCTTAAAAAACAAACACATGAGTACAATCAAATTCTTAGTGAAGTATGAATTTCTACGCAATAATATTAAACCAAACATTTCTTTTAAGGATTTTTTAATAAGAATCAAACTTTTTATTTTCTAGTATGAAAAATTGCAAACACAAGAACGTGATCTTCTAAGAGAAATGTATAATTTACATGGACGATCTAGACTATATGTAAATTAAGTTCATATTCTTTTTGTCGTTTTATTGTCTTCAATATTTGCTATTAGTTCATGCAGCCAAAAGATTTAAATGATTATGAACGAAATCAACTAGAAGTTTTAAATCAACAGAATAATCGTATTAAACATGAACGTGAGGGTATGATTTGATCGAATAAAAACAATGAAAGAGTGGCAAACGGAGAATTGCGTTTCTCATTTTTTTTCTCGTATAGCTATTCAAAGTAAACTTGAGACATTAATAGGAAAAGATAATCCACAACCCATTCTACCCTATTATGATCCATATAGATTATTACGTGATATGAAAGAACAACAAGACCACAATGAAAACAATTTAGCATATTTACGAAGACGTCTTATGTATCCTAATAGGTATTTCATTCTAAATAGAATTTAATAGATTACTTTCAGTTTTTATTAGCTCATTATTTAGTTCCAATGAAAGTTCATTTTTACCACGTCTTAATCTGAATCGACAAACAACGACTGATGATGTTAGGTAAGAATGTTGAATAAATTTATTTTTTCTTTAATTTTTAATTGTAATTATAATTTAAGAGCATTACGAAACAGATATTTACAATCAGGCGGTCATGATAACGATGTTCTTTCACAATTTAATGATCTTGAAGAAAAACTACGTTACTATGAAAGTTTTCCATGGATGAAAGGTTATCCAGAACCATTAACACGTTATCCATGTATTTAATTAGTCATACTATCGGATGAGATCATCAATCTGCTGCTTGTTAGGTTTCACTTGCACTAGATTGGAAAAAATTGAGCTTGAAGTTCTGCGAGTATGGATGTTAGTTTGTAGTTTATCGGCACCCACAATTAGCATCATCAAATGCATCTTCTCAAACGAACATTTAAATCCTTGTGGTTTTTAGAATGATTTTATTGTTTTAATTTCACGAATTTCTAGCACCATTTCTTCATTTACTATATTATCATCATGTTAAACAAACTGCAACGCTTTCATAGTTATAATGCACTAAGTTTTATAAACACGAAATATTTTGTTTTATTTGAAAGGCACTAAAACTTAAACATAACGAACGATGAATACAAATATCAGGTGAAAAATCAATAGGCTCCTTTCTTTCTGTATATAACGTCTTGAATAATAAGAATAATTAAAACCACATTATTTTTAATCATAGCAATATGTAGGTTAAGAGCAATATGTCAACAGAACGCAAATAGATGTAGAACAGCTGACACGAAAGAAAAACAACAACAAAATTTATTTATTTATTTTATTATCATGTCGTTTACTGAGCATACATTTTATTTCCCCAATGGTTATAGTTATCATTCTGAGAGTATTTAGCCATTGACTGAACAGAAATTTTAAGTGTAGAAAAAGAATTTATATAAACACTGACGCGCAGAATTTCATATTCGTTCTTTTTTTGTATCTATTGAAAGCGAACTAGCAAGAGCACATATGATCTAATCCGATGTTGTTCGTCGTTTTTATTAATTGTTTTATTCATAGATCATCCATTTCGTCCAAGAGAGCCTAGAAATGATAAATTAACGTCGACCGTCACTGAAAAAGAGCGGCTAGAAAATGAACTTAGCGATATGCAACGTAAATTTCAACAACTGGATTCACGTATTTTGCTTGTTTCAATTTTATTTTTTTAAATTTGAAATCTTATCTTTTCTTAATAAGGTACAAAACAATTAGAGTTAACTTTAGCAACAACCGGATTGCCTAATCAAAATTCTAATCTTAACAATAATAATCATAGATATGTATCACCAAAAAACGATGGTCACCAATGGAAAAGTACTTACACTCGGATAGCTAATCCGAATTATACGAATTCTGCTCATCAATTCGTTGATCAACCTCAACAGTTTCATCAACCATCATTACCTATAATAGATACGGGTAGACGATCTCGTGGAATGCAACCAGCCAGTCGTATTGCTTCGAATTCGAATGGAAGATATGGTCAAATAGAATCAAAACCATACGATCCCGTCGGTGGTTTTGTTATATTCTTTGATTTTATTATTAATCTTTCACCAATGATTGAAAAATGTCAACTTATAACAAGTCTTCATCACGTACAAACAGGACTTGGCGAACCATCACAATTAGCAGTATTCAAATCTGAACTATATACTGATCCGAAATTTGGTGAACAAGTCAGCATTATTTTGCTTTCTACAAAACAACCTGTACCAAGGTTTCATTAATAAAAAGATCATATTTTCTTGGTTTTTTTTATTTATTAAATGATAGTTTTTATATTTTAGATGTCCACCACAACAAGCCTTATCTATAGTTATTGAAGTACTAACAACAACAAAGCAAAGTCCACATGCACCGTTACGTACAAATGCTTGGACTAGGATACCATTATTTGATAATAGAAATCGTCTATTAAGTGGCAGATGGAAAGTACCGTTGAAAATATTACCAATTCAACACGATGCAAGTTTTCCTGTTATTGCCACATTGCCAACAGTAAGCAGAGGAAATAAACCGATTGATCTAGACTAGACAGTAGACTTTTTACTCGATAAATTTTCGAATTTAAAATAGATCATTCACATTTTTTTCTCTTTTCCTTATACTAAAATATCTGTTGTCAGAGAAGTCTACCAATTGATGTATCCATCTCAAGTAGAAATGATGTGTCCTCTGTAGAGTCAAAAGAAATATGAAGACTTTGAAAAGAGTGCGTATTTTTAGTTTATCGGTGTCGATGTTCTGTACAACACTTTTAACGAATGTCATGACCTCCCTCAGAAAAAGTAAGAAATTCAATTGTCCAATTTTTTATTCTAATATAAGACTATGTTTAACAGTGTCAGTATCGTTTACGTAAATTGTTGGATTCGATGATCTTATATCAGTATAGCATTATTGAGTTCTATTGCGATTCAAAGTTTCAAATGAACCCTAAGCAGTTTTACTACTGTTACAAAGGGAGAGTATGTTATTCATTTGAAAACCTATCATAAAAATGCTGTGAATCTATAGGAATAAGCTGTGACCACGCACATATTGTAGTATACTTGTAATTGAAATTGATTTCCATTGATATCTGACATGATTAAATTTTCTTTTCTTATTTGTCGTATCACTATCGAAGAAAATATTTTGTGAGTCGAATTTGTTTTCTTATCATTTTCAGTTTCTTACCTTTAGTATTAAACTAAACCAAACAATAGATTTTATTATATGTGAAATATGACTAAATTTTTAGTTTGGCCGTGCTGAATTACATTATCGACTAGTCAATTATCAAGATGCAGCTGCTCAAGCAAATGTACTTTTCTCACTTAATCATCAAGATCTATACTTTACTCCACCACAAGTAAGTTACTAGATCTTTAGATTTAAACAAACAAAAAAAAGAACCTATTTAAAAACTTCAATTTCAAAATTTTATTTCTACATGTTTTCACTATTATTTAGTTTCAAACTCGACCATTTATGTAATAGGTATTAATCACTTGGCTTGTACCAAATCTTTCTCCTTTTTCTCTTCATGATCTATCCTATCATTGAATTCCTATGCATTTGCTTCTTTTTCCTTTCAGGATTAATGCTTCAATTTGAGAATTCATCACGATGGTTTTCTCTTTTGTAAATATTTTCTTCTCATGTAAATAAATAAAAGAATACGTTGTTTTGTTCATAGTCTATTATATTTGGGTTTGTTTTTCTTTGAGTGATGATAATGCGAATGAACACATAGTAAAGCAAAGACACAGTGAAAAAAAAACAAACAAAAAAACCAAATAAGCTGAATAGTAGCATTAGCGATTGAAATAGGACGACAATAGGAAGAGCATTAAAAAACGAGAATAATTGCAATAATAAAAAGAAAAAAAAAAGAGGAGACACAAAGAATCTCGTTTTTTTTTGAATATAAGATGAGTTAATTTTTGATATAATATGTGTTTAACACATTTTAGAAAATCGTCGTCATTTTGCTCAATCAATTATGCTCATATTGTATAAAGCACAAAAAGACAAGAAAAAAAAAGTTAATAAAGCGCACGAAAAAAAAGTGCCAAGCCGGTTGACGACAACAAAGTTAAAAGAATTAAACATCAGCGAGTAAATAGAAGATCGCTATTCAGCGAATATAATGTTCGTCAAAGGCTAAAATTCATAATTATATACATATCAAATCAATAATTACTTTTTATTTGTTCTTACTTAAAAAATGGTGTTTACCTAAAATAGAAAGTAAAGCAATATTAATTCATGTGAGAGGTTTTTTTCACTACTGATGTTTATGTAGGCGTATAACATAAAATAAAAGCATGATTAAACACAACAAACAAGCATTAAATGTGAGTTAATAAGATAAAAACGCAGTAAGAAGTTCATTTTACTGATACAACAGAGAAAGTAGCGCTATTACAGATAGATATATTTTACCACTTTGAAATTTAATGTTGATGACTAGTTGTTGTTGCTGGTTCCGCACAAAAACAATCATCCGAATGATGAGAAGAGGAAGAAGAATGCGGAGAAACAGATGGAATAGGAGAAGAAAGTATTTCTTCTTTTATTAATGATGATCGAGGAGGTAAAAGAGTACCTCCTAACGAACCGGGATGTGACTGAGTTTTTTTCTTAGAATGTCCACTAGGCAAGTCAGCATGAAAAAGTGCTGGTGTTGATGAAACTGATGAAGATTGTTTCGGTCTTTTAGCTGGATTTGTATTTACAAATGGAGGTAAAAATGGTAAATCCGTTGCTGACTGTGTTTGTTGTTGTTGTTTAAAACTAGCTAAATCAGTTTCAGCTTGCAATAAACGAGGCTGTTGATAAGATGGATGTGAATGCTGTTGAGAATATATCACAGAACGAGATGTCGATGAAAATGATGATGAAGATGAGGAGCTTGATGATGGAGTTTTAAGACGTCTCGAAACATGATCATTGTTAGGAGCTGATAAACGACGTTTATCTTGACTAGATGATTCTGTTTGGTTTAGACGAATATCTTCTTCCGATAAAAATATATTTCTTTGTTGATTTTTAATATCCTCATGCGTTATTTCAACATAATCATCGTCGAATGATTGACGTTGAGATCTATATATAACAGTTGTTGCATCCGATTGTGATGATATTGAATGTGTTAAATCACTTGCTGCATCAATAATATCGTCAAGAACATTTTTAACATCATTGTTTATCGATGAAAAATGTTTGTCAATGAATGATTCAACTTTATCATTATCATCATGCTGTTGTGATAATAAATCAACTGATGAACGTATTTCACGTACGATTTCGACAATGTTTGTTGTCGAACCATTTTTTAATAATTCCATTTCAATACGTTCAAATTCCATTAATGAATCATCGGTATTCGGCGTTTGTGATGAATTATGGTCAGCTGAATATGGACGATTCGTTTCACTTGCCGTTAAACTCAATGTGCTTATAGCTGATTTGATTTCGTCGTGTCGTAATTCTGGACTTTCATAAACAGTTTCTAATGTTGTACCCGAACGTAAATCAAAGCCAGTATCAAGTGGTGGATAATCACATTGATGTTGAAGTATATCAATTAGATCAGGACTTTCGTGTTTGTCAGATGAACTTGATGATGTATTTGATGGTGTCTCATTTTTAATATCTTTTGTATTTGCTGATGGCGAAAGATTTTTTACTAAAACAAATTCATCGGACATTTCTGTCATGTCACGTTCACCGAATTCAATCGATGAATCATCTAGTGAACGTGGTGTATAACGATTTATCGGTGAAATATTATCAATTAATTCATTTGTTGAATTTATCATTTCAATTGGACTACTTGATGGTTGTGGATGATCTTGTTTTGTATAGTAACTAAATGCAGATGCTTGTTGATTTGAAGACGATTTTCTTTCTGTTTGATCATTTTTTAATTGATCAAAAAATAATGTCGACGATGGTGTATATTGTTCAGGCACATGAATAATAATACAACTATCCGAACTGAAACGTTGTAATGTACCATAGTCGAGTTCATCTGGACATGCTTGTAAGAGTTGTTCGCTGTGTGCATGCGTCATAGTTGCTTGTTGTGTATTGAGTGGCAATGAACGATCAAGACTTTGATCCGTAAATGGTGATATTATATCAGATTTATTCATATTTTCATCTCCTGCTAATGCCTTTTCAACTAAACGATCTAATGAACGTGCAAATTTTAATTTAATTCTATCGATAAATGATTCTTTAGTTTGATAGATTTCATTTAATTCTTCTTGTATAGTTGATTTGATTGAATCGACTAATGTTGAATCACGATCACTTTCACTGCCAGCATCATATTCGGATGACGAAAGAATTACTTTTGTTGGTTGTATTGTTGTTGGTGTTGATGCAGTTGGATGGATTTGTGAATCATATTGATCATTGTTAATTTCTAAATCACTTTTAATTGTTTCTAAATTACTACGAAGAATTTCTTCTTGTAAAATTTTTATTATCGATTTATCATTCGAATCATTTAATGGTGAATCAAGACTTTCTTGTCGTGGCATTGCTGTAGCACTGCTCGTTGATAATCGGGGTGATCGTACGAAATTTTCATTCAAGTCTAATTTAAATGAAACACTTTTTCCAGCCGTATTTGTTGTTGCCGTTGGTTCTGAGATGTTTAGTGTTAAATCATTTAATAGTAAAGATCGTTGTTCACTTGAACGTTTTCGTTTTTGTTGAACAGCATTTTGATTACCACCACTACTTTCTTCACCTTCGCCGGAATATCTTTCTTCAGGAATTTTTTCTTTTGTTATAGTAAAATTTTCTGGACGACTTTTACTCGAATATTTTTCATCGGAACTTGAATCATTATAACCATAATTAACTGTACCACGTTCATTTACGTAATCATTATCATCAGATGATATGACATTGGGTGTTTCATCGGTAGCTGTTAAATATTGACTAGAATTAGATTGTGTCTGATAATGACGATGCAGTTTATCATCTTCATTGGCTGAATTTGAACTGCGAACATCAAGATAGTCACCACTTGATGGCGATACTATACTAAAAAATGTTCCTGTATCAGATTGTGAACCATGACGAATGCTTGATGGTGATGTTTTCATGACTGGTGTTGATGTTGGTTCAAAATCAAAACTTTCTGAATGTATACTGGTAATAGCAGAAGTTTTTGTTGGCGTTGCTGTTGTTGATGATCGTGCTGAATTTTCTTCATCACCTGAGTGTTCACGTGTATTCGATGATTCATCAGCACTATAACGATCATTAACACTGAATGAACTTGTGTCTGTTGGAATAGGATTTCGTTTATTTTCTTCTTCGTCTTCTTCGATAACTTCATCGGCGTCATCGTCATCAGATGATGTATGGTTATCTGTTAGTTTAGCATCTTTATCACTTTCACAAGAATCATCATGATCGCCAGTCATTTGTGTTAGAGCATCACTTAAGATTTGGCAAACAAAATCAGTCGCTAGTGTGTCGAATTCTTCTTCAGTCATTTGTTCATCATGTGTTAGTAATGGTGGTGGTGGTGGTTGCTGTCCAGGTACCATAAGTGCTAATGGTCTTTGACAACTACTAGTTGGTTCGAATGTATCCGAAAAAGCACATGCTGGTATATTATATGATTCTGAATGTTCTGAACTTGATTCTTTTTCTACAACATCATCGAATGGTGTCGAATGACGTGGTTGATGTTGTTGTATAAATTCTAATGAATTATCTTTTGATATAGTTGGTAGAAATTCTTCGGATGCTTCATTACTTGCTGTACCTATACTATGACGTTTTGAATCATCAATAATTAATGCCGATTCAGATTGTGTACGATTTTGTAATTGTAAATTCGTTACTAAAATTTTCCGATTATTATCATTAACATTGTCCATATTGTATAATTCTGGACTACGAACGAGTTTTAATTTTTCTTCATCATTTAAATCATATGCTGAATGAAAGTGTTGTTGTGCCGGTAGTGTTGATGGCGATGATGAAAATAACTTTTGTTCATCATCTACTATTGGTTTATCATTTAAATCTGTATTACTATTCAATGATGATGTTGATCGTTGTCTACGACGATTTTCCATAGCTTCTTGTACAATTTCAACTGGCTTTGAAACTAACGCTTTAACACGACCAAGAAAACCGATGCCAGCTGTTGAAGACGATGGATTTGAATTTGAAAATTCGAAATCATTATCATCTGTTGTTGTTGTTGTATCACGATAGATTTGTTGATGTTTTTGTGAATCATCATATAAAATATTTTGATGATAATCAATATAATCGTTCGATGGCGTTAAATCATCTTTATCGGCTAAGCACGATGCTGATAATGAATGACTATCATACATATGCGCAGAAGATGACGATGTACTTAAAAGACTATTTTCACTTGCTGTACGTCGCGCATGTATAACAGGTAATTGTCCAGTTTCAATTTCATTTGATATTAATGGATATTGTTTTGTTGTCAAATCAAAATCACTTGTATCATCTTCTTCGTATTTCATCAACATATGACTTGGTGTTGGTTCATTTGTATGTTGATTGATTATGTAATCATCAGTTTCATTTGAAGGTGTCAATGGAGTATTGTCTTCTGATTGGAGATATTTTAATTCTTGTTCAGACTCAAGTGAATCAGTTGAACGTTGTTTCAGAGAATCTTGACTCATTATCATTAGTTCACTGATTGAATCACGACTCATTTCCATTTGTTGTTGCTGATGTTGATATTCTTCAGTTTGTTGTTTGTTTGATTCTGTTGATGTTGATTGTTGACTTGATTCATGTTGAGTAGTTTCACTTATATTTAATGGTATAACGGGTTTATTATCTTTATGATCATGATTATCATCGTCGTCGTCAGAATCGTCATGTTTAAATAAAGGTTTATCATCATCTGTAGAACATTTACCTTTAGATTTTTTCTGTTTTTCTTTATCTTCATCTTTATCTTCATTACGATCTTCTTCATGCTCATCGGAAAATGGTTGTTCTTCATGAACAATAGATAAATAATTAGGTGATACTATGTCATTTTGATCGTCACAGGACGTTATTTGAATGGTTGCGTCTTCATGAATAGTTCGACTATTTTCATGTGGTTTTATTTCCGCATGATGATGATCATCGGGCAGATTTTCATAACGTGACATGCGACGAAGATAATCTAATTGAGCAGCTAATTCACTTGTTTTATCAGTTGTACTATCATCATGTGAAAAATCTAATTCATCTGATATACTTGTTGCCGACGATTGAACATAGGGAGCACGACGTTGATCAACCATAAGTGTTGAGCCAATTCTTTGTGTTGGATGTGGAATATCTATCGGCTACAGATACAAAAAATAATATTAATTTTTATATTCTATAAAATTTCTCAGAATTTACGGAAGATTGAAGTTGATTTCAACTAGACAGACAGTTCAAAATAATTTTTAATTTAATAGAGTACCAGCTGAAAAGTTTTAAACGTAACTTTCTGTGATTTATTTTTCTTACGTTAGACGAGAAGTATTTGCATCAACAAAGGAGCATTTTTTTTAATCAAGATTACGTTTCATATGTAGATATTAATGAACTATACACATCAGTCATATGAGAAATTTTCGACTTGGAAATTCTCATACAGATAGCCTTGCAAAGAAAAGCTTATTGGAAATTATTCGAATCTTTTGATGTCCTTCTATTCTCTAAAGTCTCAACGGAATAGAATATACTCACAGTAATAAACTATCGAATATGTTGAAACTTACTTCCGATTGTACACTATGGTGTGCTTGTTGAATAACTAAATTAATCATATCTTGTAAAATTTTGTTTTCTTCGTGTTCAGATCGTAACTGTTCTTGAACTTGATCAACATCATTCATAGATGAGCACGTCACATGAAGAAAATCTTCTTTAATCAATGGTGATCCTGGTGGGCTCGAAGGTCGTCGTTCACTATGACGTGTGTAACTATCTGTTGGATTTGTTTGTGAATCATGACGATATTGCACTATATCATTGGATAATGTATCAATATCTTCTAATTGCAAAACTTCTTCGTGTTTGAAACGCTCATTTAAATCTTCTGTAACATCGTTTAGTTCATGTATTAAATTGCCGAGTTCATTCATAGATGTTGATGATACAGGCACAATGTTTGGTTCTTCTAATTCTGAATCAAGTTTATCTTCAAGTTGTTCTTCAACATTTTTCAATTCAGAAACAAGATCTGTTAATTCATTTACTGATGCTGATGCTTTTGTTGTTGATATTTGCGCAATATTTAAATCATAATGATGAATTTCATCGTTTTCTGATACTGATGATGACGACGATGAAGATGAATGGTGAATATCAATATTTTCATTGATTTGTTGTTCAAGTGTTTGCAATTCTTGAACAAGATCACCTAATTCTTGTGTTGATTTTGATGTTACAACATCTGATACCATTAAATAAGGTAGATCTCTTGTTTCTGGATGAAATTTTTCTTGATATTCTTCATTATCTGATAGATCATGTTCATTTTTAACTTGTTTTTCTTCGTCATTATCACTAAAATTCTCTTGTTTTGGTGTATCAATAGAAGTTTTAACAAGTGCTGACCAATCAGTTAGATCACTTATTGATACATCAGCACTAGTTGCTTCTTCTATGTTTGATGAAACAATTTCATCATCATATTTCTTTTGAATACTATCAATAACATCATGAACAATGTTCTTAGCTGTTTGATATAGAGAATAATTAAAATCTTGTTCTGATGTTTCACGAACAGCTTCTTTTAAGATTTGATTAACAATATCGTTCGATGTTCCTATAAGAACTTTTTCATAGCTTTGGTCTTCGATTGTCGAAGTTGGTTCGACATTCTTTTCGTTGTCATCTTTATCTGGCATTGAAATATCAAGATGTGTTGGACGAAAATCATCATCTCTTTCTTCTTCTAATTCCTCATCATCAGGATACGATGTAATTGTACGTGATATTATATCTGCATGTTGAATATGTGATATTATTGGTGATTCAACTTCTTTAAAATCTGATGGAAGTTGACTTTCATCATCGCATGTTTTAATTGAATATTGATTCGGTCGATATTTATTACCATAGATTTCATCACGTTGAAATGATGATTGTTTCCATTCTTGTGGACGCTTTAATGGTGTTCGTTCTATGTCATCATCATCATCTTCTGCTTCCTGTTGAAATGATGCCGATTGAAGGTTGATGAAATTGTCATCATTGATTTCTTGTTCGAATCTCTGAAAATCTTCATATGGATATTCTAATTCCTGTGAAGTTTTTTCAATAGGTTGTTCAAGTGTGGAATTTAGTGCGAATTCATGTTGAGATTGTAATTTATACGAATCATCTCGAAATTGTTGAGGAAAAGTAATATCCACATTCCCGGAACTTAACGGTTGTTCATATCGTATGTTATCTGGTTCGATTGTTTGTGAATTTTCAAGAAGATCTTTCTCTTCTTCTTGTTGAGTTAAATGAGAAGATTCAACTTCATAATTATAATAATGTTCACTTAGTTTTGGTGATTCGAGAATAGGTTGTTCAGTACTTGATTTACGTTCGAGTGGCTCATGAGAAGCAGATTGTTCTTGTTCAAATAATGAAGATAATTTATGCTGCTCGGGTATCACTTGCTCAGAAATTTCAGTTGTAATATCTGTGATAGGAGATTTTTGTTTTTCTTCATCATCCGATAGATGTGTTGTTTGAAGAACTTCTTCAGTGTGTTCGATTTCCCGAGGTGATTCAAGGGAAATTTTATCAGTACTTGATTTTCGTTCTAATCCGTATTCATCTTCGAGCTCGGGCAGTTCTTCTTTAATTTTTTGGTCAAATTCTTTTGAAATCGGCCCAGAAGTAAAATATTCATCTCTATCATGTTCAACTTCTACTGTAGGGATTTTTCGATGAGATGCAATCGGGACTTGTTGAGCAGCTTCTGATGGTTCGCTTTCGTCCGATTGTATTGCTTGATCAGATTCAAGAACTAATTGATTGATTACTTGTTGATGTTCAGTTTCATCAGAAGATTCGATTAAGATTTCATCAGCATCGAAATTTTGTTCCGGTTGCGTTTCATGAGATAAATCGATAGTAAACTGATTTTCATCTTCTTCTTGTCGAAATGTATGCAGCATTTCTATCGTTTTTATAAAATTTCTATCGCCTTCTTGATCCTCTACTTGAAAAGGTTCAGTTTGAACTTTTTGTTCATAGTCAAATCCTTCTCGTTCTTCTTCTTCTTCTTCTTCTTCAGACGATGGAGTTGATGCAACAATGAATTTAACAGTATTCGGTTTTTCTACGAATTCAATTTCTGGTTTGTGTTCAACAATATCTCCTGCTGAAAGAAGTTCAGCAGTAATCTTTTCAGTACTTAATTGTGATTCATAAGATATAGATTTTTCTTCGTTCTTGGGAGACAAGTCCGTTGTTTCACTGATTATTGCATTTTCTTGTTGACCATGAACGTGTTCTTCTTCAGATTTTTCAGAATATGAAGGAGACGATCGAGTAGTTTCTAATATGTCCTCTTCGTGCTGTTTACTTGAACGAGTTAATTCATTGTCTTGTATTTCCGAGCGCAATGATTCTTCTGGTTCAAATTCAATTTGAGATTTTTGACTTTCTGCTAAGTGATCACCAGAACCGATACTGCCCTTGTCAGAACTTAATCGTCGTTCTATTTCGAATTCATTATCCAATTCAGTTGTACTTTCTGGAACATATACGTCTGTACGAGATGATTCATATAGATGTGCTTCAGCAGGTTCAATATTGGCTTCATCAGAACTACGTTTTGGTTCAGATGGATATTGTTCGTTCTCATCTTCGTGGTTACTTTCACGGGGTGATTCCACACGGATATCTTCATCGTCAACTGATTTTCTTTCGATGTCGACTGCATCTTTTTTATAAACATCACCAGTAGCTTCTTCTGATTTCAATGATTCTTGGTCGTCTGATCTTCTTTCTTCGTCAAGTATGTGTGAGGATTCAATGATATTTATATCTGTCGATAATGGCGTATGGCTTTGCTTTTCGACTGGTTCAACAGTTTCAATCGGTACCATACTTGATAGTAATTCAGATTCTGGTGCGTATTGTTCTCTATATTGATCTTCTACTTGTTCCTTTGGTTGTTCTTCGTGTTCTATGCCGTATGAAGATTCAACAGTAACCTTTTCGGAACTTGATTTTCGTTCAGATTCCTGTTCGTCTATTTCGATTTCTTGTTGAAATGAAGCTGGAACTTGTTCAAAACTGGATATTTGTTTATATTTTTCATCTTCCATTAGTTGTTCGACTTCATCCATATTCAGTTTTTGATCCAGTTCATCAAGCTCTTCCAATTCTTCACGATCACTTGCATCAGGTGATTCTGAATAAATGTTTTCATCTGTCGACTTTGGTTCTATTTCAGCAGCTGCTTTTTCCGATTCCAATGGTTCTTGATGATAGTCTGTAGTTTCCTCTTTGGCAGATGCTGATGATTCGATGATGATTTCATCATTGGCTAATTTTTCTTTTGAATCGTAGTGATCTTTGCGTTCATCTGTGCATGATGCGTCTAATTCACTAGATTGAATAAATTGTTGTTGCAAAGCAAATACTGGTTCATCACGTTCTTGTTCAATGTCTTCATCAGCTTCAACTTTAATCATATCCGTACTTGTTTTAGATTCTTCTTCTTCTTCTTCTTCTTCGCTGTTTTGTTTTTCGTCGATAAATTGTGAAGATATAGTTAAGGGATGCACAGATTCTAACATTCGTTTCATATCATCGATTTCTTTCAGTCCTCGTGTTTCACTTTCCATGACTTGTTTATATTGGTGTAAAATATGTTCTATACTCAATGTTGGCTTATATTCATCTTGGTCAACTTCTTCAGTCGATTCAGCAACGAATTGAGTAGTTGTATGTTCATGTACTGGCGAATGTTGTTCTACTTTTTCTACATGATCACTTTCATGAGGTGATTCTAATTGAATTTCTGCATCGCTTGATTTTCGATTGATTTCGTATTCTTCTGACATAGGAATTTCATCTGTTTCTTGCTGCAGTTCTAATTGTTCTTGATTATCGTATTCTTCTGCATATTCAAGTTTTATTTGTGGCGAACTTGTCATGGATTCTGGTTCGTGTTGCACCGTTTCAAATTTTTCTTGATAATAATCAACTCCTTGATGTTGTTCACTCTGTTGTAAAGATAAAGGTGTGAATGATTCAGTACTTAATACTTCTTCAACTTCATGAATTGCCTTTTCTGTTTCATTGTCGCTTAAAGTGGCTTCTCTATAATCAATGAGAACTTGTTCTAAACTCAATGTTGGTACGTACTGATCTTGCTCGATTTCTGTAACACGTTCCAGTTCCGATGAAAGTTGTTGTTGTTTTTCTTCTTCATGTTCACTTTCATGTGGCGATTCAATATGAATATGCTGACCATCTGATGATCGTTCGATTTCATATTTTTCTTCTGCATGACTTTCTAGCACCAACGGTTCCTCTTCAACTTGTTCTTTCTCTTCTTGGTTTGTGACTAAGGATTCAATCAGATGTGCAACAGCATATATTTTTCCTTCAGAATCATATTGATCTTCATCTTGTTCTGGTGCGCTTGTTGCTGAAGATTCGACCACGACTTGCTCAGTGTTTAGTCTTTGTTCAGTGATTTGATGAGAAGGAATAACATCTGCTTCAAAACTAGAACTTAATTCATGTTGATCTTGTTCCATGATGTGAGAAGATTCAATAGTAATTGGATCTGAGTTCAGCTTTTGTTCAGATTGATATGGTTCTTCTTCTTCGTCTTTTTCGTGATCACTCTCATGTGGTGATTCTAACTGGATCTCGGTGGCAGTTAACTTTTGTTGAATTTCTTCATCAACAATATGTGTTTCTCCGGCTCGTTCTTCATCTTCACGTGTGTATGGACTTTCGACTACAGGAGAGCCGACATGTTGCTGGTGTTGTGAAACTAGCATTGGTTCGTACGGATCCTGTTCAACTGTTTCAGTATGTTCAATGTTGATTACATCCGAGCTTACTGTAGATTCTGGATTATATTGATCTTCTTCTTCGTGATCACTCTCATGTGATGATTCTAAGTGGATTTCGGTAGCAGTTAACTTTTGATGAATTTCTTCATCACCAATATATGTTTCACCGGATTCTTCTTCATCTTCACCTCTGTATTGACTTTCGGTTACAGGTGAGCCGATATGTTGTTGCGATTGAGAAACTAGCATTGGTTCATGGCGATCGTGTTCAACTGTTGCAGTATGTTCAGTTTTGATAGCATCCGAACCTAGTTTCGACTCTGGATGATATTGTTCTTCTTGTTGTTCACTAATACCAGATGATTGAATGAAATATTTTTCGGAGGTTATTATTGTTTCAGGATTTTCATCCACAACTAGTTCGAGATTTGATGGTTGTTTTTTATCTTGAACCTTTTCTGTACATTCTGTAACTTGCGTCAATGAAGGACTGGTTTTTGCTGAATTTTTGCCTCGTTCCATTTGGGCTTCATCTTGTTCATTCAGGTTAGTTTCTCCTGTTTCTATACAAGGTGTAATCAAATGTGGAAAATCGTGTGTTAATCGTTGATGTACGTCTTCTTGATCTTCAAGTTCACTGGATTGAAGAGATTCCACTTCGGTCATTTGGGAATTAAATCTTTCATGCCTTTTTTGATAATTGTCTTCTTCTGATTCTTCTACGTCGATTGCGTCACGGGGCTCAATGTAAACCTGTCCATCACTGTAAAGTTGCTCAAATAATGACTTTTCATGTTCGACCACTTCAGGCGTTCCAACAAATGCTTCATCAGGACAATGTGTTCGTTTAACTTGATCTTGCTCTTCATATTCTTCACGATCACTTTCATGCTCCGACTCCAACTGTAATTCGCTGCCACTGGATTTTTTGAGAATTTCAAATTCATGTGCTACTTGTAACCCATCGGTTGCTTCTTTTTCAACAGATGATTGATAGCTATATCCTTCGGCTGTTGCTGAATGTTCGACAATACTCGTATCAGCAGCTGATGCATCTCGAGAATCATAATAATCGTCCTGTGCATCAGCCGATGTAGTCTCCACAAGAGGCGATTCCAAGAACTTTTGTTGAGGCGTTGCTGATGCTTCAAAGTGTTCTTCATCATCTTGTGTGGTGAACTCTGTTTTAGTAACTACTGCAGTTGTTCTATATTCTTGTACCTCTTGATCAGATTCATAATTTTCTGCATATTCTACTTTGTCGCTTTCTGGTTCCCTTGGTAATGCAGATTCGATCGCGACTTGTTCAATGACTTCATGAGAAGGAATAACAACGGCTTCAAACTTAGAACTTAATTCATCTTCATCTTGTTCCGTGATGTGAGGGGATTCAAGAGTAATTTGATCTGAGCTCAGCTTCTGTTCAGATTGATATGGTTCTTCTTGTTCGTCTTTTTCGTGATCACTCTCATGTGGTGATTCTAAGTGGATTTCGGTAGCAGTTAATTTTTGTTGAATTTCTTCATCAGCAACATGTGTTTCACCGGGTTCTTCTTCATCTTCTGGTGTGTATGGACTTTCGATTACATGAGAGCCGACATGTTCCTGCTGTTGTGAAACTAGCATTGGTTCGTACGGATCCTGTTCAACTGTTTCAGTATGTTCAATTTTGATTGCATCCGAACTTAGTGTAGATTCTGCATTGTATTGATCTTCTTCTTCGTGATCGCTCTCACGTGGTGATTCTAACTGGATTTCGGTAGCAGTCAATTTTTGTTGAATTTCTTCAACAACAATATGTGTTTCTCCCTCTTGTTCTTCATCTTCAGGTACGTTGCGCCTTTCGATTACAGGAGAGGCAACATGTTGTTGGTGTTGAGAAACTAGCATTGGTTCATGGCGATCGTGTTCAACTGTTTCACTATGTTCAGTTTTGATTGCATCCGGACTTACTGTAGATTCCGGATTATATTGATCCTCGTCTTCGTGATCACTTCCATGTGGTGATTCCAACTGGATTTCAGTGGCACTGGATTTTTGTAGAATTTCATATTCATGTGCTACCTGTAATTCATCCGTTTCTTCCTTTTCAACAGATGATTGATGACTATATTCTTCGGCTGTTGCTGAACGTTCGACAATACTTCTATCAGCAGCTGATGCTTCTCGAGAATCATAATAATCGTCCTGTTCATCAGCTAGTGTAGTCTCCACAAGCGGAGATTCCAAGAACGTTTGTTGAGGAGTTACTGATGCATCAAAGTGTTCTTCTTCATCTTGTGTAGTGAATTCCGTTTTAATCACTTCTGCAGTTGTTCTATA